GTCGCCTCGCACGCCCGTTGCCCACACACCCTACTGACTAGCCAAAGCAAGACTCAAGCTAGATGCACAGACGCGCCGCGGACAATTGTCCGAGCTGTCAGTCCATCCAGGACGTATTGCGAGCGTCACGGTCGTGCATTCGAGTCCGTCTTGCGCATGCATTCGATGGGCTGTGATACACAATCAAAGTCACGCGCGACTTTTGTCATCGAGGTGGCCGGAAATAATGTTAGGCAAATACATGCAAATATACTAACAGGTTCTAATTTCAAGGAAATTCTGCACGTTTTCACTGGGTCTGAGATCTGAGTCGCCAAAGGCGCCAGAAATGAACAGGTGCTTGTGTTGGCGAAGGACAAGTCAGCTAGGGACATCGAAAGAGCACCATAACATACCACACTATAGCATCGGCCAGAGTCGATCATTAGCATCAGACATGTGACGAACGTAGGATGAGACCGAAGCGAACCAGCGACGTCTTATACGAAGACCATGTAGTGAGCCCAGACGATCAGATACGCCACGAACTCTCTCGTATGTTGAGGAACTCGAGAAGCGCCGGCTATCGCCGGCCGTATACCTTGTGACTTGACTCTTGCTTCGGTCCTCTTTCTCTGTGTGTCTATAGTACAGTGCCTTGCATAAGAAACTCGCATTTCCCCCCACATTGTTTGTTCCCGCCAAATATACCCTTTTCGGGTAGGTCTGGAAGGCCTCTCGCAAGACCGTTTCCTGGGCAAGGACTTGCAGACGCCCCGAAAGGGCTCGAAAGGCTTCAGAGAATGCATGAAATGTATATTCTAAAACTATACTAAGGGCTGTAAATTATTATACTCTGCCCCCAGCTGTGTGCCTAGCTACCTTCCCTCTTGATGGGTCTTTGCCGCACATTCGCCAATACCCGAAAAGGGTATATTTGGTGTGGGCAAACAATGTGTGCAGAAATGCGATGTTCAGTTTCTTATGCAAGGCACTGTAACATCATACCATCCTAAGGTCAAAGATTTCAAGCTGTTTGAAGCATCAAATGGTAGCAAGGAAGCATGAGCATTCCACTGGATGCGTTGCCACAAACAATCACAAATCAATTAAGTTTCAATAATCAAATTCTCAATGTCTGGCAGTGAGAGACTTCCAGAGACAAGAGCAAAGATACTGAATCGATGGCAGTGATAGAAGTGTGAAACAATGCACATGCCACAAACAGATATAAACAAATACAGTTTTGATGGCTCAATTCCCGACAAGCAGAGACCTTGCTAGTTGCAAGGTAATGTGTTTCCGACGTGTTTTGATAGAACACGTCCCTTCTGGAAGCACCGGCAAATGGAGATCAAGGCAGGGATAGCTAAGGACAAGAGGCTGGTGCCCATCAAGTCAAAAGTAACCAAGAAGGCAGACGAGATTGATGCTCTAATCAAAGCAGTTAAGAGGTATTCTGAAGGCTATCCTTTTAATTTTATGGCAGCTTCTATAGATAATACAGACCCAGGGTATGAGGGTAAGAGGAATACTAATTCATGACTACCATATCGCGCTTTTTAGCCATTTAATAATTCTCTTTGTTGCATATATTACAACAATACTACTGTAGATATTATACCAGCTGTATAAAGTATCAAAGTTTCTCTTTATTGTGCAGGAATAGATCATTTAGTCCGAGGTTGGCAGAGCAGAACGGCCTGTGGCGCGAAACGATGCGCGTGTGACAATCACGGTCACACGGACATTTGGCTGGCAGGCATTTGCCGACTCTCACCTGGTGCGAAACAACAATGCACACGCCACAAACAATTATAAACAAATACAGTTTTGATGGCTCAATTCCCGACAAGCAGAGACCTTGCTAGTCGCAAGGTAATGTGCGTGCTGACGAAGGGAGGAAGACGTAATACCTCGAGTATGCTCTCGAGTCCGACTAGCAGGACCCGAGCACCACAATAATTAAACACAACCCGATGCAAACGGGAGACGAGGTTGTCGGTGTTGGTGTATATCGGATGGGACTCTGAAACAGAGTGCCTGATGCATTTCGACATCGCACCGCACAAATCTTGTGTGAATGAGTGCGGCTAATAATATGCTAGCAGAAACTTGCAGCCCACGGAAGGCAGTCAATGAGGAGTACAAGTTCTACCACCGCCCGCGTACTTCCATCGCTACCATACGTAGTCACTGAAACTACCCGAATTAGGCCAGCCCGCCCGAGAAATTTCGTCTCAGAGTGACATGTTTCGACCAAGCCTCTCCTTCGCTGGTTCCGGCAGCGAGCAGAGTGAGGCCCCAGCGCAGTGCCCGGCAAGATGAGCCGGCTGGCAAGCAGACGTGTCGCCGTCGTGAGAGCAGGCGTACCAGTATAAAGTCGACGGCGGAGAGGTGGTTGAGACAGCGCGTTCAAGCGTCGCGCATGGTCTTCTAGGTTTGGCACTCGGTGGACGCGTCGGGTTGCTTGCATCTCAAGACCCTTTGTTCCGGATGCTCGGGCGGGGATCTCGACCATCCGGGATAAAGGCTCTTGGGACGGACGAAGCATCCAGATTCGGCCGACGCGAGTCGCTCGCATTTTGGTTCCGGCACGTTGATATCCATGACGCGCAGAGAAGACGACTGCTCGCCGCGGTAACGGACACACCAACTTCACCTGGCGCTCTGCGCAATACACAGGTCCAGAGAGCAGTCTTCAATAGCAGAGGATCTCAAAGTCGAACGAAGGCTAGACATGCGTACGAAGGCGACTGGCTCGGTGACGATGCATAATGAAGGTGGAAGTGCCGCCTACACATCCCAGTGCCCTCGTGCGAAGTAGAGGTCCGCGGACGCCCAGAAGCGATGTGGGAAGGCAGCGCTGGAGGTTCCACAGTGATGGTATTCCTGGACCGCTTCGTCATCGGGATGTACGGTTGTGAGCTGCATCGACGGGAAATGGGATTCGCTTGAAAGGGATGGACAGAGATACGCGATGCACGACGCGGTAGGCGTCCGTCTTGAAACCAATTTGTGCCGTCCCGGTAAAGATTATCGGCCCACAGCAAGGTTCTTGGGACTCGAAGTCTGTGTGCGTCAGGACATCATTCACATGTCTGCCGAGCCTCGACAGCTAAGATTTGATAGTGAGGATAGGGAAAGAAACAGAACGGAAGTCCTGCGATCTCGGCACCTGGAAGCATTCTCACGCAAATTCCAGATGTAGGGACGCAACAGACTTACCAGACGTATGTCAAATCTCTTTGTTCTGTCCCTGACAAGCGAAGTACGTCGGATGACACGGAATCTCACCGTGCACGAAAGCCTCGAGTACCGTGTCGCCGATATGCAAGCTATGTGGTCTGTAGGTTTGGTACGAAACGGAGACAGCGCACTCATGCCATCGCGAAAGGTCGTGACGAATCCACGTCCATTCATAATGCCATGGGAGCGTTGCGCCGAGTGGCGGACGTTGTTTGACGTCGGCCGGTTCCCAACTGTAACAAGCGCGACCGCACAAGGCATTTGGGATGGCTAGCGACATAAGGCGGACATCTATAGCCATTGTCAAATGCATAGCAGCAGTCTACCCACCGGGAAAGCGGCATGTCTCGCTTCTGCAGCGGAACAGGCCTACGTTAAGCTTCCGCTTGCAGTACGTATACAAGATATCTATAAACTTAGTTATTGCAAGGTCCACAATAGCCACCCACCGGTGAATCGGCGTGGCTCGCGAAACAGGCCTGCAGTTAAGCTGCGGGCACGATATCTATAGCCATCAGCTCTGGCAGAGGTATACCGAGTACCCACAGAGAAACCGGCATGTTCTCAAGATAGTGCATCTAAATGAGAGCTTGCTCCTCGGCACCGCAGTCGTATCATGATGGAGCAGTGATATACTTGCACGCCTCGTTTTCTACGAGACTTGGAGCGTCTATAACTGTTGTCAAGAAATACTTCATGGCTTGCCGTCAAACGCATCATACTTACGTTGGCGATTACCGTCGAGACCCGGTTATCGTGCTCCCAACACTGGCGACGCGCCAGTCCACTTCCAACGAGACGGCTGATGGACGGTGGTCGCAGGCAGCTGCAGCTCTGCAGTTCAGACGCTTTCACTGTCGACTTGGACGAGCAAGACATATCAGTAGTGTTTGTTCAACACTTGATATGTCTTGATGCCAATTGCGAACAAGTCAGGGAAAACCGAAATAGCACATGACTATAAGAGGCCTAGAAACTGAATTTGTAGTGGAGGAAGAGGGAGTAGTCATAGAGACAAGCAGCTGCGCGCGGCGGCCATCTGCCGAGGACGCTCTTTTCATCAGCCCGTCTGCCACCACCGCCCGCCAGGCTCTTTCCCTTTCTCTGCCCCATAACAGTGCTGCAGGCCGGTGCTCCCGTTTCTCTCAACTCTCCTCTTTCTTTCGCGCAGGACGTTGACCGACCGACTCGACCGACCATGGCCTCCAAAAGGTCCTCCGGCCTCGACTTCTCCGACCGCTCCGTCCCTCATTTAGACCAGCACCCCGACCTCGCGCCCCAGTACATGAATGGCGGCGACGCCCCCGCCCACCTCCAGCGCAACAAAACCGAACGCAGGCGGCTCCAGGGGCTCCAGCGCTCGACGACGAACAGCAGCGTCACCGCCGCGCCCTATCAGCCCAGCACGTTCAAGGAGAAGTTCGACGCATGGATGATCAACGAGGGCGGCAAGCGCCTCTTCTTCAGTGTCTGGATCTTCCTCCACATCCTCGTCATCATCTTCGGCTTCATGAACTACCAGCTGAAGGATAACGGTGTGACCGCGCGAGCAACCTTTGGTATCACTTATCGTGAGTGGACTGACACGTAATGGCCAAAATGCCGCAACTGACAGCCATCCAGCGATCGCCCGTACGGCTGCGCTTGTCCTGCACGTCGATGTCGCGTTCATCCTGCTCCCCGTATGCCGCAACTTCATTTCGCTGCTCCGGCGCACGCCCCTCAACCAGATCATCCCCTTCGACAAGAACATCACGTTCCACAAAGCTACTGGCTGGTCGATCTTCTGGTTTACGAACATCCACATCGCCGCGCACATGGTTAACTTCACGAAGCTGGCGCTCGCAGACACCGACGCAAAGAACACCGGCCAGCGCATCGTTGCGTTCATCCTTGCCAACTTCGCCACGGGCCCGGGAGCCACTGGCTGGATTATGACCGCCGCGCTGTACACCATGATATGGTTTGCGATGGAGAAGAGGCGCCGTGCACACTTTGAGCGGTTCTGGTACTCTCACCATCTGTTCATCGTCTTCTTCATTTGCTGGCAGTTGCACGGCATGTTCTGCATGATCAAGCCCGACAGGCCACCGTACTGCTCATTCAACACTATCGGTGTCTTCTGGGTAAGCAAACGAACCGCGTTAGTAGAATGTGAATACTGATTTTCCATAGCGTTACTGGTTGGTTGGCGGTGTTATCTGGATCTACGAGCGTATTCTCCGTGAAGTCCGCTCCCGACACCGCACCTACGTCTCGAAGGTCATCCAGCACCCGTCCAAGGTCATGGAAGTCCAGATCAAGAAGGAGAAGACGAAGACTCGTGCTGGACAGTACATCTTCCTCTGCTGCCCTGAGATCTCGTACTTCCAGTGGCACCCTTTCACCCTCACGAGGTACGTGTGATTGACTCCAATGCGTTGGAGTAGTCGGGCTTACAACTATCCACAGTGCTCCAGAGGAAGACTACATTTCCGTCCATATCCGTGTTGTCGGCGACTTCACGTCGGCCTTCGCCAAGTCCCTGGGATGCGACTTTGATTCTAAGGGCGAGAAGAACAGCGATGCGGGCGGAAAGGTCGTTCCTCCCCCTATCAACCGTGTCTTGCCTCGCGTCATGGTGGATGGTCCCTTCGGTTCAGCTTCTGAGGACTTCTTGAACTACGAGACAGTCCTCCTGGTCGGCGCCGGTATCGGTGTCACTCCTTTCGCTTCGTAAGTCTTCACCCGCTAGCACTAGTCAAAGCGGAAACTAAATAGTTATATGCGAATAATAGAATCCTGAAGTCCATCTGGTACCGGATGAATAACTTCAACCACTCGAAGCCGACCCGTCTCTCAAAGGTCTACTTCACCTGGGTCATCCGTGATTTCGGCGCGGCCGAGTGGTTCCATTCGCTCCTGCACGCCATCGAGGAGCAGGACACCCAGAACCGCATCGAGATCAACATCTACCTCACGGCCAAGATCAAGGACGATGATATGACTAACATCATTGTGCGTGATGCCCTCTCCCTCTAACACGGAGGTTAATTTTGATTGATCGGACGGGATTTGGCTTGTGTAGGTGCAAGACGTGGGTGCGGAGAAAGATGCCATCACGAGTTTGAGGGCCCCGACGCACTTCGGGCGGCCGAACTGGGACAGAGTGTTCTCCTCCATCGCGGACAAGCACCCCGAGACGGATGTCGGTGTGGTACGTCTTGCTTCTCCGAACCGTTGTTGCAAGGCATAAGATCTGACGTGCTCGCGGCTCGCTAGTTCTTCTGCGGGCCGGCGGTGCTCTCGCGTCAACTGCACGTCATGTCCAACAAGTACTCGAACCCCAAGGGCACCCGGTTCTTCTTCGGGAAGGGTACGCACGTCCCTACATCTTACTATGTACTCCCGCTCAGGTTAGTTATGTCGTGCAGAGAACTTCTAAGCCCTGGCTATGCTGTCGCGATGCTGCGCTCGTGCGGACTCGGATGCGGATTGTGGAGGTGTTGATGCTTGCTGTAGCGTCGTTCGCTCGTTATTGGTATTTATCGCTAGGGTGTACTAATATTAACGGCATGGAGGTCGGAATGTATGTTCTTTCGGCTCGGTCGTCGACTGGAGGTCTGTGTGTCGTACCAGGATGTTTGGCGGCGCTGGCTCGGACGTCATAGATATCTGCGGTTCGGATAGCATTTCCGGGAATTCTTCGCGTGTCTGTATCACCGACATTAGGCTGCATCTAGTCGCGCGGCATTTGGCGTGGTGCGCATATTCCAATCACGTGACCTCATTAGCGTTATGGAATCTTCAGATTAAACGGGTTCCCCAGCGCGTCGCGACCCTCTAGCAAGAATTAATGAGCTTCCGGTACATAGTTTGAAGTGACACCACAGTTGTGCTCAATTAGTGTCTGTTTTGGGTGCTGTATCGACCGATAAAGCCTATTCTGTCACTGTGCGGCAGACCCACTTAGTCAGACCCTGACTAGCAATGACCAGCTCTGACTTTGCGGGTGAAGTCATAGATAGGCGTACGGGTTGACTACTTCAGGTAGTCACGTTGTAACTAGAATTGACCACGTGAGCCAGTCACGTACGCGTCAAGCTTATCTAGCGGCCGACGCGACTAGCTCTGCCTAAGAATGTCTATCCGGACTTTTCTGGCGCAGTCACCCTCCTCTGACTGATATGAGTACTGTACCACGTCTCTAGCTTCTGTATTCACATACAGTCAATATACAACCAGTTGTCTGAGTTCGGAAAGCGGACCAGGCATATTCTCGGGTTGCGAGTCTCTCTCTCTCTTAAGTCCCCTAGGCTTCGCCTGACCTCCGTCCTCCTGTTCCATCTATTACTTCAATCTCATCAATACTCACACAATCTGTTGCTGCTGAGCTATGCTGGGCCCTCGCAAGAACCCGCCAGACTTACGCCGCTGCCCTTGCCCCAAGTGTGATGGAAAGGCGGTACCTCGGCACATAAAGGAAAAGCACGATCGGGATCAAAGCGCTGCAAAGTGTCGCGCAGCAATAGGGAACAGAGGTAGAGGCTTTGTTACATCTCTCTTGGCGAAAGCGAGAGGCCGAGGTCATGGAGGCGGGCAGTCCCAAACGGCAAGCAATGCACGGGAATCGGAAACATTCTCCACAGGCCCCTCCCACCTTCAGGCGTCTACGCCAGAGTTCTATGAGCTATCTCATGCTCAGAGCTCCGGAGCGCCTCCCAACATCCGTGAAACCAGAGCTATCGATGACCGTAGTACCATGGCAGTCGATGACCCGGTGGATGGAGCCTTGTATCTCACATCGGAAGCAAGGGAATCTGAGGATGTTGAGATGAACCTTGTCCCACAGGTATGCTAGATGCTTGAATTCGGTTCTGATGCCACTAATACAGTCCTCTACCGTTCTCTAGCAGGATATATGCGCCATCTTTCTCGAGAAATCTGCCCCGGAGGTACAGGCAGCAGAGATCCCTGCTGTTTCAGCTATTCCTGATGCCTCTGTCCCGATTTCCCCGCTGGATTCCTTCCACAATGAGCATCAGCCTGATTCAGATGGGGACCACCCGTCTCGGTCTGCTTCCCCCCTTCCATTACACTCCCAAGAACCCGGGAACCCCATGACCCAGATTACAAATCCCGATGTGGCCCCTGACCTGGCAGTGACTGCAGGCCGCTTACCTCCACTGCGTCGTTCCTCTCGCCGACGCCAACCTCGCGTGATCACGGAGGTGCGCTCATTAGCGGAAAAAGCTGCTGCTGCTTCTGAAGCATCCCTGGGACTATATGACGACCCTGCTGACGGCGATGCTCTCCAGCAAGAGCTTGCGAAGAATATCGATGCCAGCGAGAGCGAAGACTCTGGCGACACCTCTCCTCTGGCTTTTGAGAGTCTTTCTCTATCTGACATCGTGCCTCTCAAACCTCGTCTACCAGCCGGAGACACATACGCTCTGGCTAATGAACACTGGTATGTTCGAGCAGTACTATTGCTTGTCATTTACCTGCAGACTGTCCATCATGTCACCTTCCGGGCATGCGGGATAATATTGTTCACTCTGCGTGTTATATTCTTGGGCCTCGGGGTCCTCTCTGAGCAGGATCGGATGCCAATTAGCTACAAGACCGTCATCCGGGACTTTGGACTGGAGGACAGGTTCCAGATTCATCCTGCGTGCCCGAATTGTCATTGTCTATTCCCACAGGGACTTCCCCCAGATGCAGAGTGCCCCGGGTGCAATATCCGGCTATTCATCTCGAAGCATTCAAGTGTCTTCGAGAAGCTGATGGGACGCTCACCTCCTCAACCTCCACCTGCAAAAGCTGTCCCCCTGGTCCCGCTTTCAAGTCTTCTCGGCGACTTTCTTTCTGACAAAGACCTGGAGGATGTCTCCGAGCATTGGATCGATCTGCGAGAAGATCATGAGCCCGGAAAGTATAATCATATGATGGATGGCGAGGTGCCACGAACGGTGAAAGGCCATGATGGTAAACTATTCTTCTCGCGAGACTCGCTCAAGGAAGAGTCAGAGCTTCGGATTGGTGTAACCATCAGCACTGATTGGTACAATATATCATCTTTAGCTGTTAAACATCCTCACTTTCGATTTAGGTTCAACACGAATCAGTCAAACTTCGCCGGCAGTCATTCCTCCGGTATCATGTCATTCTGTGTATGTAACTTGCCACCCGAGCTCCGGTAAGTCCTTATCTCGTATATGGAAGCTCTGACTATATGCGTCTCACACTTCTATCTAGGTACCAAACGAGGAACCTCCTTGTTCCAGTCGCCGTTCCTGGGCCTTCGGAGCCAACGGCAGAACAACTACAGAGCTACCTCAAGTTTATCGTGGATGATCTCATCGAACTCTTTGAGAAGGGTGTGCGTCTGAAGACCGCTCGCCACCCCGAAGGTGCGTCGCTTACACATAACTTACTGTACTAGAGGGCACTGCACATTGTACCATAGGCCGCCTGGTACGCGTCTTCCTGCTGGCCGTGGTCTGTGACCATCCGGCTATGTGCAAGATGTGCGGCTTTGGTGATCACGCCCATAATCAAGCACCTTGCACCAAATGTCATGTGCCACATGACGAGTTATTCTCTGAGAAGTCAATGAGAAATGGTTAGTTACTTTGGTATACATTGACTCAATCTATTCTCACGTCTGATTAGGTTACAAACCCCGGGATGGAGACGTCCACAAGGCCCGCTGCCTTCGCTACAACACGCTGGACACTCAAGGACAGAAAGATATATGGTTTTCTTCATTCGGTGCACGGTGGACCGAGTTTGCGCGACTGCCTTACTTCGATCTGGTCAGGTTCACACTTGTTGACCCCATGCATAACATCTTGCTGGGTCTTGCCAAAGGCCAGTGGTATGCGCGCTGGATACAGACCAAGGCGCTGAGAGCCCCGACACCGAAGTCAAATCGGGAGCTCGGTGTTCTACATCAGTTTTTGGAAACAGTACGTGTACCTTACTGTCTTCAGACCTGCATTGCTGATAGAAGAGAGGTAGTTTGAGTCACCGCTCTGGGCTGGCCGACTGCCAGTAAGAATGGGAGAACCCGCTGGTGGATCACTTACGGCGGATGAGTACAAGTTCGCCACCACTGTCGCCCTCCCAATGATTGTAAGTCTCTTCATCTGATTGGCTTATTAATACTGACTCTGGAAAGATCCCCATTATATGGGACGTCTTTCTTGAACAGGCGGCTACCGAGCACCAACAGGACACCATCAGATACAACAACGAGCTAGTACTGTACAAGAAGGACCTACGTTCATGGGAAGCACGTCAAAGGAAAGGTAATCAGGATTCTGACTCTGACGAGCCACTGGCGCAAAAGCTGGTCCGCAAACGTGCCCGAGGATCCAACATGCATCCAGTGCCTCCACCACCCAAAGTGCGTGCTCGCGGCAAGCGAATTGACCCGAGACCCGTTGCACCAGTCGCTCCACACCTTCGTTTACATGAAGACGAGCCCAAGATGTTCTTACAATTCGCGGCGGCCTTGAAGATCCTCCTTGGTCGGTCTATCGACGATAGGGCAATTATTCGTGCCCTCGAGTTGCTCCAAGACTATCTACTCCAGTTCCGAACTGTAAGCAATCTTCTCAACGCTTCAGAGTTCATGCTAATCAATAATTGAGATGTATGGTGAAAAGGCCATGCGGCCAAACCATCACTGGGTCGTCCATCAGCCTGATCAAATCAAGGACTATGGACCGGTGTATGGATTCTGGCTGTTCCTAACCGAGAGGCTGAACAAGACACTCAAGAATTACAATATTAACCACCATGGAGCTGGTGAGCTCGAGATCACTCTAGTTCGCTCTTTCGGGCGTGAGAAGCGGGTTCAGTCGATCGTAAGTATAATTGATTATTGCTGTTTGCTCTGTATTTACAAACCTGACGACTATCTGCCTAGGTGTCTGCTGCTGCCAAGGCGTCTGATGCAAGCTTCCCCGAGAGACTCATTGCATCACGGATGCTCTCAAAGTCTGGCGAAGATCGTGGAACAGTCGAGAGCGCGGCGATCCCTGGGCCGGTGGAAGATGGTAAGTCTGTATTGCACTCCATCGTCTCGCGCTCACTCTCTACAGTTCTTTTCTCGGGACTTCATGTTGAACCGGGTCCACGTGTCTCTAGCCTACCTCAGCCCGTCACGACTCTCGCGCTGAAACATCTCCATCAGTACTACAACTCAGGAGAGCGATTGCAAGTGTATTATCCTACTTCGCGAGTTATTCCTGTTGGTGCTAGAGTCCTCTCTTCGTCAGCGATCTTCTACGAGTACATTTTATTGGATGGCCGGAGAATAGTCCCACTCTCTCGGTCACAACGACGGTCAGCTGGCTCCTCCATTGTACAGGTCCTGCTCCGTGGTCAAGCACTTGCTGGAGAGGTCTTGTCGGCCTTCCGGCATCCACAGCCTGGCATTAATGATGATACCCTTTGGGCGGAGATGCGGTGGATGAAAAGGGTGAAAGCCGTACCAGTCAAGAACGATCCATGGTATGACTTGTGAGTTCTAATTACACTTCACCTTACTGTTGATTGCTGAAACAACCATTCCCAGTCCCGAGCTAAGATTCGAATGCTGGGAGCTCGGGAAGTATTACGAAGATGATGATCAAAGCGCGCCTCCCCGTTTCATTCAGTTCGACTGCATTCAATATCAGTTATCCCGAGGTCAGTGCTTGGTGTCAGACCCGGCTGTTTGGATGACTACTGCTATGGACCGGGTATGTCTTCTCATTCTCACTCCAGCCCTCAGGCGATAACATGATATGGATCGACTATCAAGGATTCCACAGCACATATAACTGACGACGCTGACTTTGGAAGTAGCGAAGCAACAGAGGGAGTACAGTAGCAAGTTTGTCCGTGTTGTATGGGCCGTCCTGCCCTCGAATGGTAGGAGGCACTGGTAAAGATTCATAGCAGTATCTTCTCCTCACTGATCACTATATTCATGGGGTTGCGGGTTCGATATTGTTGCGAATTTATTTTCTATTTCACGTATACAGACAGCAGCAAGGTTAAGCATCACGCCCGAGTAACAAGATTTTCAAGTACTAGTACAAGTTCAATATCGCCTCAGCGAGTCCAAGAAGACCAAGATTGCTCCCAGTGGAGCTACGGCGTGTACTCGAGCTCGCTGTCAGTATCCTCGCCCCCCGCGCAAGAACCACCGCCAAGGTCAGATGCCGTCGAGCAAGAGCGCTTACTGTGTGCGCGTGAAGTCAGTGAAGTGCTGCCAGCCTTTCGTCGAACGGAGGTCACCACACTAGCCAGTTGAGCAGAGTCTGAAGCTTGGGCTGAGCTACTGCGATCAGCATGTTGGACCCAGTCGCCGTTGTAAGTATCTTCATCAGTGTTGTCATTGATATCAGCTTCACTTGAGTCCCTAGGTTCGTTATCACTCGGGTCCATACGGTTGTCGAGGCTCGCGTCCCTGCTAGTATCGACAGTACCTTCGCGGCCTCCTTCCTTCGCTGCTTTGTCGTATTTGAGCTGCCGATCGTGCTCTGCAATCCTTGCACCTAGAGTCTCGTCATAGCCCTCGGGATTGCCGCACTCAGTCCAGCCAGATATGAAGTCTTTATACTTATCTCTATGCGACTTCCACCAGTGCGAGGAGATCGCGAAATCGTATGGAACTGTAGCTGGCGGCTGGTATGTGCTTCGGCCCGTATTTTTGACCTTGATAGCCCGGATCTTCTTCTTGGACTTGACGTCCAGGTTGTCCCACCAGAATTCCTCTAGCAACGCGAAGATCCAGTTCACCTGGTACAAGAAAGGTGAGTGTGTAGCAACCGAGGATAAGTTCTTTCTTACAGTGTTGGACCGCCACTTTGGCTCAATTCGCTCCCAAAGAGTCCAGTCCTTCAAGACCGGGTTCTCCAGGTCTATTCCCGCCTCATGTGCCATGCGTCCTTGCCACTCTTCCTGAGTCTCGGTGAATCCATCTTCAGGACCTGAGGCGTAATCGGAAACCCAATCAACTTGGAGCAGCGGTGATGGGTCCCAGTTGAATTCGAGTGCGAACATCTCTGTGACACTCTGAAGACGTTTAACCGTCTTCTGCAGTAGTAAGTGACAGAACACAACATATAGATAATGTACCCTTATGACTTACGAGCTGACGGCGGGCGAGCCGCCGCGTGGTACTGCTGTTTTTACGTAGGGCTTCTGCTTTCGCGATATCCGTCTGCGCTTGCGCTTTGGGTTTGAAGCCTTCGAAAGCCGACTTCGCGAAACCGTAAAGTGTCCTTCGGTTGTAGTAGATACTTGCGTCACTCAGTTCTTCAGCTCGAATTGATGGATCCTTCGTCGGAGGTGAGTTGTCAACAATTGATATATAATGAACAGTATTGACCTGTAATTCTGCCCATACCACGTCAGCAACTCTGTCGAAGATCTCGGTGTTCTTGGGGTCCGTGACGCCCTTACGGAAGTGAGGTGTGTAATACTCCTCATCGGTATTCGGCTGCCTTCTGATCACATCCGGAGCTGGCCAGGGATCCCTTACGCTGACGCCGCAAATGGTCCGAAATACACGGTGAGTGATCCTCTAGGAAATATTGAGTAGTCAGCATCCACGAAGAACTGGAACATACGGATAACTCCTTCTTTGCAGCCTTCTCGATGTCATTCAACTTCGATCCGGGCTTCAAGAGTTGTTGCCAGGCCGTGTAGCTCTTAGCTGGTACGTTCCCATCATTTTCTGAAGGCTTCTCTCCTCCTGATGCCGGTAGGGGCGACTCAACAATGTCGTGATGCTGACGGAGTTGCCTCGTGACCCATGCACTTGGCCGTCTGCCCGCTACCGGAGCGTCTTCATCCACGGTTGGTACTGCTCTTCCATCATGTGTCAAAGGTTGATGTGGTAGCGACGCTCCGAAGGGGATAAGATATCTGGTATCATTTGCAGGAGGGTGGCCAGGTGGAAACCTGGGGTCAAAAGCCATGGATGTGGAGGATCCATAACCAGTCATGTCGTTTGCCTGCCGGAAGCGTTTGGCAGCCCTACCATCAGCAGGGTCAACCCATGCAGAAGGTGGAGGCTGCAGATAACTGTTAGGGGAAAGTGAGCTCCACATCAGTGGATATATGCGTTGGTCTGCTCACCGGTTCTGGTTCGGACCAAGGGATGGTGGTGCGAGGAAACTTCAGTGCAACCAAGTCAGTACCTGCTATCAGGAACAATATGATGCTCACCTTGGTCCAGGTCCGTAAGTCTGCGCCATCGCCATCGCTCTATGTCCTGGGCCTTGACTTGGACCGGTATTCGCCCCAGTCACTCTCGGCACACCTCTGGGTCTGCAAGGCTTCTGGCGCTGCCGCTCTGGGCTCTGGGTTCTTGCCGTTGGTTGCACTGGCATCCCGGGCCGTCCTTGTGACCGTGTTCTCTGTTCCGAAAAGCTGGCTGCGCTGAGCCTGTGGATTGGCTCGGTACTACGTCAGCATCTTAGAGTCAGTCCTTTGGTACTCACTGCTGTAATTTTGGGTCTATGACTGGTTCTTGGTACTCTTGCGGCGGGTACGGATCTCCTTGGGGCCCATCACGGCTGGCATCGTGGACGGGCGGCTGCACCTCGTCAGATGCAAACAACGCTGCATGAAAGCTTGCTTGCATTTGAGCGTCAAGTCGTTCCCAGACGTCCGGCGCTATCTCTGTGGGGCACGGAAAAGACATGACTGGGGATTCTGCGGATATTCGAGCTGGATCTTGTGATGGGAAGTAGGCAGCAGGAGAGGACGCGAGGGGTTTCTCTGTGACGCGTTTATTATGTAATTATACCCAGTAATCTACAGTTTCCCTGGTATGTATGATGGTAGGGATAGAGAGAGCGTGAATATATCAGATATAAAGCAGATGAACAGGCCTGAGTAATACAACCAGTCAGTGCTAGTCAGGTACTAAGTATCCCAGATACTTACCGCTAGCCAGTGCTGGTTGTACGGGAACAATTTCAGATATTCCGCGTTGGCTGCACTTGGCTATCCTACTGACCATCTGGGCTTGAGAGCCTCATGGCAAGCTGTGCTAGCCACGTGTCGAATTGATCTGATCTACGGGGCGTACCTAGCGCTAGCCATGCATACACGGCTAGCTATGCTTGTCGGCGCTATTCAGAACCTGACTAGCGCGACCTGCCTCACAGTGTGTACCATGATAGGCTCCAGCGTATATTGATAATAATACATCCCCCCATGGGCTGGTAGAAGTAATGAGTAGCAATACATATATGTTTTTAAGCCATATTGAGGTATGCTGCCGAGCGTGGTGTCTTCAAAATGAGCTCTGAAGGGTAGAGCTTCAACATGTTCCCCTTTTGGGACGGCCGGAGCTGCTGATGTCAGCAGCATGTACCGAACGAAGTTAATGCTCCTACAGCGGAAAGAGAGCGCCAAAAAATCTGAGACTACTCAAGTTGCATCAGGACCAGCAGGTACTCCTGCCATATCATATATTTTTCCCTCGCTACATAGAGATGGCATGGGTACGAAACGGTGAGTCTGTCGAGGTGGCCGTGGGAATAATCACGTGATGTTGAATATGCGTACCCCTACTAAGGGGGCGCGATCCGCGGCAGACCGTTATATGCCGACTGCCCTCCACCTGCCTTATAAGGGAGGCATTTAATCGGTCGCCTTTGGGAGACTACACCGACATGGTACATGTCTACAGCCTAGGCTCCGATGCGTTACAAGACGAGGTGGATAAGTACAGGGTTCTGGATGCAAGGCTGTGGTACCTCCTTGATTTGCGGTGGAGGATACGAAGCATTCAAGGTAGTTAGGGACATAAACTTTGACATAAACATCGAAACGAGAGTGCTGTGAAAGCGTGCCCACTGCCGCGCGGTCCTCGGAGACTCAATTGCAAGGCCATGGCCCAACCATGGCCAGCAGCCACCCCTGCATACCCACGCCACAGTTGCCACCGGAATAAGGAGGTTGCGTACGTAAGCCATGGGAAGTCGGAATTTCGCCGCAACTGTACAGGACCTCTCAGTCATCGTCACCCCCACCACCGGTCGTCGTCGCCGCCCCGCCCACCGTCCTCAAGAAAACATGGGAAAAGTTCACGGATCCCTCGCCCGTGCGGGTAAAGTCAAGTCTCAGACACCCAAGGTAGAGAAGCAGGAGAAGAAGAAGACCCCCAAGGGCCGTGCTAAGAAGCGGATTCTCTACAACCGCAGGTATGTCGTCGTCGAGCTGTTTAAGAGGGTGCGAAACTCATGTACTTGTGATTTATAGATTCGTGAACGTCACCACACTCCCTGGTGGCAAGCGGAGAATGTGAGTCTGGATTCTGGCTTGCGCATCAGTCCCTCGCGTTTTTGGTTGTCCCGTTCGCCTTTTGAGATGAGTCCAGCAAAATCAAGCATAGTTCACACTGAACTATCATGTTGACAAACATGCATCTAATGTCTTTCGCTCCTATCTGATTCGATGTCCTTTCTTCATTTTCTACATTTTCTCTTGACCTTTATCTAATTCATTTCCTGCAGGAACCCCAACCCCGAGAAGTAAAATGCCTATGGGCCCTTCTTTAGGGCGCCGCGTGCGCCTGCGCACCAGCACGTCTTGTAGGAGGACTGGATAGCGGAGCGGCGGCCGTGCTGGGTTGAGAGTCACGCTGTAGGGAGACGACGAGGGTCGAGCTCGTCGGTGCTACGTTATGTCATCTTTCGCTTTCCGTCCCCTTGTATCTGTATGCATATCATGCAAACCATGGACCATGGTGAACACCACGAATGCAATGTTCGGTATTTGAGGTTGGCCTTTTTAGGTAAGTGAGAGTTGACCGATTGTTCCTTCATCGACATGTGCGAGCGTTGGAGAATCGATTCTCCTTTGTCGCTATTCGCTATCATCATCTCACGGGTTTTGTGGGTGGTCTGTTCACTTTCGGACGCACGGACTGGATGGCGATAGCTTCTCTAGATCTTGCAGACGCTCTCCTGTCTTCGCGCTTCGCCTGATATCTGGTATGCCTTAGCCCATTACCCATGGTTGGCCATCTCAATGCACCCAGGGATATCATGCTTGTGCCACATGCTTCGTGCGTTTTTCTGGGATTCTTTATACTGGTTTATGTGATCTGTCTTCCATCGTGGTTTCAGTTCTGCGGACAGCGGATACCCTCGGGCTCGTGAATTGGGTCATCGCGGCGGTATGATCTTGGCCACCAGGTCGTGCAAGTGCGACCTTCTGTCCAAAATCACACCGACGTTGGTCATACTATTTTGCGATGGCGCTCCGTGGTACAGGAGATGATCTCTCAGCCTTTTCGGCTGCCATGTGTGCGTACTTCGGGATTGAATTCTGTTCCGAGTATGACTCTCTCTTCGTCGGAGGACGTCCACGTTTTTGATCAAAGTACGGCCGATCCACTGCTTGTGTGCAACGAGGTGGTGTCAGGTTCAACCAAAGAATTTTCAATGTCCCGTGCGGCCTTCAGCAGCTGAACAAGGCGATCTGTCATCCTGTCCTCCTGTCCCATGGCGATTTCGCGAATCAAGTGCAAGGCGAGCATGATTCCCGCCCCCATTGAGTTCCGTCATGGAACCAGATAGCGAAGAGTGGCTTCGACGTCGGAGAGGAAGTCCCTGCCAGGGCTGACTTTCCTCAAAACGTCCTGGTCAGATCTAGTTCCTGTACCAGGAGCCTGCTGCGAGTAGGCGAAGTTGGGCGAGGTTGTCTGGCTGACCTGTCTCAGTTGCTCCTCCTTGGGTGCCGGGCTGGAAAAGAGGTAGTCCTGAACCATGCATGGTCGTGCGGCTACTATAAAGAGTCGAGTCTCTGAGGAGCATGCAGCAGACAGCACGTCTTGCACAATGCAGCTCTTCCACACTGGCCTTGTCGCGCTTACCGTCGCTCCTCTGGCTCTCGCGCGTACTTTCACCGTCACTAATAATTGCTCTTATACGGTCTGGTGTGTGAATAACACTCTCCCTCTCATCTCGCGATGTCTAATCAAACTTCCCCTACTCGATAGGCCAGCCATTTTCACCGACCCCAACGTCGGAACTGCAGTTCCGGATCATCCAACTGGGTAAGACTTGTCCGTGCCGTTATTGCTTCATGAAGGTTAATTCCGGCTTCCAGCTGGGAAGCCCCTCCCCGGAGCAGCGTATCGTTCATGGTCCCGGATAACTGGGCTTCCGGGAGAATCTGGGTATGTATCCGAGGACTCTGCATATCAGGGCGTTCTGAGCGCGATACCCTAGGGTCGTCGTGACTGCGATTTCGACGCGAATGGCAATGGCACGTGCGTGGACGGTGGCTGCAACGGTGGGCTGGTTTGTGATCCTCACAACGGTATCGTACGTGTTACCATCGCATGAACCGAATCATACATAGTAACTCTCCCTATAGGGCGCGACACCCGCTTCATTAGCAGAATGGACTCTTGGGACGAACGGAAATCCGGATTACTATGATGGTATGACCGCAAATGTACTCTGGCTTCCGTGCACCTCTCATCAGAATCACCAGTGTCCATCGTCGATGGTTTCAATCTGCCAATTAGGATTGATAATGACAAAGGCTGCCACGTAGCGGATTGCCCTGTTGACCTCATTCCGGATTGTAAGACCGCTTTCGTTGTGCCCCCTGCACTACCCAGCTTATGGACTATCCCGAATCCAGGCCCTTCGCCGCTTCAAGGCCCCTTCGACTCTGCGGGTAATGCGGCTGGTTGCAAGACTGCTTGTGCCGCAGGAATTGATCACAATCAAGGTTGGTGTCGTGCCTTTATCGCATTGCACCGCGGATGCAGATGGACTCATGGTTTCTCAATGCATAGCTGATTCGGCTAACTGCTGTACTGGAAGTCATAGCACACCGGATACCTGCCCGGCTAGTGGTGTACAGTATTACAATTACTTCAGTGCGTATTATGACGGAAATATCTGATATGAGTAACTGCATACTTACAATGAGTTCTATGTACTGCAGAGGACAATTGTCCAAACTCATATGTTTATGCATATGACGAAGGCAGTGGTACTGCTCTGTGGACATGTGATTCCGGCTTGCAGGCTGATTACACACTCACTTTCTGTCCATAAGGACTTCTGGAGGATGTGACTTCAATACTTACCAAGCTGGAGCTGGCCCTGAATTGCCCTAGAGATGGTCTCATAAGAATGTACAGACTAGCTGCAGATATATAGTGGTCCAATGAAATATGAAAATTTGACAAGACCATCATGACAGTGCCTATTACTAAGTGTTCCTACTTCTGATTCAGATGTTCCTAGCTTATGTACAGTAGGTATTCCTGATGATCTTCTCCAAGTCCTTGTGAACCTGGTCCATCACTTTGTCTGGCTGGTGCTTGTAAGCCTGGTGGCTTACGACGTCATTATCCAGCGGGGCCAGCTTGCAATCCTTGCGCCTGATAAGTACTAGTCCTGTCCAGTGGCATTTGTCTCTCCGTAAATTGGCAGCAAATTATTCGGAGATTGCGCCACATCTGGGAGGTTTTCGGCCATGTCTATTGCAGTACCTCGAAGCGTCGGCGCTGTATTGTTCGGCGTGGGCGGGAAGAAATGCTCGTCGACGGTCATTGGCAGGGTCGCGAAAGTGCCAGTGTAGTGAATAGTGAATGTGTGGGGTTCAAGTTTAAGAGCGAGCGCACGATCGATATGATTGAAAGCTGTGTACTTCGCCGCCTCCCTTACGTCCCATTCAAGTCCCATTCGCCATTTTTTGTAGTTGCAGCATGTAGTAGGATGCCTCGAGGACCGCAGCTGAGAAGACGAACGTCTATGGGCACTCCCGGAGCACTCCGAAGACCACCAGGTGCTTCCGGGATCCCCGACGTCCGCTCTTCCATTAGACTTGCACATCTAGTCTGGTTAACCTTAAGGCACAAACACGCCTTCCTCCAGCAACGTCTCTGTCGTCCTCGTCTATGCTCACCTTGCAACCAGCCTGCCCCATGGCGGGCGGTGATAGTCAGGTCGGACCGCAATAATCTCGGTCGTTCCGCATGCCGATAGCCTGTGAACATAATCAGCGTGCCCTGACTCGGGGCCCAGCTTTGGGCATCCGCAAAAAGTTGTTGAATTGCCCAATGGTCGGCCCCGGGACATGGTGGGTACGAGGCCGAGAGCTAGTGAAAGGAGAGTTCAGGGACATAACGCAATCACCATTGCAGGCCTAATAAAGTCGGCTTAGACCTTTGGCCAAAGCTGGCTTTCCTCTGGTCAGATAATCTCTGTACATCTCCTGAATAGCGCTTGTACGGACACCAAGATATGGGAATAACAGGATCGAGCCATGTTCGCGCAGGGTTCGATCCGAGCACCGACATTCCTGACCTGACGGGACGAGTGGCCATCGTAACAGGCGCAAAGTGAGTCTTCGCCCCCGTACATTCACCGATATCTGTCTTACATACTTCAACGCCGGTGATATCATTTAGTGCTGGGATTGGCTTCAACACCGTCTTGCACCTCGCGCGCCGAGGCGCTAAAGTCTACCTCGGCGCGCGGAACGAGGCAAAGGCGAAGGCAGCGCTTTCTAGACTACAACGCGAAGGGCTCGGCCCGCTCAACGGCGAGGTACTGTGGCTGAAGCTGGACTTGAGCGACCCGAGGGAGGCGCGCAAGGCGGCGGAGTGGTTCCTCGAGAAGGAGGAGCGGTTGGATATTCTGGGTGACGCCTTATTACATCTGATCTTGGATAAATCCGTGCTTATGCAGAGCCTTGTGTAGTGAATAATGCCGGAAAGTGAGTGTTAACTTAACATGTGAAGTCTTCAAGACGATGCTTTGTCGTCGGTTAGAATATTCGGGCCATACGCCCTCACACCCGACGGGATTTCGGACACCGTGGTCGTCAAGTACGCTTACTATCACTTAAATTTCCGCTTCCGGTCTAAACCGCAAATCCATTTCCTAGCCACCTAAGTCCAGCCGCATTCACCTACAAGCTCCTCCCGCTCATGCAAGAAACCGCCAAGCTGCCCAGGACGGACGTGCGCATAGTCAACGTAAGACATTCGATCATTTCGCTTTATGGTTGGGTATGGTTAAGCTGAGAGCACCATCAGCTCACGTCTTCTGCCCACAAATGGCTCGTGAACCCGCGATTTGACAGCCTCGCGAGCTGGAATAACACGTTCGCAGACTCGTGGTTCCCCAAGATGATGGTGTACGGTACGCGCGCGTTATCCGTGCCCCATACTCTCGTTCAGTCAGCTGACTGGACGCACATTGATACTCTCCGTAGCTTACTCGAAACTCGCCAACGTCCTCTGGACCAAAGAGCTCCAACGGCGCCTCCGCGCCTCAGACTCACCCATAATCTGCACCGCCGTTCACCCGGGGCACGTCCTGTCCGAGCGCAACATGACGCGCGTCTCCGCATGGCCGCTCGGGTCGTACATCGTCGGGCTCTCCGCGCTCGCGAACGACACGCCCTTCTTCGGCGCGTACACGAGCGTGTTCGCCGCCGCGTCCCCTATCGTGAGGGACGAGGCGGGGAAGTGGGAGGGCGGGTACGTCGTGCCGTATGGGCGGCTGGAGGAGTGCGGGCCCGAGGGCGCGCGGGAGGATCTAGCGCGGGAGCTTTGGGAGACGACGGAGAAGATTTTGGACGGGATTTCGTGAGCGGGCGGTCCGATTGGAAGCGACGCAGCTCGTGCAATGTGCATCTGGAAGGGTTGAGTTTGGTTGAGTGTGCCCTCCGTCGCCAGTGGAGGCATGACTGCCCGGGACTTCTTGGCGAGCCAGGCATCTGGTCTCTTGAAGCACGTCCCTCTTGTATGACCCAGCTACAGATCCTTGCGGACTGCAGCACCTCGCTACAGATCCTTGCGGACTGCAGCACCTCGCTACAGTTTTCCTTGCGGCCCAGCACCGCCGGGCATACCTAGGCAATATCTAGGCGTTCCGGTATTCCACATGCTCACTTACAGTGTGCTCGGCACTCGTATGGATACATACGATATTCAACCCTGAAGTTCGAGTAGTTTCGGTTCGTTTCGAAATTCTATCTTCCCTCGGAAGGAGCGAAGCGTTAGAACACGTAGTACATTCCTATTTCGTCCGCGCAGCCCGCCCACTCCGCCACCCCGCTATATAACACCGTCGCATTAGTAGTAGTAATCGAATGTGATCATGAAACAAGGGAAACGTAGAAATAGCGAGAAGCAGAGTCCGAATAGAATGATAAATATAGCAAATAGCAAAATAGCAAAGTGTACAGTGAATAGCGAAATGTCCGGAATAGAACGAAAAGGTATCCGTAAGCATGTGAGAGGTAGGTCCGTCACCGGTGTTCGGTGATCTTCGTCGTGTCAGCTGTGACGTTTAGCGTTGAACATGGCGAGTCATCGATAGGTTCTGTGATATCGAAAATAGCTTTAGGGGGGCACGCGACCATGGAGGATTGCGTTGCGTGGCGGGGATCTAGTAAATTAAACGGACTCGACGAGGCGGGAGTGTCGCGCTTGGCTGGGCGCGGCCATGCCTGGGTATCGACGTGGCGGGCGGTTCGGCCGTCGTTGCTACGAACAGATCCCGTCAGATGTCACGTCAAACGTCTGTCGGCACTATGAGGCGGAACTCACGTGTCTAGACATTATTAACTTCGCCATGGACAATGGCGGCTGAGGGTGGCAGGGCGGCGGTGGTGCTGCGAGAGGGTCGGCATTGATATCGTGTGTTGCGAGATGAACGAGCGCGCGGTACTCACGAGGCTTCTCCGGCCCAAATTTCCGCGTTATTTGCCAGTTCATGTTCAGGTTCATGCGGGCGAGGTGCGCGGCGCCAGCGTAGCCCCCCATGCCCATACCCATCCCCGCGTCGGCACCCATCCCTGGCGGGCTGGCGCCGTTCAGGTTGAACGGCAGACCCAGCGACGCGCTCCAATGCCAGAGTTTGTCCATTTGCGTCATTGATGATGAAGAGGAGGCCATCGAGTCGTCGGCATGTGCGTACGACGTGGAGGGCAGGGAGAAGTGGTGGGCCTGGACGCGGATGAGGACGGCGAGGAGGGAGGTGAGGAAGGAGAGGACGGAGATCATGACGACGGAGAGCGAGAGGAGGTCGCCCATCGTGGCCGGCGGCGGCGGCGTCGTCGAGGGAGGGACGGGGGAGGCGGCGAGTGCGCTGGCGGAGGAAGACGAGCGGCCTTGGATACCGTGTCCAGTTCCTCCTAAGTAAACCGGCTGTAACCGGCCCCGGTCCGTTGTGGCGTCAGCGACAATGAGCGGTGTCCGGGGTTACACAAGAACCAATGGCACTTCTCGCCACAAGGCAAACAGCCACAAATGTCCGGAGCGGGACGCGGTGGCAAACGGTAGCCACCGCTCCAAGTCCAAGTCTTGCTCATCGCGCATACACTCGTCGGGCTGCTTGGAAGAGGGCGTACGTCGCGACAGAAATCCCTTTTTGCGCTCCATACACGTCCTTTAACTTTCTAGACTCTGTTTCACGCGTCAGCCTCCGATGGTCTCTGCAGACAACCTGAATCTCGACGTCTTGGAACTCATCTTTGCTTATTTGTCTGGCAATGACCTCGTCTCTGTCTCGCTCGTGAGCAGGTCCTTCTTTGCAGGGGTCATCCCAAGGCTGTATCATACGCTGGGATTCCGTCTCAGTCACTCCAAGAAATACCCTCAGGTGCTTGATAGATCGGCATCTAAATATCAGGACCGCACTAACAAGCTACTCCAGGTCAAATCACCGTTCGCTGCTGTAATGGCCCATCCAGACTTTGCTGTTCATGTCAGGCAGATTGGTAGGTCTCCCTGTCCCTTCTCCCCGCTCGGACCCACTGACAGTCCGACCCAGACATCCGCACAGTCCCTCTCATTCACTCTCACCCCCACCCAGAATTTGTTCGTGATTGCACGAACGTCATCAAGCTCGCCAGTAATCTGACATCCTTCACCCTGACCGTCGTCGACGCACTTCCCCCGTTCCTCCCGGCATTGCAAGGCAAGGAACGCCTGCGTGACCTGCGCGTATACGCGAACCTCACGTCTGACCAGTCTGCGAAGCTTATTGGTTTGAAGGGCCTGAGCAGCTTAGTCCTGGACCATGCGTCGTGGAACTTGGTGGATCTGCTGCCAACATGGACGAGGTCGCTTTCGGCGAGCCTGACGAGCTTGACGCTATACGTGAGTTGTCATGCTGTCTCCGGAATGCGTGATGAACCGTGTGCCTAGATGGCGAGCGACTTGAACGAGCTGGTCCTACGCCACGTGCTCTCGCATTGCCCGCACCTCACCGGCCTGCACGTCGTGGGCTGCCCGAGGGCCGACCACGTAACTGTCCTTAAGCTCGCATCGCTCTTCACCCCGAACCTGGAAAGTCTCTCCATGACTTCCTGGGTGCGTCCCTCCCCTCCCTCTCTTATCCTCTCACTAACGTCCCCTTATACACCCAGGAAAATCCCCGCCCGCTCCCCCCAACTCTCACCCCCCTCCGGCACCTCAAGCACCTCGCGCTCGACACGCACTGCTCCATGGCGCCTCCGCACGCGCCGCCCGTCTGGACGCCGCTCTTCCAAAAGACCGCCGAGTGGTCCTGCCCGTTGGCGAGCGTGACGCTGCGCCTCTCGGAGCGCCTCGCGGTCGCGGACGGCTTCGTGCAGGCGCTGCTTGACGCGCACGCGGGCACGCTGCGCAGCTTGTTCTTCGTCGGGTGCCGCCTCGGCCCGGATGCGCTCCGCCGCGTGTGCGAGCGCTGCGAGGAGCTCGAGCGGCTCGGCGTGGGCGTGCCGGGGAAGGATATTGTATGTGTTCTCGTTTCTTTCGTTTGTTTAGTTGAGCGGGGGCTGATGAGCATGGGTGGGTGCTCCAGGATGAGTTTATCGATTGTATGGCGAAGTGCGCGTCGCTCCGCGTGCTCGTCGATATGGGCACCGACAGACACGTGCCTGGGAAGACGGGCGTGGGGCGCGTGAATATCACCAGGGACAGTGTCGAGGATCTCATGGATATTACGAACATCAACCTGGTGCTCACCGAGACGCGGCGGTGGACGGTGCGTCTCGTGTTCTTAACCTCGGGCTGGTCATGAATGGTAAGGCTGATAGATGCCTATTTGCCGTAGCGCGCGGAGGGCGAAATGACTGCAAAGCTGGAGCGGCGGAAGCCAGTTGCACTGTCGCATTGGTTCATGCCGAAGATATGATTTGGACTGGCTTGTTTGGCGTTGCTGGTAGGCGTAGGCTTCTTGTTGACTGTGTAGGTTGCGTGTCACTTGCAACTCGCGTTCTGCTATCGTGTATTGTATAGCTGCGTAACGTCGTGAAGGTGCTGGTGGACCTCTAAGCGCCTTCATTCTGTTGTGTCTTCGTTGCGGGCGGGTTGCATCCCGCCCACGGGTGTCTTGGAGGAAGTCATGCCCATGGTGCCATGCAAATGCAACGGATCACGAATGCTCCGTTCGCATAACGGTGCACCCTGCTCTCCAGGCCGCGTCGACCAAGTGGGTATGTTAGTCTATTGGTTTTGTTTCGTCCATGCACTCACTCGTCGGTCTCCCGTTGGCTGGAGAGCTGACGGAACATCGTGAGCCGGTCGAGCTTTAGGGAACCGGTCCGCCGTCGTCTCTCCATTGTTTCTGCGCCAGACTGGCTCGCGATCTACACTGCGGGGTCGAATAGCCGGAGTTTGCTAGTGACCACTATCCCTGGAGGAGCAAGTACATTCGTCGCCCAATCAGAGGATTATAGGTGCGAGGCTCGAGCGCCTTGCAAATATCCCCTCGGTTTTACCTGCGACCTGTTTCGTCGTAGATAGCCATGGGGAATGACTGGCCCCGTCTCACATCTATAGGTATCGTACATTTTTGTTACATTCTGTCTGGTACGGAGCGCGGCTCTAAATCAAACGGCGGGGCCTAATGGTCTAATAATCCACGCTGCCCATTTCTCGCCGTCTCGAGCAGCCCACCGCCAACGTGGAGAGGACGCGGGCTACAGACAGAGGCATCAAGAGACGTTGCTGCGAGAACTGATGCGAACCCACCTTCATGCGTGGCACCTGGCTAAAATGGGCCCCTCCCAGCAGTTTTGATATCATCAAGATACTGCTGTGCAATGGGGATTATATGCCGTGGCCGCGACGGTCCGTCGAACAATATCGGAGCAGGCCCCGACTTTGCCTGCACCGACGGGCTCGAGTTCGTCGTCGACACGTGCCGCGGGGGGTCCCCGCTCAGGGTTGGCGCCGCGGGTGAGTCTGACACGTCGAAGGGCCTTGACGGCCCGCTGAAGAAGTAGGAGGTGCAGAACTCGGTAGGTGAGGAGGATGATGATTGTTGTGGGAGCGAGGGGGATGAGGTGGGTGAGTGGGCGGTGTGCATGCTCTCGCGTGCCCGGATGTGCCCGCGGACGCGGAGGGGGTTGAGGGTCTGGCGGACTTGGGAGGTAGCTGCAGTCGCGGCCATGACTGCGGTAGGCGAGGCGGGCTGGTGTGAAGGGTGCGGAATGGGTTGTAAGTCCAGACTCTAGACTCGCGAGATGCGCTTTATACGCTCTCGGGGAAAGTAGAAGCGAGATGGCTGGAAGTTCGTATGACAGGACGCTCCTTGGCGCGATGGCTATCGGTGGGTAGCTGTCAGCGGCATTTGGACTGCAGGATGCAGGTCGCGGCAATGGTGCGGACCAGTTGTTATACCCGCTGCCTCGTCCTTTGCCTTTCCTTATGTGAGACAGACGGTCATGGGATCCAAGGACAGCTGGTACAGGTACTCAGCTGCTTAGTGTCTTCGTTTCTTTGTCCGTAGGTGAGTGTATCCCTTGCCGATGTTATGAAAGTTGCGATCGGATATTAGGCGTGCAGACGCGCTTAATCTCCGAATCGCGGTTTAACAACGAAGCTAATCATGTCGACGCGGGACCGCTGCAGAATTAGAGTGATGCTTCCTTTGACATCAGGGCGCCCTTGTGGACCGCCGGGTTCTTCAATTAGAACCAGTTCTCTCTGTAAGTCGTCATATCATATCGCAGAGTGTACGAGCTGGAATCGCGAATAGAACAGAAGACTCCGAGCCTCCCATGAGATATTGGACGTGTTGATGGATGCTGATTCTGAAATTGAATCATCTGCGATTTTGTATGTGAGAGAAGCTCGCAGGGACGTGATGTATGCGGATTGCGCCCCTTCACCTCAAGCAGGTCAAATATCTGGAGGTCCTGTCCAATCTCGCGCTCGGACTCATCGACCGGGTTGCACCAGGCTGCTAGTAAGGCCGCGCATCTGACGATCGCTCGTGTATACCGAACGCTGGTCGCTGCAAGCATACTTCGAAACCTTAACTCTGACATTAACTGGGACACTGGATGCTTGGAACAAACTAGAGCGCTATGCGAAGGACTGCCACGATGACCGTTGCTCGCCACTGACCCCCACCCCTCTCCTCTACTTGATCTCCTGGAAGGTCTGCTGCTCAGCAAGTATGTCAGATGCGAGTGCGAACCATGGGCTGCTCGGGATCCAGAGGATAGCGTTCTGGACTTCCCGAACGTTGGATGCGTGCTCCGGGGCCTGGTGGTTGGCATCTCCTAAAGAGCAGCGTCAGCGTTTCGCTCATGCTGGCAGCTCAATATGTGTACCGTGGTTACGCGGAGCATGAAGAACAGCTGCGGCGGGCGATTGCGCGCGAACGACGGTGGGCATGATGGTCTCTAGTAACTTGAGCGTAGGGCTGGACGTCTCGATCGATTGATGTAGGTGAAATCCGGTGGGGGTGGTCTGTCCTGCTCGCACTGCTTAAATATCGCGATGGCGCCCGCAGTCGGGACGCCGTCTGAGGATCGGCTCAGACTCTGAAGTTCAAGTAACATGCCAGTGAGTGGTTTATCTTGGAAGCAGGAGCCTGATGTACTCTTACCCGTGACAAGTAAACGCTGGCCCCGCTAAGATTCGTCTGCTCATTTTGTTGACATCTCTTGCATGGAACATGCTCGGTACGTCATACCGCTATTTTGCTCGGTAAGTCTGTGGCTTATAGGTTGGCAGCTGACTCTGGCCGCGTCGGGGAAGCCTGGCGCAGGGCCATAACTCCGCTGCACGACGTAACATTGGTGTGTTCAGGAGTTGGTCACATTTAAAGCAGACAAACATGGGAGGAAACCCGACGGCGAACGCTTCACGGACAGACACAGAACGCAGGTGATAAGTAATTCTACTGCGAAGTCTCTGCAGCAGCAGACTGTACACTGTTTCTCCACGCTGCGGTATTTCCCTCGTCATCGAGCCACCATTTCCCCCATCTTGGCATCTGGGGCACGACGTGCGTTAGTGGACAAGCACCATGCCGCCATGTCAAAGCACCTACCGGCTGGGGCGGCGAAGTGGCTCCCGACGCTTGAAGGGAATAGGATTTTGTCCTGTCATAATTTTGCAGTGGCTGAATCTAATGAAAATGCATCTCTGGGACAAATCTGTCGGCCGGATACTCACCCCAGCTAGCAAAATGTTCGGGGCGCCACCCTCAGCATTGTTTCTCGAGCGGCAGTCTGTCAGAGTCCCACACCGGGAGCAGTATACGTCGTGCATGTTCTCCTTGGATTGGCGACCGTCCTTCAGCGCCTCGAACATGAAATCTGCCGTGTGGACCTTGCGCTGAATCGCAGTCCACACCCTGCCGTTGTTCCAATCAGGTCTCTTTCCCGACTCACTGAGCCGAGATCCGAACAGACCAGTCTATAAACTCGGTGTACTTCCCGCAGTGTTTGCATGGCTGGGGCTGCCCTACAACAAGGGTCGCACCGATGCCAGTCTCCTGGAAGTCGCGCCCTCCGAAGACCTTGCACAGCCGGTGGTACTCGTCTTCTGTGATGTACCACCTGTAGAATGGCTGTCCGTCCTCGTGGCCGAGGAACTTCGTGGGTGGTGGCTTCCTGAAGGTCGTCTACGAGTACGTACGTAGGTGCGCCGCGTCAGTCCCGGGGAATGCAGAGTGAGCCTCAGAACTTACGGGAATAGTCTGAATGTCTGCTTTCTGCACAGCGTCCATGGCAATAGAAGCGAGGAGAGGCTAGGGAGTCACCGTCACTTGATAATATCCTTGACTGACGTGCTCTACTGCTCCGGGATAACATGTACAGGGAAACAATTTACGCCTGACTTGCCGTACGTTCGTGGGATAGTGCAAAGTGTCATGTCAGGGATTCTATGCGACCATCACCCGACTGGTGACTAGGGGATCCTGCAACTTCGGATTCGAGCGCAGTGTGGAGTAATTGGGTAGTGAAATTCCAGGGTCCAAGCACCGTAGGTATTAGGTTTGCGGCATGCACAGCGCGGGACCTGTTGACCGGATGCTAGTCCCTCTGATCGCCAGCATCCAGCATAAGGTATGCGTTCAGCTGCCACACTGCAGTGACTGAGCAAAACGAGCAGCCTTGAAGTGCATGTGTGTTCTGTAACGCTAGACACTACATCATGAAAATCTTAGCCATATACCCCACTGGAGCATGTTGACCACGAAGATCGGGAGGCCGAGCTCGAACACAAAGACACAGGCAGGAATTGGAGTTGCGACTCGGAGGAGACGGAGCGTTCGCTCACGATCGTCGAGCTTCGTGACAAGGGGAGACCCTCAGATCAGCATAGGCAATGACAAATGTGATTAGCCAGGCGGATTTAGAGGAGCTGGGGCTTTGGAAGTGCTCATCCTAACCTAGCGGCAGGGCAAGGAGAGTCGGAGGTAAGTACTATGGCGGATCACTGGCCGTGAACAGTACAGATGGGCGTCTCAGTACGTCCTCTAGGACAATAGAGGACGCTGTTACTAGCACTCTATCAAGGGCGGAGGAGGACGCTGAAAGCGAGTACTTAATTCCTGTCAACGAGTGTTCATACAGCACTTGCCACAGCCGGAAATTGCCACTCAAGGCTTGCCACACTGCGGCGCGCCTATGGAGCCTCCAGAAGACATGGATCTCTAGCAAGAGCACACGCAGTGACATTGATAGTACGAACGTATCTATGCAGTTTACTGTGCATGAACCGCCTCTGTATTCATACAGTACGACAAAACCATGGCGGTAACAGCTCGTCGCATCAATCCTCCGGCGAATAATACATCGCACCGCCACACTTCGTAAGCTTAATGGGCACTGGCACGTCTCAGGCCTGCAATCACCATCACGGGAACACAACCCCACTGACTAGTACAGAACACTGTGTTTGACAAGGACCCATACGACTTGCACTGGTACATGTTGGTGACTCGGATGAGTGACGACAGATGACTCTGTGCTCGCTTGAGACTGTATACATATGAGTGAAGAGAAACTCAATGCTCAGAAACCGCGATCGTCATCCTGATCGCACCCAGCATGACTCCCAACCCGTCAAAGAAAGCACGGAGGCAGGCCGCTACCAACACCACATCTTACCTCGGCGGCATTCACACTACAACTGCCAAATCCAATACAGCAAGCGGTAAACCCAAACATAGGCTGCCACACGCTCCTTCCCCGCAAATCGATGCCGCCGACGACTGGGCGGGCTGGCAATCCGACTACGACCCCGAGGGGCAGTGGGAGGATTGTGGTAAGAAGAAAAAGAAGAAGACGAAGCATGCCACGGGGGTGAACTACCGGAGGAAGCTCGGGAGGTCGGTGTGCGAGGAGGACGAGGTCCGGGTGGCGGTAACAGAGCAGGAAGTCAAAGATGTAGAACTGGACGAGGACGACCGGGATGGCGAGATGACCAAGGAACTGGAACCAGGCGCTTTGGACAGCGGAAAGGCCCAGGGCTGGGAAGCCGCTGGAGATCAAGCAGTGGCTGGGGAAGACGGGTTAGATTGGGCGAGCGTAGAGTTCCAGTTCATACAGGCGCAGGCGTTGATGGGAGACAGCGAAGAAGAGTGGGAAGTGGTCGAGCGGATGGGCGGGCATACTGCGGCCCAGAGGCGCATGTATTCTGAGGTCCTGAGGGGCCTGGGGTAACGGTCGTACAGACGTTGCCCAATGCCCTCGGACTCTGCGGTATGGGGATGCAGCAGGGTTGCTTGTACCATCTGGCGACATCGTCTAAGCAGACTAAGTCCTGTAAGATCCTGGAGGCATGTAAGCGGGAGAGTTCCGAAGAATGGTATCGCCGCTGGACCGCGCCTCTTAAGTACCGCAGCAAAGCATGACTGTGCAGAGCAGAGAAGAAGAACGAAAGGACTTAGCTCGCATCGGTTCTCTGCAGCGCAGTTACATGTTCACTGCCTCTGCCGATCCATAACAGACTTGTGACGGTTTGCGTAAGAACCTAATTTAAAGGAGGTTGTGAAGAACATGCCCTAGTCATTCGCCACGGCGGTGACTAGATACGACGTGCGCGCTTGTCAATGTCATTTAAGCATCAGCCCAGCAGGCCCCTTTCCTACCGGTGCAGATGCGTGGATGCCTTCGTCGCAATGTCCCTCCACGTCTCACGAAGGCTCTCTTTCTTATACCTTCTTCCTGTATTATTGTGCCTGAATTGACCCTTGTCCCCAATGTTCAACGACCCACCCGAGTACACCGGCACCGTCTACATATGCCGACTGCATACGGCATCGCTTTACGCAGATGGCGGTGTTCGGATGCTGGGGCCGTCCGTCATCTGCATAGCGTAGAAACAGAATTCGAAGCGCCCATTATGCTCGCTTTACAGCGGTGATTCGATTCGGGCGGTGCCAGGCTGGCAGGTCCAAACGTGTTTTGTCGTTCGTACCTATATATGTAGCAGTCGCTGCGAGTACTCAGTTAACTCTTTCTCTCTTTCTGCGTGGTCCGACTGGGCTCCTTGTTTCGTATCCCACCTACTAGTCTCACCTACGAGGGCTCCGAGTCTCACCTTTACGCTCCTTCCTGTGTATAAAGTCGACAACTTTTAGTGTTTCGTCGCAACTTTGTGGCGAGACATGGGTCACCAGCATAGCGTCCTACGCCGGCGTTCGAATTCACGCCATTCCGAGAAGAAACGTGGTGGACCGCCACAAGCTTCAGCAGAAGCAACACTGCCCCCTTCCCCTCCCCCTCCTCCCAACACCCTCGATGTTTCTACCCACTTTGAGGCTGTCCAGCCTCCTTCGACGCTCGCCAGCTCGCATATAAAGCCGACCGCGTCTACCTCGACAGGAGTGAGCACTGGTGACACCCGGGCTCCGGCAGGTCCCGAGGACAATTCCGGCTCGGTGAGTGTTGTCCTAGTCTGGAAATTGAATGGAAGCGCTATTTTTAGCACGCCAGTGCTATAAGCTGCTCAGCTATAGACTCGGAGATCAGTGCAGGGGTACCGTATCACTGCACATCGCCAGCGTCTCTGCTCCTTTATACCGATTCCTGTCTGTCTGGAGGACTGTCTGCTGAGTGCTGCTTTTTAGGTGGATAACAGAATGACAGGAACTGCGACGACGGTACCGTGTCAGGTGAGAGACATGCATTGTGAGGTTTGCTATCGGCGCTCATGACCCCGCATCATGAAAATCCATCTGGACTATCTGCATCTCGTCTACGAATTTGTGGTTACGACTGTGCACTTCAACCACCCAGTATCGCACTGGCAAAACCCTGGGAAGCGGCACATACGCTATCGTAAAGGAGGCCGTCCATATCAAGACGGGCAAGTACTATGCTTGCAAGGTCATCAACAAGAAGCTCATGCAGGGGCGGGAATACATGGTACGCTTCGTCCCGTATCTTGTACCTGGTAGGGTTTCCCTGTGCAGCCCCACGTCCACGTGGACTTAGGGGTTGTATGGTCGGACACTTTACTGCGATCTTGCTTGTGTTCTTGGCTGTGACATGTATCTTCGGGAATGCGACCTGATTGCTTTTCATCATAGGTCCGCAATGAGATCGCAGTACTGAAGAAGGTCTCGAGCGGGCACCCGAATATCGTTACATTGCGAGACTATTTCGAGGTCAGTGCGGTCGGCTATGCTCGTACGCCGCCAGGTGCTTATGATCCATTCGGCGGACGTCAGACAGCGCACAATTTGTACCTGGTCTTCGACCTATGTACAGGAGGGGAGTTATTTGATCGGATATGTGCAAAAGGCAGCTACTTCGAACAGTATGTCCAATGCTCCCACTCGGGCATTATTGCGCATAATAAACATGTCTCCGAACCTAGGGACGCCGCACAGCTAGTGCGAACAGTCATGCGAGCAGTCAAGTACATCCATGACTGCGGTATCGTCCACCGAGGTGCGTATCTCATGATCACGACTCACACAATGCCGTGCCCACGCCACGTTCAGACCTGAAACCCGAAAACTTATTGTTTCGAACACCCGCGGAGGAGGCGGATATTATGATCGCAGACTTCGGGCTGTCGCGAGTCATGGAAGAGGAGAAGCTGCAGTTGCTCACCGAGATCTGCGGGACGCCGGGCTACATGGCGCCAGAGATCTTCAAGAAAAGTGAGCATCCCCCCTTCACCAACTTATTCGTGTTTAACCGCTCGTCCCTCCCACTTAGCCGGCCACAGCAAACCAGTGGACATCTGGGCTATGGGCGTGATCACCTATTTCCTGCTCTGCGGGTACACGCCGTTCGACCGGGACACGCAGCAGGAGGAGATGGAGGCGATTATCGCGGGCGACTACAAGTTCGAGCCGGCGGAGTACTGGGCGAACGTGTCGGAGACGGCGAAGGAGTTCGTGCGCTACTGCCTGACGATCGACCCGAATGAGCGCCCGACGGCGGAGCAGGCGCTGCAACACCGCTGGCTCGCGGATCTGGGCGAGCACTTTGTGCCCGACCCGACGAGCCCGAGCGGCGCGCCGACGAACTTGCTGCCAAATATCCAGAAGGCGTTCAATGCGAAGAAGACTTGTGAGTGGTTGACTCTGCGTTTTTCAGGGTGGAGCTGATTGGTTTCTTCACGTAGTCCGGAAGGCGGTTCTGGGTATGATGGCGGTGAAGAGGATGTCAAGTCTTGCGCACCCCGCGTCCCCCGCGCACCACGAGCTCCGCAACAACTTGCCCGCATACAAGGAGGAGTCGGAAAAGGTCAGTCTGTGGATCCTTGTTCACTGGACAACTGCTAAAGCTGTATGATGTCTCGCAGGAAATCGTGGACCAGGATCAGGAGGTCCTGCATCTGCACTCCGAGTCCCAGCCCGAGATCGACAAGCTGAAGAAGGAGGACGACATCTCGCAGGACAACGGCGACGCGCCAACCAAGGCGCTATCCCACATGTCCATATCCGAGGACAAGTAGGAGCACGATGCCTCTTGGTCTTGGATATTGGGTGGAGGGACGTTTGGATGGAAGGAATGGATTACTGTACGATGGTGCCTAGGACTACATGCTACTAATCGTTCCCTTCCTTGCTATTGCTATTGTGTAGAACTAGCGGGCTTTGGCGTTTCATTCAGTGCTGTGTGCCACAAGTCTGCCACAGATGTTTCGAGCTTTAGCGTTTAGGCGCCCATGCCGATTGAAGCCACACGTGGTGTTTCGTTCCTGAGCCTGCTCCATTGCCCGAGTCGGACTTGTCCCGTTGAGCTGCAAGCGTTGGAGCTGCCGTTACACAACTGCATACATATGATTCACTGGAGGACAGCTTGCCTACCACTGCTTGGTTGCTGAGGCCAGGGTATAAAACGAACACCCACCATCTGCTCTGTCGTCGACGCCGCATCAGCCGCATCAGGCTGGCGGAAATACTCAGGCTGTCAGGGATCACTCTAGGGCGGTAGAGCTTGCAACATCCAAACTGGCTTGCGCTCGACCATGGACGTCTTCGGAGTGACTTATTTGATTGAAAATGCTCAGCAGTTCTGGTCGGGTCAGTTTCAGTGTCGTGTGCGCCATGAGTAACTGAACTGAACGGTTTATACAGAGCTGGAGGATATTCTGCGGATACCCCCCGATGTGACGCTGAGCCAGCTGGATGCGACCTTGAGGCGGTTCATTCAGCTAGCGGCAGCGTACCATGGTGAGTCAACCCGGTAACATGGATGTGGTGCATGCAGTTGGTGAGATAGACATGGCTTTTCCTAGAGCAATACTTGCAAAGTCCCCTGCAGATGGAACATGCATGTGGGCTTCTGCTGGACTCGGAGTTGTTCAAGTTCCACTCGGAGCGGATGTGCGAATTGTGTCTGGAGGACGCCCAACACGTATGTGTCACTCCCGCTCCTGTGTTGCCTCTATAACAATCCTTCCTCTTTACAGGACACGAATCCGCATTGTCAGTTCATCCTGTACAATGTCCTGCTAATGTACGGGCGCCGAAACACTACTTTCCTCCGCTCGCACAAGCGGTGGCAGCCGCTCATACCCTTCTTCATGGATCATATCCTCTATGATGTCGATCCGGAGCTGGAAGATACCTACTCGGGGAACACCGCGCCCTCGGGGTCCCGCGGCCTCGTTATACCCATTGAAGTGAAGCTGCGGTCGATGTCGGTGCGGCTGTTGTACGAGGTGTGCAGGGTGCAGAAGTTGTCTGTTCATGATTTACGTGAGTCCTTCTGCGATCTCAAACTACGATCACGAAGCTGATTGTATAACGGGAGTCTAGGTATATTTGATGATAATTTCATTGACCGGCTGTTTGACCTCGTCGAGGAGACGAGGAATCTGCAGGATGAAACCTTTAATTACTCAGTGATCAAACTGATTGCGAGTCACTTTCTGCTTATGAAATGGACTTATTGCTGATCTTCTGATAGGTAGCCCTCAATGAACAGTTCATGGTGGCCTCGTTGAGTCCTTCTGACAAAGCTGCGGTGCAGCATGGCGATGGCCCGAAACCCGAAGTTCAAAATCGCGTGTTACGAGTTCTCATGAGACGATTAGGCTCGAGCATGACGTTCGGCGAGAATCTGATCTTCATGCTCAATCGCGCAGGTACCCAGCTTCTTTCTTCTATAGCAATGGTCAGACTGACGAGGGTATCAGGGCGGACACCCGAGGATCGGTGCATGCAGCTGCTCGTGCTCAAAATCCTATACCTCCTCTTCACCACCAAGGGTACTTCCGAGTACTTCTACACCAACGACCTGTGCGTACTAGTCGACGTCTTCCTGCGGGAGCTGGTGGACTTGGACGAAGATGGCGAGAACGAATCGGTATTATACCCTCCCTCCGCATACCTTATATCCTCCGACTTGCACTCACTCCGCGTTGTTTCCCCCTCAAAGCTCCGACATACCTTTTTGCGCGTACTGCACCCGCTCTTGACGAAGACGCAGCTCAAGAATGTGCCGTACAAGCGCCCACAGATCGTGCGCACGCTCGAGTCGCTCATCGAGAACGCGGATATCCGCGACGTCAACCCGACGACGAAGCGTCTAGTCGAGCGGTGTCTGAGCGGGGAGTGGTGCGTGCAGTTCCGCAAGAACAGCGGGGAGGGGAAGGCGAAGTTGAGGTTGGGATACCTGAATGTCGGGGTGGACTACCGCGTGGCGAGTCCGAGCAACGATAACGTAGCCGCTGCGACGACCTCTTCCCAGAGCGCCACGATTCAGAACGGGCTCCTCGCGCCTCAAGCGGAGAAGGAGCGGACGAAGGGCAAGATGCTCAAGTCGAGCAGGAGCGTGGATAATATGAAGGCGGCGGGAGCACCCCTACCTTCGTCAAGGACACAGGACTTGAGGAGGAAGCCGACGAACGAGAGCTCGTCGAGCCTGCCGCTCGTCGCAGCGGCGCGCCCCTCGCAAACCGCGCCGAAACGGCGGGACACCACCGCATCGCTAGATAACAGTGGAACCTCGTCGCCGGCAGAGTGGCCGGGGCGTGAGTACCCGTACGCGCAACCGCACCGCTCGGACTCGCTGGGCGCCGTCGACGGGATCGTGAGCCCCACGCATTCCGGCTCCTTCACCACGCTGACGGACGTGGCCGCGGCGCTCCCGCCGGCCGCTGCGAGAGTGAAGAGCGCGAAGGGCGTGAGCCATAGGAGCGCCCCGCCGACGCCGCCCCCGAGGAGAAGGAAGCCCCCCGCTGTGCCGGTGGGGAAGACGAATGGGGGGGCGACGATCACGGCGATTGCGAGTTCCGCGTCGCAGCCTGCGATGCCGCATTCACATAGGGCGGTGAGTTAGGTGGATTCGTCGGACATCTTGGACAGAGTGATAGAAATTGTCGGGTTATTTGAGAGGACGCGGTCTGTTATCATTATGTATTTTTACTGTTTGCATTGACTCATCGGATACATCCCATTCGCATTTGTTCATCTTACAGAGCTCTTTCTCATTGCGCTTTCGCACCTCGTCTCCTCCGCCTTGCAGCTCCCGAATGTCATTGATGATGTATCGTGAGACGACATCTCCGGACTCAATGATCCATCAAGGGTCTGATGCAGATCACAACTTTCACCCTCTTCCGTCATACTCACCGGTGTTCTTACTCGTTCGGAGACGTTCGGTCGAGGAATATCCACAGGCCTTTCGTCGATTTAGTCTGTGTAAGAAGCTCATCATGATCAAAGGTCACTCGGGGCTACTCTCGAAGAGCAATTTGACAGACTCAGAATGGCAGAATGAGACGTTGCAAGATGTCATGCCACCTCCGGCCATACCGCTCAATCTATCCACCTTCGCTATCGTTCCGCACCCGCCTCAGGAGGTGGCCGACCGCCCTGGCATATCATAAGGGGCACATATATATCATCCCCTGAACGTCAAAGAAGGATAGTATGCTTCCGTCTTACATATCCGGTAATTGCCCGTATTCCAAGTTATACTGCTGATCCGCCGTTGCTGTCCTGCTACCTTCTCCTTTCGTTGATACATGAGTTTTGTAGAAATAGTAAGAAGAGCGTTGAAAGTAGCTATACGATTGCTGACACAGCTTGCGAAAAGGAGAGTGAAGTGCAAAGAAAGATGAGGGACCGTATGGCGTTAGCCACCCGACGATCACCTTCGCTCGCGAATTCGAATTTTAGCCGGGGGAAGGCTGCAAATAAAGCCTGATATTCTCCGGTCAGACTCTCTGTTTCTGGCCAGCTGGACCTTCATATCTGTACTCGTCGTCGCTGCCATCGTCGACGCCGAGCGCAACGGTGTCCAAGCCATAGCGATAGCCCCCTTCGTTGCTAGGTGCTCCGCTCCGGCCAGTGAAGAGACCTCTCTGAGCCATACCCGGCGGAATTGGCGAGTTTGCTGCTCGTCCGACTTGTCTAGTTGTGTACTGGAAAGCAATCTGCGTTCTGCCCAGCTGTTCGATGTATGTTAGACGTACCTCGATGCGTGCATTCCGTGCTGACTTGACGTTCTGGCAGCGAACACCCACCGGCCCTGGCTCGCCCACATCCAGGATATTATATACTTGATACAGCATAATAAAACCTCAAAAGCACCGACCGACGTTCTTTAACCAGTTCAGCAAGAATGTTAATTCGTCTCGTCCCCCAGCCGCCGTCCCCGACGGTGCTGTTCACGCTTTCCTTTCCGCCCCTCGCCCAATCTCTTCCCCCACCCCCATCGTGGCACTTGCAGATTCAGAGACTGGCAACGTCGGAGCTCGAGTTGCCCGCATCCATCCATGCGCTGGATAAATCCGCTTGGGTCGTGTGCGTCTTACAGGAGGTAACTTTCGACCTCTGTGCTGGGACTGTGTCGTGCCTCTTCGTCGATGGACAGAGAGAGGAGTGGCCGCTCGTGGGGGCAGTAGGGGATAGGTGCGTCAAGTCGCTGGAAAGTGTCTTGGACGACGTCAATTCCTCTGCGAGAGAGAACGAGAAGGAGCGGTCTGCGGGCGTCGAAGAGAGCCAGTCTCACGTCAGATCAGTGAATCCTAATAGCGTTAAATCGCCCGCGCCGGTCAAGCACAAGAAGCAGCGGTCTCTGCTCATGTCCTTGGTCGCGTAAGATTTATTCGTGCAATTCTCACCGAGATGTACTAATGCTTACATAGTTCACTCGTTCCCCACTCTCACCACCCGGTCCCTTCTCGCGAAGCTCCTCCGCCTCCCGCTCCCGCTCCCGTCCCTGTCGAACCATCCCCACGGCCCCTCCTCCCTTCCCAAATGCCCCTTTCCGGCAAACAGCTCCGGCGGCGCGCTCGGTCGACTTTGACCGACACCTACCGCCTCTTCGTCCTTCCGGAACTGCTGACCCGCCTAAGTCCCGGTGGTTACTACACGTGGATTCTCCGGTCCATGATCGACCGGGCTCAGCGCCGAATGCGCGAGCTGGCTGAGCAGAGAGGCCTTCGGATGTCCGACGGGCAGATTGGCTGGACTTGTGGGAGGCAGGTAGGTGCTGGGAATGACGTGGAGGCAGAGGGCGACATGTTCTGGGATGAAGACGAAGAGGGCACTGGCGAGGGTGACGGCGACAGCCTGGAGACTGAGACCGACGGGAGTTCCGTGCACATCTCAGATTCGTCCTGTCTGCTGCAGTCCAAGCATAAATGGATATGGATCACCTTCGTTCGTACCTGTATCGTGACTCTGACTCGTGTCGATCTCTCGTCGTCATCCCTCTAGAGAGGATATGGGCGTATGTACCAGCTCAGCAAAAGCACAACGCATCGCTCCGGCTGCTTCTCCTCTGAAACAGCGCTTGCAATTGCCAGAGCCGTCATGATCGGCTTTCATCCCTACGAACTGGAGAAGACCAAAGAGAGTAAGTGAAATTCCGAGAAAAAGACGTGCTGATACCAGGACATTGGGCCCTTGATTGACACACTAGTATAACGCCTTGAGTACGTCAGCCAGTGTGGCCCAAGTGCCTTCCTGAGGCTTCTCCGACTTTTCTAAGTTACATTACAGCTACAGGTATTCATCTTGCCATTCACTTTGATAGCAATTAGTTGCGGTTTGTGCCATGCTTCTATTGTGCGTGCGGTTTGCTGACTGGACCGTCAAGCGATTGGTCCAAGGCGACGGACGCTTTCCAGTCACTGGCACCTTGCTCTGGACTTGTTATAAGCTGAGCATGTGCAGGGTTTGATAGCAGCCCACCTTCGAAGACTCAGGAGCCGTACTGTCTTCCGTACCACACCCTCTATCCGCGCCCCATGGTACTCCCGCTCACTTTCAATGCCACGGGCGATATCATCGCCGTTGTTCAGTTGGCATATTAGGTCGTGAAGGCTCCTACGGCAGACGGTGATGTATGCCTCAGCGGCTCTGGGAAGCGTGGCGTTCGAGAGCGACTTGACGAGTCGCGTCCTTGCGCAGAACGGCGAATGCAATACCCGGCTGGAAGACCTGCACCGAAAGATTGAAGTGTATCACAAGAAGCTATCCAAGAGCTCCTGGCGTGCTGTCGGCTGGGGCTTGTACAAGCAAGATGACATAAAGGGCCTGAGGGATACATTTGCGGCATCGTACTGCAATCATACCTAGTTTGGCGATGGGGAACACATTTCGTGTATTCACTGTCTCTGCGGTAGTTGCACTGAATGTCCTCTTTGTAGTATGGCCGCGTCAACTTTGATAGACCTCGTTAACGAGGCTTGGACGGAACCACATGTCCACCAAGATTCAGCTGAATAAGGTATTGACATCCCTACGACAATTGCCGCTTGTGATAAGGCACTCACTCGATAACGGTGCACACTTTATTGGTGGGGTGGGAAAGGATATGATCTTTTCCGTGGAGTTATGAGTTATGTTCGACATGGGACACGAGTGAAAGCTTTACTTGCCGCGAGTCAAACTCGATAGCCATGAACATTCGGTGGCAAGTCAAAGTTCTGTTTGGGAATCATGTTGGACGGACATAGGTGGAGTATGGCAAGTACAATACCATATTCAACAGCAGAATAATAGGCAGGGATATGTGGTTGCATTGGATCAGGAGCAGCCTTGTTCTCCAAATGAGCATGATATTATCCAAGGAGGGCAAGCAGAAGTACATCTGCTCTGGGTCCCACACCACCAATCAACACATTTCAAAGCCAGCTGGCTGCTACGACTGGCATTGGCGAGCAGTAGTTGCATGGCTTGGAAGATGAACCAAGGCAGCAATTCACCAGTCAAGGCATGCATCATTATTGCAACCAGCCAATAAATAGCAATCGTAGAGGCCAAGACAAAGTCGAGGGAACAAATGTAGTGTGCAGGTCCGCTTACGAGCTAGACATCAACATTGTCAGCAACAAGGTGTGAAAGAATAATAACAAGGGACAACCATTCATAGCGAGTCAGCTATCAAAATACATGTCTGAACCAAGGACCAAGGAGCAGATGAAAGATAAAAAGAAAAGATGAGAAAAGATGGTGGGGGAGGGGAAAGACAGGTGTGATCACATTCAGGCAGGGAAGAGGCATCAATATACCAAGAAATAAACTAGGCTCCCTGGGGCTTCGGAAATGGGTGGGAACGGTAATAGGAACGGAATGGGGGCGGGGACGGGGACAGGAATGGGGATGGGGATGGGGGATGTGATAGGCATGGACCTCAGTGGCCGCAGGGAGCAGCACTTGCCCACATGGTCTGCTGATGGCAGACCGGGGAATATTCACAAGTATTTAAGTAGAGTACTCACGCTCCAGCTGTAGAATGGGAATGTGGACAAGAACTAAATGGAATTGGGGCAGGAGAATTATTTGAAAAATCATATACCCGGGTTATCTACATCTATCTTAAGCTAAACCCATGGATGGGGCTTTGTATAATGCACAACGGGCTCTTAATGATTTCAAGCAAGCATGGTGACATGGGTTCTGGCTGAGGGAAGCGGCAGGCAAGTGTCACCGACTGAGAGTCAGGACCGACACCGCATTGTCTATGGTAAATAGGAGTCACAAAGGTGTAGAAAACACATGGAGACTTTATGTTACTTGCTCACAAATAACTAAAACAGGACAGTGGACTCCAGTGGCAAGGCTACGGGTCCCAATACTAGTTCTATGGCCCACTCCGCCACAAAGTTGTGGATCCTTATTTGTTCTTTGGCTAAATATGGGGATTTTACGGCCGCAGCACCGCCACAGCGTGCCTCCGCATCTCAGATCTCCCTTGTCTCAGTGCCTACGCGTCCGGCGTGCCCGTGCGGTGGGTGCCCTCGTCTTTATTGTCTACTGTCACTAACTGGCGCTCCCCTCCCCCGACCCCACTATGCCCTCCCTTGCACAGGTCCGCGCCGCCAACGCAGCGTACAAGCCCGCCTACGTCCCGGTCGCGCTCTTTGTCGGCGGCACCTCCGGCGTCGGGCAGGCCTGCGCGAAGGCCTTCGCGTGCGTCACGAACGGCAACGCGCACATCATCGTCTGTGGGCGCAACCGCGCCGCGGGCGAGGCGACCATCGCGTCCTTCCCCAAGCCCCCCGCCTCGTCTTCGGCATGGAAGCACGAGTTCGTCGAGTGCGATGTGAGCTTGATGAAGAACGTCCACCGAACGACGACGGAGCTCCTGGAGCGGCTGGAGAAGCTGAATTTCTTGTCTGTCTCGCCGGGCATTGTGACGATGAGCGGGCGGACGGAGACGGAGGAGGGCTTGGATAAGAAGATGGCGCTGCATTATTACGCGCGGTGGAAGTTCATCCACGACTTGATGCCCCTGTTGCGGAAGGCGAAGGAGAAGGGGGAGGATGCGAGCGTCATGACGATTCTGGGCGCAGGGCGGGGCGGACCCATTGATCTCAACGATCTCGGGGTGAAGAAGAACTATACGCTGGGGAACGCGGCGAAGACCACAAACACTTACAACGACCTCATGCTCGAGGTGCGCATCTATCTTGGCTCCCTATGTATTTTGGCTGACACGGGGTGTTGACCTTCCCCAGGCCTTCCACGAACAAAATCCCGACATCGGCTTTACCCACCAGCACCCGGGCGCCGTCAACACCAACATCCTCAAGCACTCCGACATCCCCGGCAAATCTATCATGCAGTACGCGCTGTACCCGCTCGCCGCGGCGCTCACGCGCTCCCCGGAGGAGGCGGGGCACTACCTGCTCTACGGGCTGCTCCAGGGTGCGCAGAAGGGCGGCGTGTACCGGCGCGACCCGCACGGCGTGGACATCGGGAAGGACAAGTACTTCGGGAGCGAGGAGGCAGTGAAGAAGGTGTGGGAGCATACGGTTGAGGCGACGAAGGTGGAATGATGTGTTTTGGTGCGAAGTTCTGGTTTCGCGTTTTGTATACTATTATCATATTTCAAGGACTCGGATAAACTAATGGATGGTTGTATGTTGTAAAAGGTTGTCTACATCATATGAGAGTCCTCGGGACTGAAGCCCAGTCAAAACCTGCTGTTTTGCCCCCGTTTACCAACCTTTAGAAGCATTTAGATAGTATTGCTACCCTTTGTAAGTCAATAAACGGCAGAATTGCTGTGTGAGCCTGGCATTTGGTGCGAAACTATACATTGAAAACTATTGAGGTCTTTTACCAAGCCTTTGCTATGATATCCGACGCATAATCATAAAGGCACGCAAAGGCTGTGAAAAGGGAAAATCCCCTTTAAACGGCAGATTTCCTTTAACACCCTTTAACCTCGCGACAAAGGGTGGCAAAGGGTGGGAAAGATTAGTAAATGGGGGCAAAAGAGCAGGTTTTGACTGGGACTGAAGTCTGCCATGGCCTGCCCCCCCCCCCCCAATTGCATCCTAGTCCGGGATAATATCCGCGCGGCTGCTATGTATCTGCACGGCTAAGAAAACCAGTTGAGCAAGGCATGTATGTGGACGTGTACGTACCGGCAAAGGAATGGCATCGACGGATATCGATATTGTACGCTCTCCTCTGCGATTTCGAGTACCCGGCCCGAAGCAATTATTGCTGTTGCCATAAAAGTTTGCGGCACGGCATTTTCCATTGAGTTGCGCGCGCGCGACTTGTAATTGCGTGCATAAGGGTGCTCAACTTTGTCGTTCTGTATCTCGTGAACCGCTCTAACATTTTCAATAATTCTGGTTGCGTCTTGATCTACTCGACGACGGCTAAGTGCTCATGTCAAGAGATCTGCGAAACCCCGACATCTCTACATCTCATTCTGGGTGCCCGCTCGTCTCGACTTTTTCGTCTATATCTCGTCAACCGCGCAACCGTTCCGCGCCGGACCTTTTCATACCTCGATAGAATCGTTACGCGCAGGTGCAGCACAACTCTCACAAGCTGTGCCTGTCATGTCTGTGACCCGATGAATGGTAAGAAGGTCTCTGAAGACCGATGCCATGCCATTGTGCGAATATACCTTCGCTGGGGAAGGGCTGGATCGCTGCATATACTGGGGTTAGTGAGAGACAGATAGAGATTATAAGGGATAGATTCCAGGAGATGGGAATATGGTGTAGTGATGAATTAGGGAGACGGACTGGGATGCCTCGGGTGATCACAGAAGAGGATGAACACTGAATGCAATCCTCCCAATAAGTTACGGGACGCAAGTCACGTGACCCCTTTCCACGCATTCGGCACGTGCATCGAAGGTGCCACAACTGCGTCCGACCGCAAATTGAGAGGCGAAAGGCTATTTCAAGGGGCTCCCCATGTGCTATAGGCAGCCCACTGCTATTGTATACGCAGTAATAATGTCAGAAATTTGATATCATGATTGTGTCTTATACTACTTATAGCTGCCACTCCAAGTATGCACTACTTAAAGTCTAATAGGGGAGCAGGGTCTTTCATCACTCAGGAAAGAGGCTTTAATGAAGCAAACTTAGTAGGCAAGCTCATATTTATGCCTTGCTGGTGTCAGGGTTCAGACTTCAAATGGTTGAATGTGCGCCACGTAGCAGTGGATGCTCATTAGACAATGGAATTTCCGGGTGAAAGCATTACCTGATGACAACATTAATATTTAGAGTTTGAGCTGGCAGAGCGTCGAAACAGCATCTAAAAGCAGGAGACCACGAGCACAAGCCAAAAGGAGGATCAAAAGGCACTAATTAGGTTCGAACCCACGATATATCACAATTCTGCTTCCACGAGACGAACGCACAACCATTACACTACAAACTCAACAGAAGTACATGTAGCAATGCATATATGTCGCCCAACTACCCTTGCAGAAGCCGGTTATCACCGGCCCGCGCAGTGCACGTGATATGCGTCCCATAATTTATTGGGAGGATTGCATTGAGTGAGGATGAACAGGTGTGCCAATTGCGACTGGTTCTTACCATGACGGATGAAATGTTTACTCAAGCGTGTATTGAGCAGAATTGCAACCACTAGTTGGATGAGCTACAGACCCGTCTCGCACAGGTGCACGGTAAACACATTGCCAAGAGTATGATTGCCCGAGTCCTCAGGAGACTCAGTCAAACTAGAAAGAAGGTAACTGTGCATCACATAAGAAGTGCATGTGGACTCAAACCCATAGGTGACTAGGTTGGCTCGTGAGTGATGATCAGCTACGAGCCTGCTTTCGCTACCATATGGGCCTCTGCTACTCCTCGTGCGTCGGAACATGTGAGCCTGCCACTGCAGTGGAGATCGAGCTGCTCACGAGGTTGAGCAGTGCCATAGCAATGGACTCTTCGGTGAGGTTCCGACTCGGACTTGGCTCTCGTCCTGTATTGACAGTAGCCTGTGGCTGGTGTCTTGATTCGGGTGCTTGACTATTGACTGGCAACCTAAGCTTCAGGTTTACAGGCCCGGGCTTTGGTACTGCTTTGGATGTTTAGGTTTAGGCTACTCAACCGGTGGTGCCTTCTTCATTCTCCCTTGTGTTTGTCCTTTCATTGTATTACTCTTCATCTGCCTGCGCTGCTTTTCACATGTATTTCCCATTATGCAGATGCTAATAGACATAGCATATGATGAGCAAGAGAAGGAGGTGGGCCTTTGCTGGCTCTGAGCCGGCTAATATACCCTCAGCTATTTTTCTCAAAAACAAAGGGCATTTCCAGGAAAGACATAAGACACTTGGGGGATGGAGACAGGCATGCAATACATGCTCTGTGACTACTTCAGTCTGGAAGTACACAGTACGGGGAAGTTACAACTCATGCTAGTATCCCAGTTCCCCCGAACTCCAACTCCCATATGTTGTGTACCATACTTTGCATCCCTGCCTCTCCTTCTCATTAACTGGGGCACTTTCAGATTATCTCCACAATTGGGCATGAAAAGGTCCGGCGCGGAACGGTTGCGCGGTTGACGAGATATAGACGAAAAAGTCGAGACGAGCGGGCACCCAGAATGAGATGTAGAGATGTCGGGGTTTCGCAGATCTCTTGACATGAGCACTTAGCCGTCGTCGAGTAGATCAAGACGCAACCAGAATTATTGAAAATGTTAGAGCGGTTCACGAGATACAGAACGACAAAGTTGAGCACCCTTATGCACGCAATTACAAGTCGCGCGCGCGCAACTCAGTGGAAAATGCCGTGCCGCAAACTTTTATGGCAACAGCAATAAAACAGTTGAAACACGCGAGCGGCCTCAGCTGAATGACGTCACGTGGTAGGCAACTAATCGCGTCCATCCAGTGATCCACTGTCCGCACCTCACTTGTTTGCCGGGTCTTGTCTAGCAACTGACTCCATAGAATTCATGACGCTAGAACTCTCCGGGATGAACTTCTGGAAAGTACACGCATGCGAATGGCGAAATATTCCCCGCTGTGACACATGCTGTAGGTCGACGTGGACGCTCGGCTTGGAGTTTGTTCGTATCCCGAAAGCGTCCTCCAAGTCAGAGATGCACCTTTCTGGCGTCAAGTCGATTTTCGTCGGCAATGATGACCTCGTAGATATATAAGGGTCTGTATGCTGCGCTGACCGCCCGGCACGATCGCGGTTATCACGACCAGCAAGCATGCAGCTCCCCTCCGGCCAAGAAATCCACGTCGAGGTCCACCCACCATCCCCCGCCTCTCCCGACGACGTCCCGGTCGTCTTCATCCACGGCCTCCTCGAGTCCTCCAGGTTCTACCACCCCGTCCTCGCGCATCTCCCGCATCGCACGCGCATCCTCTACGACTACGACGCGCACGGGCGCACGCCCGCGAGCGCCGCCCCCACGCTCGCCTCACTCGCCGCCGAGATCCCGCAGATCCTCGCGCAGCTGGGATACGCGCCCGGCACCGCAGTCGACGTGGTCGCGCACTCGGGCGGGTGCCTCATCGCGATGCACCTGGCCTCGTCGCACCGGGTCACTATCCGCCGCCTCGTCCTGATGGGCCACGCGCCCCTGCCGATCCCGCGCGCCGCCCTGCTCGCGAACGCGCAGCTCCTCCGCACGCGCGAAGGCCTCGCGGGCGTCGTCGAGAGGTGGAAGTCCTTCCTCGGGCAGCGCGCGCGCGCGGACCCCCGCATTCTAGCCGCCCTCGACGCGGAGAAGGCCGCGCACGACCCCGAGGGCGTCACGCGCGTGTGCGCGGCGCTCGCGAAGTTCGAGTTTCGTGCGTTCGCCGGGGACGTGGTGGTGGTCATGGGGCGGGAGGATCCGTTCAGGAATGTCACGGTTTGGGAGGAGTTGCGGAAGAGGGGCGAGGGCGAGGGGCGGGTGAGGCTTTGTGAGATGGAGTGTGGGCATTATTTTGCGTTGGAGGACCCAGAGGGGACGGCGGGGGTGATTAGGGAGGCGTTGGAGGGGGGGTTGTGAGATGGGGTTGGGTATATGGGGCTCAGGGTTAGCGATTCCTCGGTTGCTCCGTCTCGGTTACGCTTGTGTATGTACAACACCTACTGCCGTTCTTGCTGCGAATATTCGATGAGCATTCCTCTCTAGGTCAGCAGTCCGCGAGCTGCTTCGCTCACATTTCGACATTGTGCAGGCATGAACCGGGTCGATACCCCACCTCCGTATTATCGGAAGTGCCATCGGCGCCGACTGCGACCGTGTCGAGGTTCCTTCGGGTTCGCGTTTTCCACCGACTCGACGGCTGCAGGGTCAAGTCCCAGTCTCGTAACTCCTCACAAATGGAGATGGTACAATTTGTGGTATGTACGGTACTGTTGTACGGTGAATGTGAGTGATCTCAGATTTGCCGCATGAGCAATTCACAACTGAACTGAACCGCAGATCGCGAGCGGTAAATACACGCTGGCTGATGATCAAATGCGCGATTGAATGTGGTTTTATATATAGCGTCGCGGACATATGCACGTCCCGATGGGGATCTGCGAAATAACTCAGCGAGCTGCGTCCGCGCCGTGTCCTCCCGATGCAAGCTCACTGCTCTCGAGACTAGCTCAAAGCATCCGATCACGCTGCGCTGACCAGGAGGGAGCACTCGCTGATGGACGTACGAAATGACTCACACCGACTCACGCCCGCCGTGTCCTCCGCACTTGAGGAGACCGTCGGGCCCGAAGTCGGAAGTCGTACGTCGATATATGCGCCCCCAAGTATTGCCTTCACCAGCCCCGTCTACACGATGCCGATGCTCCGCCTCCCCTCGGGCGCGGACGTCTACGCCGAAGTCCACGAAGCGACCGCACCCCCGTCCGGCCCGCCGGTGCTCCTCATCCACGGCCTCTTCTCCTCCACTAAGCTCTGGACGCCCATCACCGCCGCCCTCCCTGCGCGCACGCGCATCGCGTACGACTACTATGGGCACGGCCGGACGCCCGTCTCGCGCGACGCGCCCACCACCGCCTTCCTCGCGTCGCAGATTCCCCAAATCCTCGCGCAGCTGGGTTTGGACGAGACGCAGCAGGTCGACGTCGTCGCGCACTCGGGCGGGTGCTTGATAGCGATGCACTTCGCGGCAGAATATCCTGCCGCCGTGCGCCGGCTCGTGCTCCTCGGCCACGCGCCCGTCCCGCCGCGGCGCGAGCGCGAGAACGCGGCGCTCATCCGCGAGAAGGGGCTCGGCGCGCTCGTGGACGTGTCGAAGGACTGGCTCGGGCAGCGAGCCCGGGACGACCCGGCGGTGCTCGCAAGAATCGACGAGGAGAAGACGGCGCATGACGCGGAGGGCGTCGCGAGGGTGTGCGAGGAGCGCGTGAGCTTTGAGTGGCGGGTGTGGCCTGCGGACACGGTGGTTGTGTTTGGGAGGGAGGACCCGCTGCGGAGGTTTAGCCAGAATGTGTACGATGCGCTGAAGGCGCGGGAGGGCAGGAAGGTGAAGTGGGTGGATGTGGATACGGGGCATCATTACATGTTTGAGGATCCTGAGGGGATAGGGCGGGTGGTTAGGGATGCGCTGGAGGATGAGTTATGAGGTCGAGGCAAGTGTCAAGAATGCCTGCGGTTGTATGATACGGTAGACGATCGATAACACCCCACTCATGTGTATCATACAATCATCAATTAGCATCCCTACTCGTATATACCATACTATGTTAGTCGTAATATATCAAAGCTGGGATTCGGGAATTATCGCTGGGGAAGGTACGGAACCAGCCGCGGACGGTGACTACGCGCTGCGGAAAAGGCGAGACGCGTAGCACGTGACCAATGAGATGTCACTCCGTCACAGCCTTAGTCTACTCCTCGCCCTCTCGCTTTCTCTTTAGTCTCCGTTTCTGATGCAACAGCCTGGTGTTTTATTGACTGTGTATGCTCTATGACTTTCCGCCTGCTTTGTAGCACTGCTTCAAGGCATCAGCAACAAGACCTTGGGTTCCGTTACTCTAATCAAATGAGAGGCAGGTTTTCTCATTGCTGCCTACCAGACGGCGGGAAATTAGGCGGGGGATTTAGCCAGCTGCAGACATGCGATCTCTGTGCGCATATATGCTAAAAAACCCGTAACGGCGAGCACAACGCCCCGCAAGCCGCGTTCTTAAAATACATGTACCTGATGGAGTCCCAAGGGGACCGCGGAACAGATGGTAGGTACGACCGTCACATTTCAAGTGTGATTGATGTATCTTAGGATGTAGTGTCACCATATCTCACGATGTCAGCTCCGTGATCCAGTTAGCAATGGAGGTTCTTCGCTCCGGGGGACATGCTTCTCATGAAGTGGGTGTATGCGCCGGTTTGACCAGATTCGGTGAGTACATGCGCCCGTCGAGACGAGTTGGTGGGATAGGCGCTCGACTTGCATCATTGCCGTGCACGGCGACCCGACTGTGACGCGGTTCGATCCCTGAAGGAGCCCTGCTTGACACACGGGAGACTCTCCCCATCGACGTCGGTGGATAGGGGTGTGACGCCTTACTTGCGGTAGTCGTCCTCTCATCTGGCGAAAGCCAGGGACTACTAGGCGGTTTTTGCGGTCGCCTAGACGGACGAGTGCTGCTCGTCGCCTCGAGCACTGCTACGGCGCCGGCGGTACGCTGTGAGGCTTTCGTACGAGAAAAAGAATATGTAACCCGGGGCAACCTGCTGGGTGCCAGTCGTCTTAGCAGACAAAGGTCGAGTCCCTTGTAGACGCAAGCATCGTACGTTGTGAGTCCCGTGTCTTCCATGTGTTATCCATCCTTGTTTGAGGAGCGTGCTAGATGATCTGTCTTGTAGCATGGATAGCGTGATGCGCCAGCTCATTCACCGGTGGCAGTCCGCGTGACTCGTTTGTGCACAGGACACCGTGCTCTTTGGATGCTTTTCTCGTTTGATACACTGCTTCTCATCTTATTATCTCGAATATTCCCGACAGTCTTGAGCGGCGTTGGTGTGAGGCTCCTGTGAGTCAGCATCTCTGTTCCCGGTTTATATGGGATGTGACCTATTGCGGTGGGTACTGAAGGCACTCGTCTTTCGCTGAATAGTGCGTTGTCCACTTCTCTATGGTGGCAAGTATTAGTGCACAAGACATTCAATGACAGGGGTCAAAGCACTTGTGACGAGTGCCTCCGTACTAGGTGAAGTGCTTGCAGGCTTTGTGCTTTAGGCACTTACGACGAGTACATTTGGCACTAGGTTGAAGTGTCACTAAGAATGGGCGCGTCTGGCACTACGTTTTGGACACTCACCGGTAGTGCGTCTAGCACTATGTGGGTACTTACAAGGAGAAGATTTGGCGTTGGGTTGAAGTGTGTTAGACACACAAAACGAGCACGTCTGGCACTACATTGCGGTGCTTTGGGCGCTCGCCAGGAGGGGGTTTAGCATTACTTTGAAGTGCTCTGGGCACTCATCAGGAGCGCGTTTGGCGTTACTTCGAGGTGCTTCGCGAAGAGTGCGTTTAGCATGACGTTGCAATACTTTGGGCACTTACGAGGAGCGTCTTTGGCCATGCAATGCAGTGTTTTAGACACTTCCGACGAGTGCACTCGGCAATATATACGTTTGGGTGGTTTCGGCATACACGAGGTGTGTCCTTCAGCGTTGATTGAAGGGCCTCGGGCGGCACTGGGAAGGGCCTTACACGTCCGGTACGACGATATGTGTACGAAGTGCCCAATACACTCATTTGCGCACCCTAAGTCAGAGCGAGGAGTTATCCAATACCGCTAATCGAAGGGAGTGAACTAGGACATGCTATACTCGACATACCATAGCATTCGTATATGATACCGAGCCACGCATGCGACATCGCACCGCAAGAGATGATCGATGATGCCATGAAATAATAATACCTAGAGTAAACCAGAGCCTCTCCAACATAAATACTTTTCTGGGCCTCGCACATTCAACACAATCCAGCCCCGGCCCGTTTTCGCCCACCACACATATCACCGCCCATGCACCGTCGAGTACCCATCCTCGTCCCCCGAACTCGGGCTGCTCTCAAATGTCTCGCTCGACCCGGGCGACGTCGACCCGCTCACCTCGGGGGTGGTGTCGACGGGCTCGGGCGGGAGCGTCATCGAGAGCCAGGCGGACAGCGTCGCGAGGTTGAGCGCCTCGTTCGACGAGTCGAGGGCAGGCATCTCGAACTGCTGCTGCTGCTGGAGTTGCTGCTGCGGTGGGTAATTTGCGTGCGGCTGCCAGGATGGCTGCGGCATTTGGCTTTGGCCTTGACTTGGAGGCTGATAGCGGTGCGGGTCGAACTGCGGTTGGCCATGCGGCACGGAGGAGGAAGAGGGATATTGCTGAGGCATCTGGCTGGTCCCCATCGGGAAGAAGTCCGGCACGGGCATCCCACCCATCTCCGCGCTCTCGAGCTGGTACCCCGCCATGTACCCCCGCCCCGCGTCGTATCCCCGGTTGCTCGGGTTCGGCACGTAGCTCGAGGGCATATTCACGTTCATGCTTTGCTGGGCGTGAGTGTGGGTGGGATGCGCGGGCGCGAGGCCCCCGCGCTGGATGTTCCGCATAAACTCCTCCTCCTCGGTCGTGCTGAAGAGGAACACCTCGTCGCCCGGCTGCGCGGGGTACCACCGGCCCTCGCGGTTGCGGTTCGCGGGGTCGTTGAAGAACGCCTCGAGAAGGCGGTGGGAGAGCTCCGGGTGGTTGTTCACCGGCTGGGGCTGCTGTGGATGGGGTTGGTGCGGATGGGAATGTGGATGCCGAGGAGGTTGGTGCGGGGAGGTCGGCGTCGTCGGGGAGAGGGAGAGGGAGGATCGGGGGTCGTACATTGATGAAGGCGATAGCGGGGACATAGCGCTTCCACCACGGCGTTCCGCAGACGAGCTCGCCATCGGACCTTGAGCGGCGCTGCGCGACGTCGAAGCGCCGGCAGTGTCGACGCTCAGACGCAACAACTCGTCGGGCAGGTGCCTGTTTCTGTTATCGGGCTACGAATGTGGAAACGACAACGTTAATCCAAACTCTATCAACCGAATACCGAAGCCAACGCACCGGAGTGGGGTAAGAAGACGAAGACGCCTGCTCGACATCACCCTCGCCAGGCGACGACGTCCTCGACTCCCCCGGTGCTTGCGTATCCCTCGCCCTCCTCAGTCGACTATACCGATTCCGACAGTGCACCGACGCACGCCCCGGCAGCAACGTGCTGATAGTGTTCCACTTTTGTCCGTGCACCCGCAGCGCTTCCAGGAGTATCTTATCCTCCTCCTGCGTCCACGGCTCACGCGAGATGGCCGGGTCGAGGTTCTCGCGCCAGCGCTTGGCGCACTGGTCGTCCGTACGGCCCTCGACGTGCCGCGCAACCTTTGACCAGTTCTGGCCGTGCTGCGAGACAGCGTCGAGGAGGACCGCGTCTTCGTTGGACGTCCAGCGGCCCTTGCGCAAGGATGGGTCGAGCGAGTGGATCCAGCGCTTGCGGCAGCTCTTATTTGAGCGACCTGGGGCGATTGAGTGAGCACTCAAGTGCAAAAGGAGCAGACGGGCTGCGTACCAGGGAGGCAGTCCGATATCTTCTGCCAGTTGATCTTGGCCCCTTCTGCGCAACGGAGCAAACGGACTGGTGAGCAGCGGGGTCCGGGTGATACCAAGTGTAAAGCTTACTACCGTACTCTGCTACGGCAGCTCTGAGGATGTCGTCTTCCTCCTCCGTCCATTTCTTCTCTGACTTCTGCGCAAATGACATGGGGAATATGGCTTCGTGCGTCAAGAGGATATATAATATCGAATTCCTCACCCCGGTGCTGGCGTCGTGGAGGGTCTTCGCGGTCCTGGATGTAGCAGAATCAGGGCTGGTCAGGAGATATAAGGCAACGCCACAACCATCGGCCGTTCCGCCCATACCTTTCCAAAAATTTAGCAAGCGTGAATTGCTCTGCGCAGGAAATATTCAGGTGATATTCTGCAATAAAATAATTAAAGACATACTCTAAGTCCGTGTCCCCCAGGTCGTATTAGAAGTGCATGCTCGCGCAGACGCGGTCTTTGAGCGGTCAAATATAGAGGTGAAGGTGGTTTGTGTGTTCAGTGAGAAGCTCGAATCAGATGGTCAGACTCAGCAGCTGAATTATCTGATTAGATTAATAAGAGGACCATGGCCCAGATGCGATCGGCCAGAAAGGCACACGATATCCCTCGGCACCCATCGGCCGAGCTGATCCCGAAATAGTTCCGGGCCGCGACGTCACGAAATGTATCTAATCTGATAGCGAGGGAAAATAGCGCGACAGCCACCGCGACGTGGGCGTCCTCCAAGGGCCATCTGTCATCAGCGCCAGCCGTCGTCAGCAATGCCTTGCTCACCATGACAAACGATGGCGAACGTCCTTTCAGCGCCGCAGACAGCCCGCCCGACGCCGTGGTGTCGGCGACTGCGCTCGGGTAACGACGGACTCCCCACGCATCCCAAGCCCCATCCGCGACGAGGAAGCGGAAGCGTCGGCTCACTGACGCCTACAGTTACCGTTCAGTTTAGGCAGTACAGCAGCCAAGCGTCCGGCCATCATCCCACCTGGAAGTCTCGAAATAATATCTGTCCAATTATACACGCAACAACGTTTGATCACGGAAAACACAATTGCGGCCGCCGACCGGCATGGTTTCATCGAGTTATTTACGTGCACCAGCAGTCTATCAGCCAGTCGCAGTCAGGTTGACTAGGTGATGAGCTCATCCTCTTCCAGGCCAGGTCGGCGCTCACTTCTCCCCCCGCGCGTTTCCCCTCCTCGAGGAGGACCTCTCCATGGAGAACATATTCGACGAAAGAACCTCTTCGACGTGTAGAGCCAACATATTACATATAGATAAGCATCCATCTGAGTTTCCGGCCATCAGCGCGCAAGCAAGAGCCCAGGTGCAAGGCAATGTGGTGTGCCCGGCGAACTAACCAAATGGCAACATGCTCACGGTCGGAGCCGAGCTATCCCATTCTGCCTCTCACAATTGCAAAGTCGATTCCACGCGTCGGTGCACACCCGCGTCATGCCAAGCAGCACCCAACCCAGAATTCATCTCCGCGACCTCAACAAGCTGCTCGCATGATACGCCCGTGACCTCGAGGGAAGCGTCGAAGGGCATGTCGTCCTCTGATCACTCGTGCACATACCCACTTCGTAGACGGACTTCGCACCCCTCTCTCCCTGACGTCGTCTAGATCCCAGGCGAGACAAAAATGAAGCTTCGGACAGGGAAGTGCAGGGAAGTAGCAGGTCGGTCTGGATAATGGTCTGCGTAGCGTAGAAGCCCGTGGGACGAGAACAGAAGAGCGAAGATCACCTCGTTATGCTCGCGAGAGACCCTTCGGAATGACAGCACGGCTTGCCAATGACGGGAATTCTTGAAATCGCGAGAGCCTGGACAATGCGGGAAGGATGCACACGCCGCCCTAATGGGGCGAAACCCGACGTTTGGCGCGGACGGTAACGCCCGCTGTTGCACGCACCCTGTAATAGGGTCGACACTGCATATGGAGATCGTCGTATGCCCGAGGTGAGTCACCCGTCAAGAATCAAGTATGCAAGTCAAGAACATGGGCGGCCGTCCACATGTCGGCGTCGGGCTTGCCAGTTGTCCCTGTGGCCGTGCCTCGTTCCAGGACGGTCAGCGCTCGCCGCGAAGTCTCGCGTTCTTCGAATTCCAAGAGTTAGGAGTATACAGAATAGAATGGGGATGGCGGTGAGCTATTGTATAGCATCACTGTCTGTAATCTGAAGCGTAGTCCGCAGGACAACGCCCATGGATACAAATACGGGCACTGCGCGCAGTTCGGCCTGCGTGCTGTGCCTTTGCGCTACAGGATCTGCACCGGTAGAATTCAACCTCTTCCATTGGTCTCCGTCGTCCGGGGTAATAACAATGTCGTCAGCACCCGTCTACCGACCTTCGCTGTGCCGGTACTGGAACGAACCTGGTAAAGTCGAATCCAGTGGCCGCGATCAAACGAGCAGGTATGCAGAGAAGTCGTTGCGTCACTGGCAAGTAGATCTGCACCGTTTAGCAGGAGGCCATGGAAGACGCAAACAGGAGAAGGGATAGCTTGCCGTTGCGTCACTGGATGGATAGATCTAGGGGGGGGGATAATGAACTTCTAGACACATGGACAATGTGATATAGTATAGTATGAGCAGCGCGTCTAGAGCAGACGGGAGCCAATCAGTCAAACGCTATTGTTCGGCCACGGATAGACCCCGATAGCGAGCCAAACAGCCGGCCTGGGGAGACAAATGGAGTGCGCTTGTACGGACGTCATACAGGTCAGAGTGGGCAAGTGGATGCCAGAGTTCCGCGGGTGTGCCTAACCGACAGGGTCGGGATTGTGGGCTCGAGTGTGGGATAGACGGCCTTGGTAAGAGCGCTCCTGTGCTGATTCCTAGCGTTCTAGTCGAAATCTCGAGCGCTTGCAAGTGTCCGGTCCTGGCTCCAGAACGTTCGGGAGGGTAACATGACACAGACACGACGGATTGCATGACAAGACCTAGGCTCGACGGGCGATTCGACTGGCAAGCCGGTCACATAAATGGGATAGCGGAGCCATGCATCGAAGTTGAGCAAGCCGCGGCCCATAATCATGATCCATGTACGCGCATGAGCCCCCATCTCGTACGCTCGCCCAAGATTTACTTCATAGATGACGGCGTGGCTACCGGGGTCCCGAAAAGACTTACCGGGAGAGCTGTCGCTATAGCAATAGCGTGGGTGGCCGACGAGAAGAAAATAGAGCAAGGAAGCGGAGTGGCAGGATAGACTGCCCGCAGGTAAGATGGGAAGCGGTAACTCGACCGAGGAGGATTCTTCGTGATGTCGTGATAGCGAGACTATGCACGACACACGAGTCGCCCAATGGAACAAAGGAGCAGAGTCAGAGCATGAACCGGGCGTTTGCATCGGCAGGCAAGATCGAAAAAGATGAACCTAACGGCGGAAGATGGCGCCAGAAAATTAAGACCGACATGTCTTTGCAGACCCAAAGTACCCAGTATGAAGCATGTCCAGAGGTCCAAAGCGAGTCCTAATCCTCATCTATTAGACGCTGACTAAGCGGTCGAAGCCATTGCTTTCCCCGGCGATATTATTGTGCGCAGCCGGGAATAGGCGGCATGGGGATGACTGAGTGGAGGAGTTTGTCCGCACGCCCGTGAGTAATCTTGCTGATCGCGGCGTTGCCTCTGGAGCCTTGTATATTGCGGCGTAGTCCTCCACTTAGTAGTAAGATCATGACAAGGTGGAGAGGGTTAGCAAGCAAAATGATTTCGGGGAGACGTACGCCCTTGCATTTGCATCCTTCGGAGCGACTGCTGAATTTTCGGAGAGCGCTGATGGTGTTCGGGCACACCACCGAAGAGATGGCGGTCGCCAACGCACTAGCAATGCATTCGGAACACTTTGATTTTATATCTAGTCTCGGTCGTGAATCAACGCTGCCGGAATACTGGAGATGAAGATATAACTCAGTCCAGACTCATATCGGCCGACCGAATATGATAACCGGTTCGAAGGAGGACAAATGATATCTTCACAGCTCGACCACGCATTTTACTCACCTTCATCGACGGTTGGGAAACGGATTACGCGTCTGGGAACGGAGGTGGTGGACTCTTGATGCGACACGTACTAATCGCTCAAATAAAAGAGCGTACTGACGAACAATGATCACGATCGCTACGAGTCCGGAGGCCATGTCGAAAATCTAGGCAGGTGGGTCCTTGGTACCATCAAACGGCCCGTCAAGAATACAATTCCTCGAATGAGGCCACCAAAGAAATGATGCGTCCAAAAATAAATCGGTGATTGAGGTGGGCCGGGAGCACTACATTGTGCGGTCCGCGGTGCGGCCTCCCCCGCAAAGACTCTTTCGGCAGCAGACTGATACCATCGCTGAAGCAAAGTGAACAGTGTCAGGATTACTATCATTGGACCAGTAGTGAATAATTATTCACTTCCCGTCCCTTTTGTGCACTGGGGACTTCGTGGCTACCCTATACCTTCGGCAATTTTTTCCTGTAATGATGGATATCTGCATATGCCATGTCCAAGTTTGTATATGGAACGGAGGAGTGGTCATCGCTCAGGATTTAAAACTGTCTTGCATGTCCGAGGTCTAAACGTGACAGAGCGTGACTGCTGCCCCGCCACAGCTCTATTGTGACACATGTGACATCTTATTCACTTCCCGTCCCCTTACGCCGTACAGCCTCCACACCCACTGGAAAAATCTGAGAAATTTACAGAGGGTGTAGAATGGTATCTGAACCATCCACACCAATTTTGGGGTACAAACAATCAGAGGAAGATGACTTAACCAGTGAGCAGTTCAAATTATTCACTACTGGTCCAATGATAGTACATGTATAGAAAGTACCTCTCTATTACTCAAGACGATCGACACTCCCACACGTGTAAACAATGTCTTGTGGCCTAGAAAGCACCTGAAGGGCAACAATTATCTCCGAAGGTTCTGGAGAATACTCAACTTTAAGACGAGTGCATGCATCGGGAAAGGTAGCTGGTTAACCACGATCACCCGTCGGCTAGTGGGCGCGCCCCTAGATGAACTATGCCTTTTGCACGACTGCATTGTGCTAGATAGCGCTCGTGTTAGTAACGATGTGGTCACGTGGGTAACCCTTCGCTTATGAAGCCTGATCCTTAGCATAAGACCCAATAACATGCTGGGGGAGACTGAACGTATAGGACGTGTATATCTCTACGAGGAAGTATTCCAAGCTTGCTTGGGACTCGTAATGGTCGCCCGCTTGAATTGCTAACTGCGGTACGCCAGCGGCCTCCGGGGGTGGGGGAACTGGCGTCCTCTGAAATGAAGTGCTTGCGTGTGGATAGGCTTGTAGTCCCACCTCAGAGATATGTATGTCAGCGGAGTAATGCTCGTAAGTCGGAAGGAGGCAGCTAACAACGCACCGCGATGACATATCACATTGTCTGATACTAGAGCCCATACCTACGAACGATGGGACTGCTTGACAGGAAGACCACAATTCTCATGGCGTCGTATTCGTGTGCCTATACATAACAGTAGACGTCATGGTGCACCGTGGTCGTGTACCTGTCAAGCGGCACGAGCTGTCGGTGATGGCATCTCCAGAGTCGACAAGTCGACGATATTTGAGTCCTCGAGCTGCGCGAACAGCTGACTGGGAAGGCCGCAGGAGAGAGGCAATATCGGGCGTGTTTTGATGGTTTCGCACCCATCGCTATCATGAGGCGCAAGGCTGACACGGTGCCCAGAACATGCGAATAACGGCCGTGTCGGCAGCGACAATTGATAAACTAGATGATACGAGAGATATTTATGTGAATGTAGTCGTCATAACCGTAGTTGCCACCGCTGGACCTACTTACCTGGCATTCGTGAGCATGGATGCCAGACTGAACAGCAGAGAAAATTAGATATGTCAGTGGCGAGGGGACTCAAACAAGCTATACCTTACACATGGGCTCCATAGTCTGGCTCGGCTCAAACCCCGCGGCGGTCAGCCCGAACGAGGTGCCTGAAGATGAACATTGTTTCGCGGTCGGTCTTCTAAGAAGCCGATCCAGATCTTGCACTCATCCACATCACGTGGATCCATCAGGTTCTTTGCTGTTCTTGTCGAGCGTCGGGCTCAGCCAGGGCGCCCGCCGTTTGTCAATTCGGGTTACACTCCCGGAAGTCTGAACTACCAGCGTTCGGCATTCGAAACGTCTACAACTGATTACAGATGTTGTATACGTCTAGCCTCGGAACGTGAGTCAGGTATCTTTGCAGTAACGTCACGAACATACCTAGTCATATTACATACCTAGTCATATTCCCATGTCTACCGGTATATGGCTTGTAATGTATCTCTAGCGGTCGATGGTATGCAGCGCTTCTCGCGCTCACTCCGATAGAAGCGCAGATCATCAGGCGCGACGCGTATTCGGCGTCGGTGAGACCGACTGATTGATCACCTGTCGGGGTAGTGAAAGCCGCGCTTGTTGCTACTAACACAGCGCCATCGAGGTCGAGCAAGAGCGTTTCGATTCAAAATATACGAAAGCTGTGAACCGGTCGGCGACGGCGTGCACGAGTGGTGGACTTCAACGACAGAGATCTGGACAGTGAGAAAGGCCCTGCAGCCTGGTAACAGTTTGTCATAATGTTTGTCATGATCCGAAGCATGATCTCTCTGATGAGCCTGACCCCTCCATTTTAGGTGGGCGGCCAGGTGACAGTTACGGCAAACGGCGATTCAGCCACTGCCGGCGGACTGAGTGTCAAGAAGGCACGGCGCGTATGCCATAAAAACATGGCTGTTAGTGTAGTGAATCCACTAACCGCTCTCGAGCATGTCCTCCGCGAATATGCCCTCCACCTCGAAACCAGAAAAGAAATGGACTCCTCAAGAAGATGAGATCCTTAGAGCAGCTGTGGCTCAATGTAAGCTAATCCCCTTGGCCTGTCCTTAGTGGTGCTGACGGCATGGCACTCGGCCAGTCGGGACAAAGAATAGTTGGCAGAAGATATCAGAGCGCCTCCCCGGTGCGTAGTGTCCCCTCCATCGACTTCGCCGTCGTGACTCGTGTGTTAATCCCGCGCGTCGTAGGTCGCTCGAATAAGAGTTGCAGAAAACGATGGATTCACTCATTAGATCCGCAGCTGCGGAAAGGGCGATGGACGGCGGCCGAGGACGCGAAGCTCAAGGAGGCGATTAAGGAGCACGGCTTGCAGTGGTGGAAAGTGGCACGGCAAATTGAAGGTCGCACTGACGACCAATGTGCCAAGCGGTGGAGGGAAAAGCTCGATCCGTCCATTTCGAGACGACCGTGGTCTGCACTGGAAGACCAAACGCTGATGGACGCGTGGCGAATTCATGGCAAAAGGTGGAACGTAATCTCCACCATGCTGCCAGGGCGACCTGCGGTGCATTGTCGCAATCGGTACCAAAGCCTGACACGAGTCTCTCGACGCTCAACCAATTCCGCAGCGTCTGCAGACTCTTCGACACCTGTTCTGCTTGCGTCGTCCCACGGCCGGGATTCCGAAGAGGACGTTGACAGGAAACCGTCTAAGGTAAGTTCTCAATATCATAGCATGCCATTTGTATTAACTATTGGTAGTACGAGTTAGACTCCCTAGCATCCGGAACTCAGTTCATGTCAAATGGTAGTCCGCTACGGTCTCCCTTTGACTTTGGTACGAGCGGTCCGAACTAGTGTGCGTAACGTCTCTCACCATACCCTTTAGGTCGCCGTGCCTCTTGGCAAGGCAACGGGATGAGCACGGATCAATTTATTCCGATGCAAAGGTACCCCTCGGAGGCTTCGCCGTCGCTTTCGTTTGATTCCCCCCGGTCCAGCTCGGGGTTGACGATGTCACCCGCCTCACTTCCTACCGCTTCGCCTCCGTCCTCAGAAGAATTACAGTTGCCACCCACTTTAGCCATGGACTTCGACTCAAGAATAGCGATCTCTCCGTCCGGGTACGAGGATTCTCGATACAGAGATAGCACTATGGGCATGCCTACTCTCGGACGACAACACTACCCTCAAGCTATGTCCTCTTCCCCATCGTTACACCGTCATTCATTCGACGGGCGTTTACAAACAGTATCCAGCCATGGCCACGACTCATCACTCCCGAGCATGTCGTATTCGCCATCGTTACCTAGCATCAGTCAAAGCGCACACAGCAATCCCGATAATGTCGATCTACTTCTAGACGGCCTTGGGTCACGGTGGGGAACAAGGCCCACCGTAGTCCCCCAATCCAACCAGCGCCTGGCATCGTTCACCCATCTAGCCGCTTGTGCTAGTGCCGCCGGCGACCGTTGCAATTGCCATGGTCTCTCCGGCCAGCCATCGGATCTCCGGGCGTATATGGAACTAGCCGCGTCTAAAGGAACAGACCCGAATCCGGTGCGGGGTTTATGGCCGGGGCAGCCGTCTGCCGGTGGGGATCAGTCGAGTTTCTTCTCCCCGAGCCTGGGAGGTCTCCGTGATGTGTCTCTTCCTGGACAGCATCGATCCATTCCTCCCCTTGCGAATTCCGCCACCCCATCTAGTTGTGGCGCGCCCTTCTCGACCTTTCCACCTGGCTATGGTACACGCTCTGCCTCCTCGTCTCCGGCTTCAACTGCGGGAGGCGTTATCGACCCTGGAGGAACCTTCCCGCTCGGTCAGTTGACCTTGATGGCTCGGTCGAACTAGTTTCCTGTTATACCCGTCGTTACGTCTCATCTGTATGACGAGCCACGATTCTTAACGATAGCACCACAGCATTTCTCATAGAACAGCATCTTGTGTATCATCGCCGCCCGCTTTCGAGTCATTGCATTCAATACTAGCGTACAACCCTTCGGCCATAACACCCCTTGGCCTAGTGCCCGATTGTATATATCCATTTCCGGAGTCTTCAGCTATTCATGTTCTGTAGCCTATCACCGCATATTTATACACACATCTACTCCACCTCCAGCATTGATTCTTCTTTCACAAATTCTATACCTAGTTACGTGAATTGTATGTGCCGCCCAGGCTCTAGATCATTTAGATCGCGGCCTTCGTTGTGCGTCGTCCTTGGATTCCGGGTTCTAACATCAGGGGTACTCCATATTCCCCTGTTCGCACGTTGTCCTAATGTTAGCTTGGGTGACCACGAGATGACGGACTCCTATCGTGACTTGGCCCCGAGGCAGAGCGATAAAAGTCAAGGGACTACTGGGAAGACCCGACGACGTATTCTATTCATTATGACAATAGTACATCGCTGTGTTACACAGTACCTTCTTCTCGAGGTCGCAGGAGCCTGCTGCAAGCGATTATGCAGGATTATGCGGGGCAGCAGAAGGCGATGCTGTAACCTCGTGTTCCATGTGCGCCCAGCATCCGGAAGAAAATATCCATGAAACGGCCTACATGATGAAGTAGACACGCAGAAGCACATCAATCCTTGGTATCAAGATGCAATAAGCCACCGCTCGTGCCATTCCTGGAAGTTACTGTACGAAGGCATCCATGATCATACTTCGATGTCTAAAGCGAAACCTCGTGCTGCACGAAGAGTAAAGCTAGAAACCACAGGCTACAGACACGAATAACAACGTTATGTGTATATGTAGTACTTCCTAGCTTCTTTACCCATATAAGTATGATAGTACGGACCTAGAGCGACCAGGGCACCAGTCGGAGGGGCCGAGCGAGGTTGCCATATTTCGGACTGCATCGGAGCAAGCGCACGACTCCGGTGCCGGGAGATCGAGCCAATCGGGATTGGAGAAGTACGCTGATCAATGTGGCAGAATTCAGTTATCTGTCATTGTCTCAGAAGCGCAAAAGAGGACAGACCGGCGTAAGCTGGAGAGGAAACGACTACGTGAAATGGCGATGGCAAAGTGTAAAGGCTTACAGGAGAAAACAAAATGTGTATAAACAGGCCTGCTCACCAGCAGATCGCGGAGGGAAAATCCTACAGGCATGAGACCTGGAAATAGTGACGCGCAGTAGGTCTGCAGTGAACTGAAGAAACAACGTTGATGTCAGGTCAGTCAATAATTTGATTCAAACTCCACCGCTTGTCTTCACGATGCCGGATGCTGCCTCGATATTTTAAGGTCAGAACATAAATCATATAAGGGTCAGAACATGGAACAGCTAGGGGTTGCATCTGTGGAAGCGACCCCATAGGATGAGAGAACCTGGCAGTGACGGCAGAGTTGCATCCTGACGTCCGAGTAAGTGGACATGAGGTTGAACGGATAACTGAACAGGATGGGATTAGGAGAGCTATCCACCGTCGGTAAGCTTGGGATTCGAGTTCCATCCGGTTGTTCACTCCGATTCGGCGTCCGTCGCCACAGGCGGGAAGGTCCGGACCCGTGGTATTATGCTTGGGGTTTAAGTATGTCTAACTCCATTTGAATCTTTTCCGCATAATTGGAGTTGAAATCACGAACTGGAAGTCTTCTCATTGTCGAATGTCGTGCAGAAAAGTCGATGCCAGGCCATGGCTTGGCTAAGCGCCGAGGAACACCAATAGGAAAGGCATTCTGAGTATTTTCTTGAACATCTGGAAGTGGTGAAGCGCTATGACCATATACGCAACCTGAGGCCGAGTCAGATTCTGGAAGGGTGCCGCAGACGACGAAGGGCCGGCGGAAACGTAGCCTTAGCACTGACGGAAGACTCCGCAGTCGGCGGATTTACTTCGCCATGGTACGACGTATTAGTCACACCGTTTTCTCGCGGCGACCAGCAGCCGCAAACCGACAATCACACATAGGGTTAGTAGCCAGACTTCCAATCGCTGCGCACCTAGTTGCTTTGAAATCCGCTATTGTACACAGCCCGTGCCCAGGGTTGGCGGACGTGAGTAACAAAGAGGGAGATCGAACGCCTGAACGGCAGCGAGTGTATACGAGCGACTTCTATGAATATATGGGGATGACAGAGCCACCATGGTTTGTGCGACTCTGTCGGAGGTTCATGATTAACCGGTGGTGGTAGTTGAAGCCAGTGGAGTTGCCCAAGATGTGGTGGATTCCGCGAATAGCGGTAGGTAACCTCGTGTCAGAGTGACAGCATCGAGATGGACCATCCAACACACTAGACTACCGCTTGGAATCGCGTCCTGACGCCGCAGTGATACATCGGTCACATCGATGTTGCGTTGGGAATGGTGGCCATCCGCATCTGAACAGTAGGTACTACAGCAGCCAGAAGAGGCCGCGTCCGGTATACTGGCAAGTGCGCGCGGCTTTGTTGATCGGTCTTTTTGATGGCTTATAGCGAGCATTTAGAGGAGATGCATATGTGGTTTGAAGGACAAGTGTTCCGAGACATAAATCACAGAGAAGACCCTACGCACCGACTCTTGTATATTTGCGTCAAATCCAGATATCTTGGATACCCACTAATATCCAGTAGCTGTCAGCGTCGAAGGGGCATAAAATCATGCAGGTGTTGATGCAGATGATCTGTATGACCATTCCGCCTTGGACGGAGTTTTCCGCCAGTATCTATGCTGCAAATGTAGGAGACACAAGCCTCGAGTGCTCAGTTGATTACAGGAAAGATCGTAAGCTTTTACTGCGTCCAAACACTTGCGAGTTGTACTTACCTTGCCGCATTGTTATAGTGGACGCATGATATAATGGTTTAGCACTGCCACAAGGAATGTCATGCTTGGAGTGCCCGAGGGCCTAAGTTCTCCCACCCACGAGAGACCCCGAGAAGTACTATCACTGGACCAGTAGTGAATAACTATTCACTTCCCGTCCCTTTTGTGCACTGGGGACCTTGTGGCTACCCTATACCTTCGGCAATTTTTCTTTGTAATGATAAATGTCTGTAGATGCCATGTTCAAGTTTGTATGTGGAACGGAGGAGTGGTCATCGTTCAGGATTTAAAACTGTCTTGCATCTCCGAGGTCTAAACGTGACAGAGCGTGACCGCTGCCCCGCCACAGCCCTATTGTGACACGTGTGACATCTTATTCACTTCCCGTCCCCTTACGCCGTACAACCTCTACGCCCTCTGGAAAAATCTGAGAAACTTGCAGAGGGTGTAGAATGGTATCTGAACCATTCACACCAATTTTGGGGTACGTGCAATCGAAGGAAGATGACTTAACTAGGGAACAGTTCAAATCATTCACTACTGGTCCAATGATAGTACTAGGCGTGACGTAGATTTGCGACGCGCTTGAGGCGTGTGGCTCTGCCACTGCGGGAGTTGGACATTCGACACGTTGAGCTCTACCTCTCCTTTGATCTCTGATGTCCTTTCTTCGAAACTGGTTCAAGAGGGTAAGAACGGAGCGCTGCATGTCTATGGTTGTCTTGATATACCTTGTCTGTATAGTCTGCACCCGAGGACTATGAAGAAATCCTCGCTTCACTTGCCGACGACATCCAAAAGCGCCAGACGCGTCTATCCGAAATCCGACTTCGAGAGCGGAGAACAACACTCCTGTTTACCTTATATGCACTAGCGTCATGGGTTGCATACGTTAGCCTGTGGTATATGGGTTACATACCCGACGTTCACCTGGTGGGAGGAAGGCAGAGGTGGGGAAGGGAGGTGACGAAAGCTGCAAAAGCGTTGCCGGTATTTATTGGGCCTATCATGTGAGTACTGAAATGATACGTCTCAAGTATACTTTCCTAATCTTTTCTTCGTCATACAAGCATCCTATTCATACGCCGTATCGTGCAAATATGGTACACGCGCATCGGTGATGCGGAAGGTAATGATTGCCCATTCTACCTTCTACCAAGTTCATCACATGGTTGGCGTAGAGAAGACTCTGAAGACGCTCAAAAAGCAGCAGCGCGATAAAATCGAGGAAATCAAGAAAAAGACTAACTACAACACTACTCGGAACCTTATCGAACGGTACGACGACCTACCAAACGGTAGTCCTGGAACCCCTCAGGGCCTTAGGAAGAGGAACGTAGCGCCCGGTATGCCCGTTATCCCTGGTCCGCCTGTTACGCCCCAGAGGCTACAGCAGCCACCTCCGGTACCAGGGAGTGCAATGTCACCGGCACTACAGAATCGTCTGGCGGGTGCGTCTCTCTATGTGCCATGCTGAAGGCGCCCCTTGCTCACTGTTTGCTCAGTCCCCCCACCGCCTCCGATGACGCCGCCGCGTAAACAGTGGTATGATAAGCTTGCGGATGCACTTCTAGGCGACGACGAGCCTACCATGAACTCGCCCGCGAGCAAATACGCGCTAATCTGCGAAAAATGTTTCGCTCACAATGGCCTGGTGAAAGAGAGTATATGGGAGGATACACGTAAGTCTGTCGGCGTTCCCGTGCAGATACGTTGCTCATTCATTTCTCGTACGCAGAATACGTCTGTCCTAAGTGTGGCCACTTCAACGTATCCATGCGCTCGAAGCGAGAACGGAGCAAGTCCGCTTCGCCACGTTCGCCAGCCAGTGCGCTTTCCCCCTCTCCCCCACAGCAGGGAGCTGCATTCGCTCCGCCACTGGGTGCGCCTGCTGCCGTTCAGGCGGCGCAGGTCCGAGGCGTTAGCGAACCTCGAGATGAGCATCTGGAGAATGAGGGTAATTCGAGTGTCATGGTGGTGGATTCATAGCCCGAGGGTTGGGTTAGATACGTCCGTTTTCCAATACTGGTATTCTCTGCGAGACATCACATTGCTAGTGTTATTCTGTTTCTTTGGCCATGTCCGCTCTTGAACACGAAGTCAGTGCAGGTTTTATGTGATGCGTTACCGTGAGGGCAAGGCACACCGCCCAATGCTCGATCCTCGGCACTTTCCGTCGCAGCTCAGTGCAGTTCGAACCAAATTCGATGATAAGTATTGCGTTCATCTCTTTCCTTCCAAGTCTTCCATGCTCCAACTATAGCGACTATGGCATCAATTCCGAGCAGAGATTCCCCTTGTAAGGAGTCTATATACTGCAGCACCGCCGAGCTGTGTTCAACACGTGCTGCAGTGCATAGACGCCCACAAGCTGTGGATGACTGCAGGGCGTATAAGACAATTGCTTCAGCCTGCTTCCAGGCAGCGCTCCGCGCTTTCTTTCGCTTCCCGCTGCCCCCATACTCGTTGTACATAATTGATCGCGTCCAAGATGTCAGACAGTACGGCCGACTGCAGCCTTGGACCTGAACCAAATCCAGATGTGAGCGGGATAGGCGTCCGGCTTTCTTTCTACATGCAGGCGGTCCTACTAGGTGCGCTGTATTCATGTCTTTTCTGCGCTGTTCTCAACCACTGACATTGGATGGGATGCTCTTAGCCGTCCTATCCGCTCGTACACCCTCCGCAGAGGAGATCACCCAGAATTTGGGCACCCTGATCGTCACCAACATGGCCTATGCTGTGACCACTCTTGTACTTGGTTTTACGAATCAGCAGAACCAGCTTAATTTATACGAGTACGTCCGCTTGGCTCGCCTTGGCTCCCGAAGCACCATACCCATTGTCTTCGTGTCTTGACAGCGCCCTTGTAGTCTTATATCTATTAAGTCCGTCGTGGGCTGCCATATTCTTCACCATGCCACAATACAACCGCCATAAGAAATCGGAGCCCATCGTCAAGGTCCTTGCGATCGTTCAGTCCTACCTTCTATTCGCCTGCGCCTTTGCAATCCTCGGCAATGCGTCCACGTTCGGCTCGTCCCCCGAATGCAATTCTCATCTGGTGTTTGTGATATTTCGACCTTTTCACGTCCTTAATGCTGGGAGAAACGCGTTCCTGGTGCTGCTGAGCATCGTCGCGTTGATATACACGGTGCTGCTATACTGCGACTACCAGACGCTTATATGGCGGTTCTTCAAGGAAAAAGAGTACATCGCTATTCTTGAGAAGGGACGAACGACGACCAGGAAGCTATTGGAGAAGTTGCGTTTAATGAAACCTTCGCCCGACCTACAGAACGGGGACGCTGAGAAAGGAAAGCAAGACTCGACCAATCCCCCTCTAAGCCGACAGACCTCCCACCATCCAAAGCATCCAAACAACCAAGGGATTCCCAGCGGCACAGGTCGGAGGCACTCCGGAAAGAACATGTTCCGTACTTCTCGCCGCGGCTCGTCGAAACCGACAAATGCGTCAACCTCTTTGAACGAGTCGGCGGGGGATAGCCAACTATTTCCCGATAACCCAAATATTGCGCAACCACATACGGAAGGCGTGAGAGGCGGCGGTACGACTTGTCGCACACAGCACCCAAATGCTGCGCCATCCGGGCGCCCTCTCGCCGTCTCGTTCTCCGAGGCATCGTCTGATGGTGATCTTCCACCCACCTCACTCGCGTCACGCGAGAACGAGGATCCATTGGCGGGTCTTCCATTTGCGGGATTGCCATCATTTGCTTTTGATACAAGCTATAGAGCGAACATAAACGGACGCCTCATCGTCAACCTCCTACTGATCTTGGCTACCTCGGCACTCGCCATACTGAACACGGAGCTCCTGCGTGCATGGAACCATCCCCAGTCTGACAGCGGCTCTTCCGAAGGGTCGTGGGGTTTCGGTCAGGTAAGTCGATTTGCATTATGCTATTGGACCCCGCAGCTTACTGGTCGTTGAGATTCTCCCTCTTTTCCTCACGGTACTCCCTGCATGGAACGCCTGCAAGGCTTTCAAGAAACATGGATTAGGCGAGAAGAGGAAAGATAGCCGAAAAGTTCGAGTGAAGGCCTCCAGTTCCAAGAAAGGGTCAGCTCGTCGTCCTGCCTCTCCCAGACGGCGTCCCGATCCAGTCTCAAATGGCGATGCAGGTGCAAACGCTAGTCCTTTCTCGATCCCCTTCCCATTTGGGCCTTCCCCGTTCTCCGCAACTAGCAACTATCCGAACACCAATAGGGAGGGAACAGCTACTCAATATGCGTCTGGCGCCAAAATTGAGCAGGTAGAGGATGAGAGCTCTCACAGGGAGACGAGCAGTGATGAGGAAGAAGTGCCGAAGCCGGGGCAATCTGGTGTGCATTCGCTATGAACGGTTGACAAGAAACAATCTTTGAGTTCAATTCGATACACTTCCAGCAGGATTTCCGTGAACATGTAGGACGGGAGCTGTATATAATATGTAAATTCTGCAGAGCTAGAATAATAGGGATGATCATGTCGTGCTGATTACAATGTCATGATGATCTTGTATTACAAGTATCCAGAGACATGTACCTACGCCCATATATATCATCATGAAGAGTCGCTGCTATCGTCCAACTCCGATCCTGACGTACAATCCGAGGTTTGGTACTCGTAATCCGCGCATTCGTCGTCAGAGATGGAAGGAGCGACATATCTTCGCGACTTTCCCTTGCGATACAGTGAGAACTTCTGCAGTCCAAATTCCACAAAGGTATCCAGTGTCCGCAGGTTGTCTGTATGATCGCACAGAGACAAATTTTTCACAGGAACCTGAGCAAGGTACCGAGCCCTCATGAACTTCTTCAAGAGGTCCGGACGCGGCAGCGAGAGCGTCAAGGTTTCCAACTTCGGCCAAAAATTCCGACTAGCGGAGCGCGAGAGGATCCGAAGGAAGCTATTGCCAGATGCTCTGGCAATGCGGAGGTCTTTGACCTCGGGAAGAACGAAAAAAAATTCCTCTGTCATGCTGTTTGTTATAGCTTCGTCGAAGAAGCCCCACAGGTGCAGGACCTCGACCTTTGGAAAGCGCGGAGTCCCGTCTGGAAGTCTGAGACATACAGGAAAGGCGAGGGTATCTTCGGGTCTCCACAAGAAAGAGTCTATGTCTACATCCAGCACGGTGAGGTTTGATGCTTCGAGGTGCTCGCAGAGAATGGCAAAGTCTGCAGTCACCAATGTCAGAGACTTGAGCGCGTGAAGACAGAGACTGGGGTCTGTCATAGATGGCAAGGTACCAGCCGTCGTTGCCATGTCAAACCGGTCGACACCTCCGCAGAAGATGAGATTCTCAAGGGTCCCGTGACATGGAGCAAGAGCAGATATCAGGTCATTCAGGGTGAGGGGCGCATCCAATCGAATTCTGAGCTCCAGAGTAGTAAGGGAGCTCAAGCAGCCTGTATGCCGCGGGAGATCCGTTCCCTCCAACCGCAAGGTCTGCAGGACGGGGGCGCCCGAGGTCAAGATGCGACCCCGCTTTGGGTTTGGTTGGAAGACGATGACGTTGGGATCCATGTCGAATGTACGTAGGTGGAGATAGGTGAGCCTAGGTGCTACACGGTGGTCCAGCAGTCGTCTTACGCGCCCCAGGCCATATCGGTCCTGGGTCTTGAACTCGAAGAAGCGTAGCCGGTACAAATTGAGAACAACCAACTGCATCATACGAGGGAACTCCGGCGCTGGCACGTCTGATTCAAGGTCCATATACATGTCAAGCAGACACGTTCCGGACCTTTGCAAGTAGACAACTGGCCGAGACAGCGGTAAGGAATTGAAGAACTCGATTTTAGTCCAAAGGGAAGGAGTTGAGACAGCAATATCCCTCCAGCGGCGAGACACGTGAGAGATCTTTATTTCGACTGGGATTGGCCTTGCCAGACTATATTCGGATACTCGTTTGAAGGAGGCCACGCCCCATTCAAAGATGAGATGAGAATCTCGGTGGGAAGGTTATGAATTGGGGACCACAGCGTGAGAGCTTGGTGATGACGCTGAATCTCTTTCTCGACCTTCTGCAGAGACGTGCGTACATCTCCGCATGCAAGTTCGATGAGCAGAAGGGGCCTGACAGGCAAAAATGCAGGATCATCATTCAAGCAGTGACTCGCATCTTCTTTGAGTATTGCGAGATCATGTGTCAAGGTAGAGACTGATGCTTTCATTCGTGTAAGCACTTCCAGGCGGCGGTAATACACTTCCATGTTGAGGTCTAGTCTTAGAGCCCGGAATATTCGGGAATTTAATCAGCCCTTACTTCAGATCGGAGAAATGTTCACATTCACCTCTGGCAACGTGACGCGTAGCTGTAACTTGAACAGAGTTCCGAGTGTAGCCTAACTCGTTTCCCTGCCCTGGTAAGTTGCTAGCGGCGATTGACTACAAGTTGATAGCATATTCATGTTAAATAAGAATTCATCGACAAAGGGCGAACAAGTGTATCCGCACCTCTTCCGACTTGCGAATGTGCAGGTCGCCGGCGTGAATCGTGCAGGCTGTTCACGTGAAATATCACTGCTGTCACAAGCACCCTCTCTCTTCAGGTATTCGACGAGGAGATCATGTAAGACTTGCTTCCCGACTTGCCTTTGTACAGATGGGTCTTTTACTGAAATAAGAAGTCTCTGTTAAAGCAGCGAGGATCGTGTGCTTCGCGAGGTGGCTGGATTTAAATTAAAAGAGAGTGGCACTGGCATCACGTGGCTTTGACGCGTCCATTCACGATGGGCCTGGCGTCACTTGTCAATGTCAGTTATCCTAACACGACTCTTTGCCTACTTACAGCCAACAGAAGATATTCAGGCTGGTATCTCACTCGTCCGTAGAGGAACGTTGAAGATGGTGAGCACAGCAGAGACGTAAACATTGGTCCCATACTTAGTGGGGACAGGCGTCGATTCCGCCTCCTGAACAATGGGCTACTGAGTCTGGGGAAGGTAAGTCGCAATTCTGCATGCGGACTATGCGTGATGAATGCTGATAACCTGTAGAGCCAATGACCGAGAGACAAGGCGCATTTCTCAACAAACTAATGGAACAGCGAGGGCTTGATCACATACCGTGAAGTTTATCGTTACATGTAAGCTACATTATCTCGTATATCGTATGAAGGCGTAAGACAGTAACAAATACATCCAACAAAGCAGCATAATACAAGAAACAGGTCATCCTACGATGACTGTCGAAGAGGCATTAAACCAAGATTCAACTGCCAGGTATCATCAGGGTTATACGTGATCCACAATCCCCACCACACCCGTCTGTCTCCGAGGACATCAACCCTCTTGATACCCCTCAATCTCTCCCACTCTGGGATGTTCGAAGAGTCGTATATCCTCTTGTAAAACGCCTCACACAACATCTCGTAATTGCCGGGCTCGATGGCAGAGACGTAGTCCACCTCGCGCTGGGTCATGGGCTTTTGGAAGAATTCATAGATCGCGTGCATGATGTCCCAAACCGTCACGGGATTCGCGCGCTCGATCTCAATCGGCGGCCAGAGCGAACTGACTTTCCCGAGGTCGCAAACAACAACGACCTTGTTGACCGGCGGGGCTGTCGCGGGTTTTTCGAACTCGTCACTCATATTGAGGATAACGTGGCGGCCGGTCAGCCTCTTAGCTGTGCTTGGGTTTTTGGTAATGTCCCAGATAAGATGCGGCACCAATGGGTCGTTGGGGTTCGGGATTAACCAGGGCGCGAGCATTATGGGTACGTCTATGACAGGCTCTGCGACCGGCCAGGGCATCGGAGCCCAATTAGGTGCGGTACCGGGCAGAGGATAACCACCGCTCAGCGACATCGCGGCATTTGGATTCCAGAGAGGTGCGCATGTTGCGTGATCTGCGCCTGTCAGGGCGTTTGGTGTCCAGAAGACGGCCGGCGCAATTTGAGGGTGCGGAGCGGGATGTGGCGTCCAGGTGACGTTGCCGGACGGCGTCAAGAACACGGTGTGACTCGGTGTGCCCGTCGGAGGCGCGGGTGGAAGAGTGATAGGCTGCGCGAAGTAGCTCGTTGTCGGGGGAGGTGGCGGTGGAGGCCAGTGATACGCTATGGGTACAGGTAAGGCGACTTGTGGTGTCTGAGGCGTCGACCTAAAGGGTGCATAGTATTGATACGGGGTATAGCCGGGCGACGGAAGATGTGGCGTCGATGTAAATGGGGAGGTGAGGAACGCGGAACCTTGCGGGGATATGAAAGGTGATGTGAGGAAAATTGGAGACATCGCGGGTTGTGGCGTCGATATGGGAGGAGCTAGGGTCATTTCAACGCAATATTAATGCATTTTTCCAGGAAACAACTCACCAGGCGATGCGGCACCTGGATTGACGCCTCCCTGGGATGCCAGAGGCGTCTGGGGTTCGTGGAGCGAGGAGTTTCGGCGAAGGATTGGTCGCGTAGGACGCAATGACCGGTGCAGAGGCGAATGGTGAGTCGCAGGTATCTCTCTCCTCTGACGTGCGTTCTCTGAACAACTCGTCCGCCTTCGTAGACGACGCAGACTTGCCCCCGTGACAGGGTCGCGGTATTCTTGGGTGGGGACGGCACGGAACTCCGGGGGAATCCATCCCCCTGGCGCAGGGCTGCCCTCGTCGTGCCATGTTCGGAAGGTACAACTGGGATCGTGTTGTCCAGAATGTGGGTTACGACATGTGCAGCGCGCTGAAGGCGTGGCCGGAGATCGACCGAGACAGTTGAGGAACGAGAGATTTCTCCAGCCAGCTGTCTGACTCGCTGCGTGACGGGCCCAGTTGGCCATGATGTACGGATGTGCGTGTGGCGTAGATCACCCCAAGCTGGATGACAATCGTAAAGGAGCTGCAGCTTGTCCTGTGAACGCAGCGAAGAGGAAAGGCGTCAGTCGGAAATGTAGTCTTGGGGGTTGCTGGATTAAAGCCATATACTGCTCAGCATTATAGAGACAGCGCAAGCCCATGCTCCCCGAAGGAATACAAGACTAAGGGACGGCGACAGTATACCTTCCCGGCTATCCATTCAGCCGAACCGTAGGTCTCCAGGGGACATCCGAACCAAGCTAGAGAGTGGACAGGGGGACAACCCGGACAAGTGAGTACCGCACACTCGAGATAAATAAACACAATAGACTGTCATGTGGTAGAGCAGACGTCAATCAGTACATCGGAATCCGTAGCAACTCAGGAGAAGATGGAGGACAAGGGAATTCCTGAGCGTGAGAGACAGTCATTATATTTTTGGCGCCAGCGGATTTGTGGGTCCCTATGAGCGCGCGCCTATCCAGCACGATCATGATGCAAGTAGACAGTTGCGAGTTTGCAAGACGACAACGTCCAGCCCTGTCTCGAAGAGGATGTCAAGCTCCGTTAGACAATCGACATCCTGTTGATCCAATTGTAGCATGCGCGGACCTCCATTGTGCCCTGTTATACTAGTACGTCTTCACGTCAACCTGTCCACTTACCTGTCCACTACCCCCTTGCGATGCTCAGCACTCGAGAATGGCATGAGCTACGGATGTAGCAGAGCTGTTAAAAGTAAATAGGACATCCGATAGATCAATTAGTCAGGTAACATGGGGGCGCAGGTCGCCGTGGCCCCGCAAAGCGATGATGCTGGAGCTCGAGCTACGAGTCCGAAACGCAGGGCAAGAGATCGTCGACCGGGGTAAGGGCATCAAACTGTCCTACAAAATTAGCTAGCTATGAAGCCGTACGTGACATCGACTCTGGCAGAGATCCATTCCCGCATGACAGTCGGGACGGTAGACTTGTATGGTTGTGCGTCCACCTTCAGTTCGTCTATGGGCAGTTCCTTATCAAGCCGATAAGTAATGAAGCTCCAGAGCGGATCGACAGTGGCGAGGTCGAACTCCGGTGTGCTGAGCTCCGAAGATCAGGCAGCAGACAGTCCCCGTTCCGCGGACGACACTCCAGTATCGGAAGGCAGAGGGTGGTATCGTCCCTTTCACAGTGGAGAGTCTCAACGGAAGAGAAGACTCTGAAGAACGAGAATATGTCCGCTTCAGGCGAATCTTCCGTAAACAACCATCTGACCGACAGACTCCGGACTTGACAATATGGTATCGATGTTGATGTTTCTGACGCAACCTCCAGCAATACTGTCAACGAAGGTGCAGACCAATTTTCAAAGCCTAACAGCTTCAAGCTGGGGCTGGATAATGCCCGAAGGAAGAAATTCGCAAAGAGACACGAATCCACTTCCGACATCGTCAACCACAGCTGTTTCAGTTTGGGCATCCGTATGGGGGCCGGCTTGATCATCATACCCGCATGACAGGTGACGCAGGTATCATCCAGACGAAGGTGTTCCAATGAGGAGCAATTGGCAAGTACCTCAAAAACCCTCACAGGATCCATACTGTCATGGTCAGGCACGCCCCACAGTCGAAGGCTGGTCAAAGGACGGGTGTCTCGAGCAGGAAAGGACGGTTTAGGAAAGCTGCGTTCTTCAGTGACGGGGAAATAGTACTCGACAAAAGGCCTTGCCAAGGCGGATTACAGTGGTCAAGCCACAAATACTGCAGCGTAGGGAAATCCGACTGACGGAGAGGCTCTAGGAGCCTTCCAACCCAATTTTCAATCGACCTGGGATCATCTATCCGCCCGTTCGTGTCGACAGTTAAAGATCGCCATCGATGAGTGGAAGACCGAATCCGTTCGAGCTGGATGGATGTCTGGAGAGATAACCCCATAGCGTTGTGACCCAGGTCAATTAACGCAATATCCAAGGGACATTCCCGTGATCTGGCCAACGAAGTCTCTATGAACTCCCTAGATTGACGATAGTACAGCTGAATGTGGGACCACAGAGTCGGAGAATCCAGAATGAGGTAGCGCCAACGACGCGTAACCCGCGACATCACTAGACCGAGTCTCCTAGCTCCTTTCAAAGAATCCTCATGCTCCACGTCTGTTTCCGCATGGGGTGGAAACTGGAAATAATCGGCGATATCCAGAATGATCTCGTCCAGGAGCATCTCAACAGGCGGGATTTAGTGTGCCAGTCGAGCCGTCCTTCCCCAAGTATCACCCCCGACGATACACGTCTGTCTATAATATCCTTGACGTCCCTGTCAACCTCAGGGGTCTGCTGTTCCAACTCATCGCGCCCTACAGCATCCTTCTAATGGGACCATTGTATCACGGGTTCTTTATAAGAAGGGAAATATGACGCACCATGTTATGTAGTACAAAACTCCCAACGTTACCCCACGTCAACAGCGCTGCCAGCCTGGTTGTGAGGTGACGTTGGCAGGTAACGTCTCAGCGTGTCGCCCTCAGCACGAAGCAGCCGTGCCAGCACAAGTCGCCGCACGTTGTTGATGACACATGGCGCCCACCACGCGTCACAGAGGGACGCAAGAGGAGAACTGAGAGAATCACAAAAAGCGTCGACCGCCAGAATCAAACTGACCGAATCGTCTTCCGAAAACCGATATTCGCTATATTCTGATGAATGACAACTACTTACTGTCTCCGGAGGAGTGTTCGTGGCAATTCGACGTGCGAATGTCGGACCAAGCCTAGAGAGATATATATTTTCTGCTCAGAAGACGTGAGGGAGACATGAGACCCTTGATCAATCGTTGACCACATCTGATTGCCCTAAGCATGATCCGAAATGACCAGGCGACTGGGCTACCCGAGTCTGCCAATTCAAAGCATCCATCATCATCAGAAAATGGATACAGTTGGGCGGGGATGTCATACACCAGACAGCCTGCACAACACTTGTATTGCAAGGTATATCTAACGAAATGGCAATCGAATCAGCGAAACAGTGAAAGGTGGAACAACATCTTTCACCTATCATACGCTGCCGTCCATTTGATACATCGTGATCCCTTGAGTAATCCCCGGTCCACGAGTCCTAAAAGGGGGGGGAGGTTCTTCCTGGTACAACGCACCGCGCCATCATCTCATTTGCAGGCTTGAACATTTGGAGGATAAGTCAGACTTTTGGAGAACGACTCTTGCGCACTTACTGGTACTTCGAGATGACGTTCTTCAAGCGTTCCTATGGTTCACCCATAATAACCGCAATCTGGGTTCCTAAATTGTGGCAGTATAAAAGCAGAGGTGAATAACGCCCTGCATACCGTAGCGTTTTCAAAAAGGGTATCGGGTCTAGAGTCAGCCCAGGATCACTGGAACTCGAATGCCTGGGTTCTGGTGTCGAGGCACATAATCAAAACGCGAGAAGATGAGCCAATCCTCTCGAGGTCTAAATCTTGGACGGAGATATGTCACAAACGCACTGAAAAGAAAGTGGCAGCATCAAGCGATAAGAAATGCATCAGCATACGATCCTATTCTGGATGGATGCGAAACGCTCGTAAGCTCGCAGGTCTTCCTAGAACAATAAATCTACAGCGTACACTCGCGGCATGGCCTTTAAGGCCTTGAGATATGAGCGAGAACATGAGTGAGGGATGACCGGGATTTGCCGCACATCCCCCGGTGGCTGATAACGTTGGGACGTGCACAGCCATATCAGGAACAAGGACCGGTGTGGCTCGGATACTACTTCCGGCGATGGCTTCCTAAGCCTCCTAACTGCAACTCAACAACAGCCAAGATGACTGAGATGTACTGGACGCTTGCGTTGTGATGATGGCTTCTCCGGCGCTGGTCATAGCAAAATGGATAACATGGATCAGATATAGCTGGTTTGATCGATATGGCGTCAGCAAGGTGCCTCGAGGCGCCTCGTTGTGGCCGCATGTTCAATGTTGGAGTCAGCGTCGAAATCGAATATAGGCACGATCCTATCTCACCCGAGTTAGCTTCTCGTTCCCTTCCTCAAACTCTGACAGATTCTGTCAATTCTTGTGCTCGACGACGTCGTTGCTCCTTGTGAGAGAGCGGATCCTAGATCGTACTGCGCGCCAATGGAAGAGTTACTTCCATGCGAACTGAGGTAAGTAACCATCCAATGGAAATGGGTTCGTAGACTTACAGTCTTCACGGGCCGCAATCAGGATAGTTGGAACACTACAGAAGGTGCGGTAACGGATAGGTCATCGGACGGGACCCTGCCGAACTCTGTAAGCGTTTAGTGTTTACCTCACTTTCTGCCTTGTAAAAAGAAGACCCACGTTATTCGCCCACGACCTCAGACGTTCGTAGCCGGCGTGGCGATATTGAGGCAAGCGCAGGTGACGCCGGGGCGCCTCTCTGGATTCACTGCTGCCAGAATGGTCACTCAAGGATGTCTCAAGTTGGCGTAGAGAGAGTGATTGGAATTCTTCCATGCATAGTGGGCGAATGCTGAGGAAGCGGCGGGTGTGGGTGGCTGCTAGTAATTCGCCTGGTCAAGCGTATGGTAGAGAGGTTCGAGAATGTGAGTGTGCCTTTGGCGTTGGTCAGTGTCGTTGTAGTTGAGCTTTTGACATGACCGTTAGAGTCATACTGCGTGGTACGTCCCTAGATAATTCTTCGATGGATATTCTTGAAATGTACTCGATGCGCTCGGTAGATCCCCAACCAGCTGATACGCGTATACTTCACGCCCAGTAACTGCACGATCACCGTGCATCTCGTCCTCGGAACGTTAATATGGCAGCAACCCCTGGCACCTCAGTCAAAGAAGATCCGCATGAATTCAACTATGTCGTTTCGGTGTCATTGCCGCCAAACACCATAGGCTCGATTATTCCTAGCGGACAGATACGCTCTTCCAGGACAAGTTGGCGTCGCGGGGGACCCACAATGAGGAAAGGTTATGGTGGCGTCGCCTTAGTCTACGACAGCGTCGGCTCCCGCTGGGTGGGACCCACAACAGGGGAAAGGTCGTTGTGGCGTTATATTGCTCACTCGCTGTGCTCACCAGTGGGGGTCGGGTCAATTGACGCTAGCGGGATTACGGCATCCCGCACTCGACCAAACCGCCTTAGGTGCTGCTCAAGCCTTTTCGGGAGGACAATGTCGACACTGCGCCGTCTGCAGCACCGTTCGACCTGGTTCCTGGACTTTGCGAGCGTCGGATAGGGAGCGAAGACAGGGCCGCTCGACGCCGAACCTAAGGTGGTCCCTCAGGTTGGCGCTGCTCGAATGAAAGGATAACGCTCGCGGTCTCCCCTCAAACGTGCTTGCTCTATAGCGCCAATAAAGTCTTGCTCGACGTGCACGGGCTTGATGTCTAGTAAGTAGCTCGCTTTTGTCAGCCGCGAGTCCTGGTAGAATCTGAACTTGCGGTATCATGTTGGCTAGCCCTACCAGGCATCAGGCCCTTACCACGATAGAAGGACGAACGCGGCGATGGCATCGGTTTCGAGGTACCCTCGGCTCTCTGTCTATCGACAGGGTAGATGCCAGCAGCTACTGGGGATTGGTTGGGCGAGCGACGTGAGCAATGTTCCCGATGCAGGATAGCCGTCCTCCGAGGCTTGCCTTGGGGAGAATGATCATTGACTGAGCGACCTGGAGCATTCATCCGATTTTCATCGCTTTATCGAGTGCTTTTTCTTGCTCCCTCCATTGCCACGAGCAGTGAGCTCTACCTGACGCGGCTTGGGCTGCTCACGTTTATGCCTGCGCTTTGGGAGCCGACTCTGATGCTAGGGAGACTTTGTCAGCCGCGACGAGCGCTAAAGTTCGTAGTGTACGTATGTTGGGTGTTTCTGTCTTCTGTCCGGGAGCTGGCACCGTCAGCATGGATAGGATGTCTATCGCTCGCTAGTTTCGCACTTCCCTCCAGGTTATTGCTCTCGTCGGCCATCTCGGGCCCTGCTGTTGTTCACTTCCTGGATGCCCTACGGTTCTATCCGCGTATTCCCGATTTTCTGGTGACACGGCTCATCGGGGCGTTCCATTCCAAGAAGTGATGTGGCCCTGATTCTTGTAGAGTTAACGGCGTGCCTACGCCCCCTGTGATCGATCCTGTCTCCATTCGCAGACGTTGCCTCTGATAGCGTATCCTGGTCGTGGGCCTCTCCACAGTCCCGGTGGTTATCGCGGGCGGTGCACCCTCTCTTCACATCTTAGCGTCTTAGGGAAGGCTCGATCTTGAATATTTGTCCTCGGCCGTTGATACGGACCATTCCCATACGACAGCGCGAAGGGAAGCAAGACAAGACTCGCATGAAGCGTTGGATCCCCTGGCTACGTGTCGTCTGAATTCTGCGGATCGAGCTCGGATACGATCTCGTCCTTCTCGGCGGGTGCCAATGAATATTATTCCGGAAATCCTGCTATACCAGACTTAATGTGCCGTGGCGCACGATAAGTCTGCCTTCTCATATGCTCACCGCTGCGGTTGTTCTGGCCATGTTTTAATTACACAGCCAATGTCCGAGGTAGCGCGGTACGTAGGAGAACCTGGAGCAACCTGATGTCAGTGTGCCTTTCGCACCCTGGGGAATGTCATGATTCTTCTAGACCGTCCCTGCGGTATGGAAACTCAAATGATCTCGAAGCAGAGACGACGATAGGTGAGCCCTACTCTTCCAGCGTCATGTAAGTGGTTAGGTTACCAGAGAATGGCTTGCGTCGTCGCTCTGAACCGCAAAGCAACTGCGCACTTGTATTTCGCAAGAGATGTATACCCAACCCAGTAGTGGTACAAGTATCTGTACACGTTCCTAGCCCAGGGACGCCCGGAACTTGGTCTGAATTAGAAGGTGCGGCGCCTCGAGGCAAGGACGATCATACTCTCGCACGTGGTACCGGGGTCATCAGTCCTCCTTGCATTTTTATCATCGACATACACCGTCTATTCGCTCGCCTATGCCTCCATAATTTAATATGAGTTGACATAGCCTACGCTTACTCCGTTGTGGCGTGTCGGGGGAAAGATAGCTCGCTCGTACGCGTTGTCGTCGTTGGCGGGGAGACACAAGCAGCGGTCTAGAAATCGTAGAAATTTGCTATTAATCAGGGGCATGGGACTGGTATACGTATACCCCGGGGGCGGTCCGCTCAGTGATGATCCAATTGGATACCCAAGGAAATGACCTCTCACCTCTAGTCAGGCGGTGCCGGCGGAATATTCTGATTAAATTATACGGGAGATGGAGACCCTTACCCAGCGTCGCACTGGCATATTGAGGTCGTCATTTCCCAATTTACCCTACGCGGCGGAAATGGATCGAGTTCACAACGTCGCGGGTAACCGGTAGAGATATCCAATCACCCTATGAATGCAAACTGCAAGCCTTGACGACCCGGGCAATGCAGAACTCCGATGAATATGCTGGCTGCTGCAATGTCATCGCCTGTCGGAAAAAGTGGAGGCCTGCGTGACGGAAGGCAACCGGCACCTAGTCCTTCAGAGGGATGATGCCATGGTGGAGATCGCTGCGAGCGGGACCATGGTCTCTTACACCTTCTTACAGAGATCTGGAAGTTAGGAGCTGTTGTCATGATATGTCCTTGTCTAGGTGAGGAAGGTCTTGTCCGGGTACAGCGATGGGTGTTAGCACTTATCATCCTGGCCGATCTTGCGCCACCAGCTGATCGAGATCGTGCAAAGTCTAACCAGCCGCGTCTAGCACCGAGGGATTCACATGCGGTACTTGGTCTCCTGCACAAACGTTCGGGCTGGACGAGATCGGTATGGTCTACGACTCAGCTTATCTGACTTGACGGAGGGGGGGGACCAAACTGCAGTAGTACCGATAATTCCGTACGAGGGAGGGGGACCCCACCACAGGCCATATGACCTCGGGGACAGCGCAGTACAGCGGATCCATGACCGGCCGGATACCCTGCTCACGTAGGTTTCCGGGCCAGCTCTTGGTTGGCTGGTTGTGTCGCATTTCTTCGAACAACGCGCGCCATACAAGGAAGTTATCATATGCATATGCTTCCGCAACCTGGACTGCTGATAACGAATCATGGGGTGCTCATACTAGACTTCCGCTTATCTAAGCCGTCTACCGTCCGGCGAACGGAACCAAAGGCTCTTAGTGTATCTTGCTCAGACTTTCGTTAGGCCCGAACACCGATATGAGACTGTCGAGTTGCTTACTGCTGCTCGCTAGGAGGACCCACTTCCATAGTCGAAAACATAATAGCTTGAAAATTTACTGTCGCTTGCTGCGAGACTACTGCCGGGAGGCCCTGGACCCTGGGGGACTCAGAACGGAACTGGACGGAGAGCAAGTACGCAATGCCCATAAACGAATAAAGTGAATTCTTGCCGCGCAAAGTCGCCGTCCGGCTGCCTCGAGCCTTCGCTGAGGACCTTGACTGCCTAAAGTGGTACTGGATTGCCGTCATAATAGCGCGTGTCTGATGACTAGGATACGTGTCGGCAAGCGCCGCGAATAGAATGACCAGTATCCACTATCTCGGGTGGTATCGAGACCCAAAATCGGTACTCAAATTCAATATCTAGATGTACCCCAGTTCCCGATACCCGTACACGGGAACCCTGTATAAAGCAGTATGTAATGTTCGCTTTTAGGCCCTCTTCGCGATATCCACGTTCTGCGTTACCTCCCAAATATCCTTCAGACCTGGTGCCGTCCTCTCCGCCACACTAGCTTCTGCTGCGACTTCAGCGAACATGCCTGCGGAAAGGACCAAGAAATCGAGGCGCCATGAAGGAGACGGTACGATGCCACCCGCAGAACTGACTTAGCAGGGACGCGTTCTGACCCTCTCGAAGGTGTACAGCTCACCTGGACTACACCGGTCGAGCCATCCGGCCCTCAGGCTATCGCTTTCGCGCCCAACCTCACCCCCTGCACCTTCAACGAGCCCCCTCCTCTGGAGGACCCTCCCGAGTCGACCTTATTCCCGGCTCCTGATTGCGCCGCCTCTCGTCGTGCAACTCACACGAAGAAGAAGCCCGATAATCACATCCCTCGTCCGCCCAACGCCTTCATCCTCTTCCGTTCTGCCTTTATCAAGAGTCAGCACGTCTCTTCCGACGTCGAGACCAACCACAGTACGTTGTCGAAGATAATCGGACTGACCTGGCAGAACTTGCCACACGAGGAGAGGCAAGTGTGGCACGCGAAAGCCAAGGCTGCACTGGACGAGCACAAGCGCAAGTGGCCTGAGTATGCCTTTAGACCGCTGCATACGAAGGCCAAAGGGCCGACTGAGAAACGGAAAGTAAGGGAGGTGGGTCCGAAGGACATCAAGCGCTGCGAGAAGATCGCCGAGCTGCTGGTGCAAGGCAAGAAGGGAGAGGAACTGGATCGTGCCATCCGCGAGTTCGATCAACACCACGTACCTCAGATCATCACGCGTTTCGAAGCCCCCCTCACCGCCCGCGCCTACCGACGATCATCCTCTGCCCCCGCGCCAGATACGGACCACTCGAAGCAGTCAGACTTCCTTGTTCCCTCGAGTCCGGACTGCAAGCCCCGGGCGCTGCGCGCCTGCAGCACGCAGCCTACGCGCAACCCCTCGCCGACGCCCGGGTACTACGACAGCGACGCACCTTCGCCGCTGGGATCCGATGCATATTCGGAGGCCGACACGTATTACGATGGCTATCAACACGCTCCTTCTACAGGCTTCACGTTCACTTCGAGTACCGAGCCTTCGTTTGTGAGTGATGTCCCTAGCACTGTAAGTCATGAGGCGCTGATGCTCACTTCCACTTTCTGCAGAATTTCGCCCCATTCACTTGGACCGAAACCGTCGCCGCACCCGATCCATCGTGCGATCCTCTCGTTGAAGCTCCAGGATTTGAGAACCTGATACCGTTCAGCCCGCAACCCTCCCACGTGTTGCCATGCCCGGCGCAGTACGACCAGGGCTCGTTGACGATCGACACCAGTTTCGTCAACTCGTGGTCGTCCGTGCCCTCACCTGTCTCGAGTGTCCCCGGCACGCCCCATTGCTACTCCGCGACGCAGTCGAGTCCCTGCGAGCCAACATCGCCCGTCGACACGCTATCGCCCCTTGGCGCCTATGACTGCACATCGTACGCTATACCTTACCCCGTGCACGCTGCTATGCCGTCGTTCGACAACTTGCAAATGCAGCAGCAGCAATATTACGATGTCCCTAGCGAGTTCAGTAATGCGCCTCAAGCCAACGGCGCACCTTACTTCCCGCATGGGTATACCCAGCTCCCGAAGGAGCACTATATACCCCAGGACCAGAAATCGGTACTCATGCGTTCGAACATGGACATGTTGGCGTACGCGGTCCCAGCATATTGATTCGCCTCCGGCAACCCAACCTCTGCCACCCACCACCATCTTATCCGCCTCTGTATTTTCCTCCATACACGCTCGAAGGCGCCTCGACACTCTAGTTCTGGATGTATCATTATTTCGGAGCATACTCCGCACTGTATCAGTTTCTGGCGATATTCTCTTCTTCGTCTCTCCCGATAACTCATTACTCACATTATTTTCGTACCCCACTCCCATCCCTCGACACCGTAGCTTGTTTATTTGTAAATAGTTCGGTATGTATTCTGGGTACTGGGCCGGTTCTCTTCGATAGAGAGTGTTCTGTTTCCCAGGGGATACCGGGCACCCGCTGTATTGGGCTTACGATAGGCTAGCATACTGGTAATTGATGACGAGAATATAATGCGTCAGCTGATGTGCCGCAGGAACGAGGCCCGATGAGGTATACGCACGCACCTGGGCTGATGAGAATGGAAGAGAAGATACGTAACCACGCGAGACGGCCCTTGTTCTGCCAATGTTCACATGCTTGTAATTCGGAGCAGGAAAATCCCCGACGAGTTGTTGATCCAGGTTTGTCTTGCGTAATAATATTTTCAGACCCTCAGTATCGGAAGTACAAGGTCCATCCACGACCTCGCAAGCCTCTCGTCTCCATCGCTTACGTTTATCGTGCAAAGGACAGCACATTCGGGAGGACTATGTCCCATCGGATAGCGGACATGTGGCGCAATGGACCGAGGACGTCCTACTGCGTCCTGCAGAAGACGGTGATAATGCGTGGGGAGCGACGCACCACCTTTCTCGAAAGTATAGAGGAAAATCAGCGGGCATCTACCGGAGGACGGCATCCTGGCTCATCGATGGGTAGAGCGCTGAATGCTGAACTTACCTAAGCTCTTGTCATCCGGCCATGGACAAGTCTACTAGAGCCGATGATTGTGGAACTCATCATCAAACCGCTGAACAGGGTATAATTGCCACTCACATGGACCCTGACGCTACCAGCTCTAGTCACCGCCTCTTCGCTCCAGTCTAGAGGTTCATATTGTACTGGACTATGATCGAAGCAGCGCGATGGAGCCTCCTGCTTGCCTTGCGCTTTTCATTGCAGAAAATGACTGTGGAAGTATAAGCCCACAAACATAACCTGCATGGGTAACTTCTATCACACGCGTGAAGAAGGCGGCGACGTCGGGCAGCGTTCTAAAGCATAGACGCCATCGACGAACATGGATAACGATCAGAGAATGACGAATTTTGGCACGGGACTGGGGAAGCATCTCCATGGTCGCGGAATGGGTGTCTAATAGCATACGTCTGAACGGAGTGTACGGAGATCATGTTGCTGCGAAGAGGTTTGAGCTGCAAGAAGTCAACGTGGACGGCTTATTCGCCCGACTAGTCGGTACCTGGAACAGAGTAGCTGCGTGAAAGCAAAGTAAAACTGAAAAACGCCGCGGTGGATAGTTCCGTGCGCAACCTGAAACACGAAATGGAATTATTCAATGGTCAGCATCTTCCTGTGAAGGCATAATCATCGACATGACGACACGTACCTAGGCACCTGGCGACCGAGATCAGAAGGGAAAAAATATGCTCTGTACACTCTAGCAATCAAGGGTAATTCAGGATGACTGTAATACAGCCGCAAACACACGCGCTGGGGACCAAGCACCCTTGGCTAACCCAGGTAAGTACCTTCTGAACGCAGAAGGGCAACCTGAAACAGATGGCTGAACCGTGGACAGATAACTTCCTTTGCTCCGCCCGCGAAACCTGGACGACCCGGCACGGGCGAATCGTACAAGGGCAGACCAACTACCAGGAAGATCCTGCTTCTAGAACGCGAACCCGGACTTCTGGAGAGATTGGGTGCATCGAAAGGACAGGTAATAATCATCGAAATGGAGCATACAGGGTGTCAGAGGGACGAGTCTTCGACCGGCCGTAGGTCCGACATCCATTAATTTCATAGCAAGTCGTCTGTCGGAATCCGATCCCTAGAGCTTGACCGCGATGAAACGCTGTAGTAGGACGGCCCTAAGTCGGGGAAGGAGCCTTTCCACTGTCATGTCGGACTGAATATCGCCAGGTCCCAAAGAGCCGGCATGGAGGTCAGCCAGGCAGATTTGAAACACTACGAAATGACAATCGAAGACATACGCAAGGTTCATGGGAACGTGTTCTTAGAAATTGTCAATGAAGAGAACGTCTAGACGATACCACTGGAGCTTCGAAGCGCAAGTGGCTGCATCTAAGCCGAGCTCTGTATGACAAGAGATAGCGTAACACTCTTGACGATTTGATAGCTATTGCCCTGATAGAGACCGAATCAACCGGCAAGACAGAAGAACATACAGTTGAGCCACAGGGCGCGGGAATCCCAGCTTAGGAGGTCAAGCATAGAGACAACGGAATCGAGAACAACTTCAGAGAAAGAGCTTGTTCACAACAGACGTGGGCCTCCATTGTGCCAGCATCCTTGTGATAGGGAGTAACGAGCGCCAATAGACCGACTCACCGTAAATTCAGCCAGAGCCAGTACGTCGGTCAAGGATTCAAGTGAGTGGTCGTTGTTGCTACGGAGGCGCGAAAGAAAGTCGGGAAATTGCTCTGGGCTTTTATACTTGTTAACACGCGTTGTGGAGAGCATCACAGCGAGGCGAACCTTGAGCCTCGTCTTTTACGCATGGTCGACGAGCGCTGAAGGGTGCGCGTCGCGTTTGTGGGCGTCAGAGACGGGCGCCAAGGTCCAATGTGGGCGCGCGTCTGATGTTGAAGCTCCGATTCAAATCCCTCTTTAGCGCCACCGCCACACTTTGTCCACAGCGCGATGAAACCCATGTCTGAAGGGTCATACGGTGCGCATAGTGTCTTTATTACTTCTAACTACAGAATTACACCGCCAGAAGGTACATGGATTTTTTCTGTAATTACCGCTATCGTATCCCAAAAAGCGTAAATGTGGCCGATAGCGTCACGTATCGATACACCGTCTACCGAATGTTATTGATTGTCTCCTACTGCAGCACAATGATAGATAAAACAAGGCCAGACAGGAGCACGAAGCTAGGCCTAGACAGTTGCCGGCTCGTCCCAAAAGCTATGTCGCTGACGCGCATAAAGGGCCTCACATCTAACTCTTGAGAACATCATTGACGAGTGTGCGATTACTCATGTTTTGAACGGTGTAGCCTCGGGAGACACATCATGATCATAGAAGCAAAGGATCAGCTACGGCCTACGCAGGTCACAATGTGCGCCGTATCCTCGTAGGCTTCCCGCCGACGAGGCCTCGTTCGATGCCACCAGAATGGGAGGACAGACCTTCAGCTAGATTTATCGTTCAGCCAACAGCGATGAGCTGAACCCGAATGAAAGGATGTCGCTTCAGAATCTCTGAGGGGATGCCGGATATGTATACGCTCACGGGTGGTGGTGAGCTGGTCCGAATCCAACGCCATTCAGCATCGTCTGCCGAACAATACTCCCCATGATACGATGCTCCATTTTTGCGAGCCTTGCTACTTCCCAGGTCTTGTCCGCGGCAAGGACCTACTGTACGTGGGCACCCGATACCCCCCCACCCCCACCCCGGCTGCTTGTCAGTATCGCCGTGACGGCATCGCGCAGTTTTCTGCCATCCTGTTCGTCAGCCGCATATGCGTACCAGCGTCCCAAGATCCTGGAAGCGTGAGGGCTGACAGTAGGGAATCCCAGTCGACGGCGAACCTAGCGGGTACGTCGTGCGGCATCAGATTTTGCCCTGAGAGGCGGATACCGTACATGCTGAAGATTGCATGGTCATCGGTGTCTCACTACTCCGGCTTACTCTGGTCCTTGCTGTTCGGACTGCACGCATATAGCGGGTGGATAGACTACTTCCAACCGTTTGAGTCTGGCCCGTCCCATCTGACCGCGCACCGTGCAGTCGTCTTGAGTGACAGCTTCAAGGCCCACAAAGATCATCAGATGAGGGTCTGCCATGGAATATCTTCAGTAATGCGCCACGCTATAACAGATATACAATAGAAACCTAACGGCCCTTGATTGGCAGATCGCAGCATGAATGAGGTCATATACAGTAAAATGCCTGCCGCTTACTCCAAGTCCGACCTAAATTTCCATCCTTTCCTCATCATCGTCACTATCTGACTCTTCTCCGGAACCAGCCCCGCCCGCTTGACCTGCAGGCTCAGCTGCAGCCCGCTTCGACCTCGCTGCTCCCGCCTCCATCTCAGGTACGCTCCTCCTCATCTCCCACCAAACCCGAATCGCACCCTCCCTGGCCATCTCGTGTGCCCGACCCAGCTCCTGGAGTTCTCCGTCCCCAACCTTCGTCATCCCAAGGTTGGTGCTAGACCAGTTGCTCCATATCAACTCGCTCGGCGGCGGCGAGCCAGACGACGGGGCCCTCGACGAGGCAGGCAGAGCAGAAGAGAACAGAAAGGCAAAGACACCTTGCGCAGTGAGGTGCGGTATTTCTTCCGGGGAGGGATCCAGAATCAGGGGAGATGTAGACGCAGCATTGGATGGAGACGGCCGGGTCAAGCGGCCGACGGATACGGCGCATACGACACCGCGCAGAGGGATGCTGCCAGCGTTGATCAATGCTAAGCTCGCGCTGTTCACCATGCTGGCTATCGTCCCCGGCCCAAAGACGCCCGCCGTGCCCGCCCCGACGCCGGATTTGCCAACGACCTCGCTCACCGAGAGCGCCTGGACGACCATCTGAACTAGAGTCCTCGGGTGTTGGTTAAGCAGGATCGTTTGGGAGAAGATGGTTTTGAGCACGGACGCGACATGGCGAGCTTGGGTCGACGGCAGGGAGTGGAGGGGGCGCACGTAGATTTCCAGAGATGTGTAGGACGGATGTTCAGACTGTGGTCGAGGTTCTATGGGTCCTGACACTGACGTTAGAGTCGGCGTGGACTTGCCTGAGTAGATACGATTTAGACACGAATCTTGAGTGCCCGACAAGATGTCCCACCGAAAGAGAATTGCGCTGACCCGTCCGACCGATCCAACCCCTCGTAGACAACGTGGACAGGACGGAGGTCTTCTGCCTTGCGGCCATCGGGACGTGCGGCCATTTTCCAACAGTTGTATGGCAGAAGGAGATCAAACGGCGGAAAGGGACAAGGCTCAGACAACGAGCCGGTAGAGAACTAGGTAAGAGAGCCCGAATTAGCTGGAGGCAGCAGCGGCAGTCAGGGGTCTCGACGCACACCTCCTGGCACCGTGACCAAAAGGACTTACCTACCATTTATGGGGCTCCCTTTACTGGATCGGGAGAAGTCGACGTACTTATACCCCTCTGACACACGCAGCCCGTCTCTCATACTTATAAGAGAGACTGCCGTATCCAAGTCAAATCCCCCTTCTCCTCGCCGACCATCTCCTGTGCCTCACCTTCGCCGCCGTGTATGAATATGCTACCCCAAAGGCCACCAACACCCCATACTTATCGGCCTTATATGGGGTACTTGAATCTATGAATGTACTTCCCAACCAAGCACAGAGCAATTACTAGACGAGCGATGGTGCTGCCCGACCTGACCGACTTTGCCGAGCGCGCGTTTCAACCCGCGAAGCCACAAGAGCCTCTCGTCCTCTCGTGGGTCTCTCAGTGCAGACTAGATAGACTTAGGACAACATCTTCAATTTCAGTACTGTCTTGAAAGACAGACCGACAATTAGTTGGCGTTCTCGAGCTACGGGTTATTCGGTTCCGAGCTCAAGCTTCTTCCCGTCGGCCGGGCTTACTGCGGTAACCGCGTGCGTCGAAACAGCAATTACCCCTATTGACCACATCTATAACGCCCACGCCTGCTCTATATCCAGCTGACGGCAATGTACGTGATGAACAATTGCGTGGCATTAATATTCCGCCTTGTTGGGTAGGTCGCATTGTGCTCTCTCAGCGGCCCTTGACATGCCGGCGCATCACTCGGGGAATCCGTCTGCATAGCACCTCCCCGAGGGTACATAAGGCGTCCCTGAAGACTCTCTGGTGCCTTTTGACCCACCGCCATGATAGGTCTGTGCGTTGCGTTGGGCGCTGTCCTCGCGAGTGTCGTGCAGGCGCAGGAGCAGTATCCGAACGGCGTCGGGTATCCGCACAACTACACCGGGATCCCCTCCGGTGACTACAGCCCGGAGTGGCAGGATTGTAAGTGCAGTTGGTGGTTCGTCAGGTGTTCTACTAACGCGAGTCTGACAATTTGTGGCGGCGTTAGACTTCCAGGTTACTGAGCAGCCCCCGAACGTCACTTGGACTCTCGGGAGGAACTGGGCGGGGAACATCGGCGTGCAGCGGGCGGGACACCCGAATAACACGCTGTTCTTCTGGGCGTTCGAGAAAACGAATGGCTCGCTGACTGCGGCGGCGGGAGAGAACAGCGACGTCCCGTGGGGCATCTGGCTGAACGGAGGGTGCGCAGTTTGACTTTTGGCAGAGCGCGGGACATTCATAATTTCCGTTACTGGGATAGACCCGGAAGTTCCAGTCTGATCGGCCTGCTAATTGAGGTGAGTGCAACTTATTTGGAAGGGGAATAGGACCTCACAGGAGGTGTAGAACGGGCCTATTCACATTGCGAACGACTATTCGGCCTATGCGAACAATTACAGCTGGGATACGCTCGCTGACTACGTGTGGATAGACCAGCCAGTGTGAGCATTTCCTTGCATCCTCTGTATCCTTTGTTCGCTCAGATAGCATCTGGACAGTGGAACCGGGTATTCGACTGTGGACTACGGAGCCTGGGGTACGTGGATTCCAGTCATATTCTCGGCATTGTGGTTAAGATGGTCTTACTGCATAGTTGCTGACGAGGATCAGATGGGTGTCGACTTTGTGGGTGTATTCATGGAGTATTAGATCGTCACCATACTGATCTATCATTACTTTGCCCTAGTTTGGGTTTCTCGAGAACTTGGTAAAGGTCTTCCCGAGTCTTGCCACCCGGCCTCTGTACCTCACGGGCGAGAGTTACTGCGGGACGTACATAGTGAGCCTCATTCACTCATTCAACGGTAAGATTGATTGCGAGCGAGTATCTCTTCTCAGCCCTACATCACGAAGACGTACTTCAACATGGAGAATCCTCCAGTGAAGCTGGCCAAGATTGCTATTGGCGACGGAACAATCGGGAGTGGGGTGGTGTTCGAGCTCCTTCCGACTGTGCGCCATTCCTACGTTTCCTGTGCTGAGCCTTTACCTACGTATCGAGTTACTAGGTCACGACGATCGAGACGTATCCGCAACTTATCGGTTATGACCCGGAGGTGTATCAGTACTTCAAAGAACAGTACGTTGTATTTTATGGATCGGCTATCAGCGGCGCCTCACTAACAGCATACTCGCAGGGAACACTTATGCGGCTACGACCTTAATCTGACATACCCGCAGAACGGTCACTTCCCAACGCTCAACTATACTCAGGGCGCGTACGAGGGCTCTCCCATGCGTACCAAGTCCGGCCGTCTCGGCCGACAAAGTCTCCTGGAGGTCGTCAAGGAGCGGTATGCCGCAAGCGAGAGCAAGAGCCTGCATAAGCGCGACAGAGAGCTGCGGCGCGAACTGTGGAAGATGGAGAAGCGGGACCTGAGCGGGCGGGCGAACGGGACGATCGATTCGTGGTATGGGTGTGATATTTATGACGAGCTGTTGGATTATGCAGTCAATTTTACGTTCCCATGGTGTACGTTTTCTCCTTGCCCTGTCATTCTCTCTGGGGTAGTTGCTGACTAAGGGGCGTAGCTGCTGGGAAGGATTTCGACGTAAGTTTGTTGCGCGCAGGAGTGCGCAGGAGATTGTGACTTATGGATCGATATAGGTCTACGACATCCCCGATGCGTTGAGCCCAGAGGCACCTCAGGATGGTAGTGTTTTCCTGAATGGTCAGCTGCGACTCGTGTATTCTCCTTTGACTCGTATGTCTCATGATTCCTTAAACAGATAACCGAACTCGCGCTGCGATCCATGCCCCTACGAGCAAGGATTGGGTTGAGAGCATTTACTACAACTTCACTGGCGGGCAAGACGGCAATGATCCTAGTAAGCGTGCCTCTCGTGTAACAGAACCTTGACTCACATTGATCCTAGGTGTCGAGTAGGCTCAAACGATTAGTGGTTGACGAAATTCCGGCTGATTGGGGTTCTCCACAGGCCCATGGCGTTCCTTACAGATCTGGCGACCAACGCCACGGCGAAGAATGTCTCGGTTGTGATTTATTCCGGAAATGATGACTCGTTAGTCGCTCATCGAGGCTCAGAAGGTGCGTATTCGTCGACACCTTAACGTATGTCCTAATGCTGATGAAATCCCATGCCAGTTGTAATTCAGGTATTCAAGTCTGATTGACTCCGACTTACCGCGTATTGACATTGCGATCTGTAGAACACGACTTTTGGCGGAATTCAAGGTTTCACCAGGAAGCCGTCTACTCCCTGGTATGATGACGCGGGTAACTTTGCCGGTATCGCGCATCAGGAGCGGAATTGGTCGTACATCCTCTTCAAAGGCGCTGGCCATCTGGTTGCCGCTCAGCAGCCTGAACTGGTAAGTCATATCATGCATACGTGTCCTCTCCTCATATGTTGATTGGCAACACGTAGGCGTACGTCTTCCTCCGCGAGTTCGTTCTTGGGAACAACCACACAGGCTTGGTCGAGTCTGGTTCGAACGTAGTCGGCGGAGAGGTCGCGTCGCTTGCAGGTGATTACTACCCAGGAGGCTCCGAGATCTATTACGGTTCCGGAACGACTCAGAGCACGTATGTTGCCCCGAGTGCCACCATCGCGGCTTGGGAGAGCTTCATACAGACTGCCGACCCGATTACGACTGCTGCCGGCGCTGCAAAGACTGCGGCAAAGCAGAACTCAGCTGCGCGAGTGGGTGTTGCGTTGGGGAGCTTGGGGGTTGGGGTTGTATTCACGATCGCGCTGTTGCGCTAGCGGGACTTCAAAATCACATGTTCCACATGAGACGGACTTCCTCGACGGGCTAAATATAAAGTTGAGCGGACGTGTCGCGCAGTAAGGCTTCTGCGGCGAACATGTACATTGTAGGTAGGCTGGCAATAGCTCTCCGTGTACTCTAGCAATTCGAGTCAGTGCGGCTCTGCGATTGTATACTCTCAGGCTTGCCGTGGATTTGCATCTGACGAGGAGCGTTAGCGATTTGGCGACAAGAGTCGGCATTGGGCAACCCATCTTCTCCCCATCTCTTCGTTCTACTACATGCCTGCACATCATAGCTATGTGCCTAGCTATAGCCCGAAATTCTTCGCAAACGGTATTGCTACTAGTTTCTCGAAAGCGCCTCCTAGAGGAAAGATGTGAACCTGGATTGTTTTGCAAATGTTTTGCCACCCTTGTTGCATCCGACGGATGAATTTGCAGCGATTCTCTGAGATATTCAAGTTGATATTGGACTTCGAGTCTTCGACATCTGCAACAATTTCTTACTACCAAACCTATCTGCCTCCCTCATACATCGGTTCATCTTACATGGGACGAAGTAACTATGCATGTCAGCCACGTCAGCCACGTCGACCGGCTGACTAGTCGGTTTTTAACAACGCATGGCACTAAGTGCGAAGGTTTCGTAGAAATCGTGTGACATTCGTGAGTTGCGTATGTCATCGGCATTTCGAGCCTGCGCAGTGCGACCTTGCAGGTATTTCTTTATATATAGTCTGTAAGTTCCCTTCGACTGGGATCGCTAACCAACTAACCCATCCGAGACCATGCTTGGCACTGTCTTGCTTTCGGCCGCGGCGTCGTTCGTGCTGTATACTGTCTGGAGTATACTCCAGCGTGTAACCAAACCGTACTTCTCGGCACTGAAGAACATCCCCGGTCCGCCCAGCCCGAGTTGGCTGTATGGCAATATCCGGGAAATACTGCAACAGGAGGCGGGGGTGCAGGTCGAGCAATGGGTGGAACAGTACGGACATGTGTTCAAGTTCAAGTGGGCGATGAACGTGAGGCTTGGGGACTTTCGGAAGTTATAGACTTCGTTAACTAACATTTGGGCTAACGGATAGGCTGATCGGCTCGTTCCTGTGGATACGAAAGCCCTACATCATATTCTGACCCATTCATTTGACTACCAGAAACCCAAGGATGCCAGTAGAAATATCGCGCAGATTTTTGGCTATGGTGAGGCTCTCCGAGTCTTTCTTACACGGCTAATTCCTGACGGCCGTTTAAAGGCTTGCTTGCTGTAGAAGGTATGGAAAACCCTACTATGCAGGCAATTATTGTTTCTGACCGCAGCAGAGGAGGAACACAAACAACAGGTAATGTCACTTTCATCTGAGTTGGCGAGCCGCCTGCTGACGGATGTCGTACATTCAGCGCCGCATAATGGCACGTATCCCTTACGGTGCATGATACTCCATTTTACTCACACATGCCGTAGAATCCAGCTTTTGGCCCGATGCATCTCCGGGAGATGACAAGTATCTTCTTCGAGAAAGCCATCCAGGTACGTCCCGAGTTAAGCCAATCTATAAACACAGTATCGTCAATAGTGTTCCTTGCAGCTCCGAGACATTTGGCTAGCACAAATACCTGCTTCCGGAGAACCCGCAATGTTCGACGCGCTGTCTTGGCTCAGCAGGATGACCTTGGACGTCATCGGACAGGCTGGTGAGTCGCGCCGCACACTCGCTTCCATTGTGACATAACCGACCTCCTCAAGGATTCGGTTACGACTTCAACGCGCTGAACCCCGACTCGACGCCAAATGAGCTTAACCAAGCGTTCGCAACCATCTTCCAGGGCAGCCAGAACCGGCACCGGCTGTTCGTGCTCAACCAGATTCCGTTAACCAACCTGATCGTACGCAGGCAACAGCCGTACTGGTTTATCGTATAACTCTAATTTGTGACTGGTAGCCTACTGAACGGCGCAGACGCATTGCTGAAGCCAGGAGGACGATGGACAGGATCGGCAGGCGGCTCCTTGAGGAGAAGAAGCGGGCTGTGCGAGAGAGCACTGGCGCAGGCGGCAAGGTCGAGAAGAAGGCGTTCCAGGGCCGCGATTTGCTGAGTCTCCTGGTGAAGGCGAATATGGCGGAAGATATTCCGGAGAACCAGCGGTTGACCGACGATCAGGTCCTGGCTCGTGAGTGTCTTCTTTTTGCACACTTGAGATGTGTATTGATGGTGCCAATTATTTCTAGAGGTGCCGACGTTCATGATCGCTGGCCATGAGACAAGCAGGTGCGTTATCCCTAAATGTTTTCCATATTATCTATTGCTTAACGCCGCGATCCTAGCACGGGCGCCACCTGGTGTCTGTATGCCCTCAGCCGGGCCCCGGACGCCCAAGTCAAACTGCGCGAAGAGCTCCGGGGCGTGTCGACGGACACACCCAGCATGGACGAGCTGAACGCACTGCCGTACCTCGACGCGGTCATACGGGAAATGCTTCGCATCCATGCACCCGTCCCGATGACCGCGCGCGTCGCGATGAAAGACGACGTGATCCCACTCAGCAAGCCGTTCGTTGATCGTTATGGGAAGACGCAGGATGTTATCCGGTGCGTTCGTCCGTACTCTATTAGTTCTTAATACGTGACCGATCATGATCTTCACGCCTAGTATATCGAAGGGTGATTCCATCGCGGTCCCGATTCTGCAGATAAACTGCTCAAAGGAGATATGGGGCGAAGATGCAGGGGAGTTCAAGTACGCTCACACTTTTGCTTTGGAAGGTTTCCGTATTGATGTTGACTCGCCCTTTAGACCAGAGCGATGGCTCAAGGACTCTGTCCCCGAGGCTGCACACAATGTACCCGGGATCTGGGGCAACATCCTGACATTTCTAGGCGGCCCGCGCGCGTGCATCGGCTATCGCTTCTCCTTGGTCGAGTGCGTCACACACCTCTCATCGCGTGTAGTCACTAATTACTGCCAACAGGATGAAGGCGATTATATTCACCCTGATCAGAGCGTTGGAGTTCAGCCTTGCTGTTCCGCCGGAGCAGATTGGGAAACGGCAGGTGATCGTGACCCGACCTGTTGACCTCGCGGATCCGGAGAAGAAGAACTGGATGCCACTACTAGTTCGACCGGTGAAGCAGTGAAACTCGGTCTTGTGCGGTGCGGATGCGGGCTGGGTTGGCCAGTGTTCTGTCTGTCTGAATTTTGCGCGAATCCGGCTTCTGCTCTATTTTTGATCATATCTTTCACCTGAAGTTTCGGATTATTCTGATTATTCGTAATTGAAGAGATCGTAGATGGATACATCCTTAGGTTGTATCGAGAGAAGGTGAATGGAGGCACCTGAAGCTTGAGGACCCGGAATGAGCGCACTCAATTATCCATCAACCTGCATTGCGGAACCTCACGATCTCATTCATTCCCTCGGCTTCACGTGAGTTAGAACTACCGTCGCGAGCCCCACAGATTATTCTATGACGATGCTGTGTCCTCAATTCGCACTGGACTTCCGCTCGTTATAACGCAGCCTTCGCTCGCGGCCTGCCATAGAGCATAGACCGTGGATGTAATATTATGACCACATTAGGAAGGGACATACATATCATAGTTAGGCTGTCGTATAGATCGAGAAGGCTGAACAGAGAGTACATGGAAGAACCTTCATATCAGTGAGGCGTAACAATATCGCAACGTTCGTAACAATGTAGACAGAAACACACAGGACTGAGATGAGAAAAATCACATTATACAGCACTTATAAGGTGCTTGGGAGGCCCGCCCGCAGGCCCCAGGGACTGAGCCCTCCTCAACGTGTATCTGAAGTTTGGTCGGAGCCCATTGATCCATCCCAACCATGCAGGGAGCTGTATTTGCTGATAGGTATCGACGTCTCTAAGAGCGAGCCTTCCTCCGGGCTGGATGAAACCCAATACCCGTGTCCCGAGGAGATATCGGAAGAACACGGCGTGTCGGCACTTGTTAGGAGCGTCTGAAGGGGGTCAATCGCTAGTGGGCCTGCGGCGTCCGAATCATGACTGGCTTTATTAACGACATAGTCATTGGAATTCTGGAGCAGGGAAACCGACGTGGAGTGCAATTCAGGCTCATAGGTAGGCGGCTGATCCAGAGGGCCGTCGATCCCTTCGAAATTGCGTTCTAAATCAGTAGCCAGGAGCAGCAGGGACTCCAAGCGGTCAAGCTCTCCAGCGGCCGGAGCCATTACTTCGTTAAAGCGGATAGTACCATGTGTGGGGGCTGCGCTCGCAGGCAGACCGAGATCCTCCGTAGCAGGTTGTAGCGGCGGCACAAGGACACATGGCTCCATGACGGGGGCGGGATCGTCCAAGTTAATTCCTCCAGTGAAGCTAAGCTCGGCAGGTCCTGCTGTACCCAGCATGTAGCGAGTAGATGCCACATCAGCCCTGAGTTCTGAGTCCGGAGCATTGCCGGAATCGAGAAAGTCCAGCTGGTAAAAGCCCCGATTGAATAATTCCACGAAGTCTGTCACACTTAAGGCGGGCTGTGCACCGTTCGTGAAGTTTTCCTGGATGGACGGTGGCGACGGAGCCCGAAAATCTTGCTCCAGTGCTCCCAGGTCCTCGTGGACAGCAGAAGGGCGCCCCAGTAGAGAACGATAGTTGTTGTCGAGAGAAGATGTCCACGAGTTCCCCGACAAGATATCCGTCCCAGAAATGTGGTGATACGACCAAGCCGCATGGTGATGAGACGCGGTTGGCGGAGTAGCAGCCTGGGAAATCTGGAAGAGTGGTGTCATTTGTAAGGAGCGCCTCACGGACTGAGGCGGGTGTGCAGGCCCTGGTAGAGGCCTAGGACTGCTACGCAAGGGCCCGTGTAGCCAGTCCATGCGACGGACGCGGACTGGGCGAGGACTAACAAAATTCGTCGTATGGATGTTGGGGCGACTTCGGTTTGTTGGGCGTACTACCTCCTCGGATGGTCCTGGGGTGGCAGCACGCCGTTTGCCCTTATTCTCGGAATCCTCGTCGAAAACCACCTCCCAGTCCCACTCCCGATAAATCTCACTGGAAAAGTGCAAAGATTAGCGCTATGAACTCATGAGTGTAAAGCAGCACCTACAATTCTTGTCTGTGGGAAAGATGAGTGCGCCAATGCGCGACCATATCGGCAACATCATGAAATGGTATCCATGTCGGTCGCATACACTGTCTCAGTCGACACACCAGGTCAACCCCCATGGCATTGATCTCATCGGCGGAGATGCCCTCATCTAATAGAGCTCGAACTTCGGGACGATCGGAGGACGCGAGGTCAGAAGTGTGGGGCAACATCGTGTCTAGGATAGAAGACATGGTGTAAACCAAAGAGCCAAGAGCTGTGGTTTGGGCGGACTGAAGAGACAAGGACGAAGAGACGAGGGCAAAAGATGATGGATGGTTGAGCCGGCATGACATCCCATTTTATAGAGCCATCCATCCCAGGCGTCCCTTTGTTCTTGCTGCGGTTGAATTTAGTGAAGTGTGGCAGGGAGAAGAAGCATTACTCCCAGCGTGAAATCGCCAGACTTGTACCGAGTACAAGGTAGTGAAAAGGAAAGTTTGATGGTGTCCTCGGAACGCGTCCTCTAAGATGCATTGCGGAGGCATATTCATTGCTTCGATTAATTAAGAGTTACCTTATACGGAGGGGCTGGAACTTCACCGGACGCGGCTACGTCCTGATTGGTAGCCACAATTCCCTTCCGGCATTGTTCGCGCACCGCCTGTAGGGACAATCTGCTTTCTTCTTCACTCGTGTCATCATCAGTGATCCATGCAGGCAAATTGGACTGTCTTCGGAGTCGAGAAGCCCACTTCGCATTCACAGATGTGGCTGGTGTGGGCTTGTCACATTATTGAGAAGATATTTCATCACGGTCATCACGACTCCGACATTGTTCTTGCTCGTTCCGTAGAAATCAGGGCAAACGAATTTGAAAGAGAGGCCACATAGGTTACTGGTGAGTAAGGCAGTACCAGGCAACTGTGGCACTTACCACGTTCGAGACCAAGGTTCTTAACTCTAATAATAGATCATGGAGGTGGACCACAGGGATCGGGCTGATCTTCACTAGCGATGGTACTGAGGAAGGCGAAGCCTCATTTTCGACGGCGCAAGATGTTCTTCTCCAAATGTCTACCAGGTCGCCGGTGAGAGTGCACCAAGCTTCCGAGGCAGCGACTGCATCGATTATTCCGGGGGCGGGGGATCGATTACTCCCCAGATAAGTACTGCAGCATCACCAGCGACGCGTCCAGTATAATAGAAAATGATGCAGGGTTTTTTACAGGACCTCTCGTTAGACACTCACAAGGGAATGTTACCCCATAATTTATCAACTGAGGGTTAAGCGGGACTTCAACAGGGAATACGAGATTTTGACTCGCCGCGTAGTCACTTCTCTATTATGTTCATAGCCTCCTTTGAGCGCAGTACTCAGCAATATGGGGAGTGCAGGCGGCGAAGCCAATAGACCAAGTATGCAGGGTGTGGATGTGGACTAACTTGCACAATACGACCCCTCGAAATAACAATCCCACGAATAAGCTGACAAAGCACTACAAATATGGCAAGCGTCGTGGCTGTCACTGTTCCCGACGCTAGGAGACAGTCCTAGCATATCAAATCACTCCCAGAGCATATTTTATATGAAAACCCAGACCTTAACCAACCCGGGGCGTTCCCCCCCGGACCCCCCCTTTATCGATATCCTGTAAACCATACCCTAACCACCTCACCCTAACCCGAACCTTAACCAACCGGGGGGTTCCCCCCCGGACCCCCCACTTACCCTAACCTACCCTAACCCAAACTTCCTAACCACCCCTCCGCAGTGCGAAGAAAAAACATACAGGAAGTAGGTAGAACATTGGTACAAACCAACAAAAAATGCAGGCGTCAGGATTTGAACCCAGATCCACAAGCCTCAGCCGCAACGCAGACCCGCTAGGCCACACGGAAGACGCCTGTGCAACCACAAGGGGGTATAAATCCAACAGTGCTGACTTGTCTTAGTCAGCAAGTCGTGGGATTGCTTTTTCGAGGGGTCGTATTGCCCAAGACATGTGGACTGTTCATCCGCCTTTTCCCACGCCGGTCTTCCGCGGCATCATGATCATGATCACCTACAGCTGCGTCGACGTCGCTATGGTCCAAGATGCACGATGACCCTCCATCCACGCTTAATATCATCACTTTTTTTTTTTGGACAAGCATAGGCTCCCCGGCAGCTGACAATAGGTACAGCCCCGGTTCGCCGCTATAGCAGGTGGTTCAGAACCACCCGGTCCGGGATAAAAATGCCTTTATGCACCCCCAGCTTGCGCTGGGGAGTGTGGGACTCGAGAGTACGCCTGGATTCTCCGTTGGATAGGAGGCCGTGGCGTTCTAATACCCACTAAAAACCCGTTGTGCCCGACCCAGTCGGGCGGGAGGGAGTCATCGTCAGCTATCGTCCCTCCCCATGTGCGTAGTACGAGTCGTATGGCCTTTGAGGATCTATGCAGCTTGGTTGCAATGATTCGGTCTATGCTAAGCCGTCAGTTGAGGGCCGTCGTCCAGCGGCGGACAATGTTGGACGGGGAGTGTGTGCACCCCCTTATAACCCTTTCACACCTTAGGGTCCATATCAGGTGCATTGATTCCGATACTAATATTTGGAGGAGGCGGGAGGCCCCAGGGAGGAGTTGTCGTGCTTCACTTGGTGCCGGGTTAGGCCCCCGTGCCTGGCGCGGCATTTCAAGATGCTTGTAAACTTTGAGGGTACCTGGGGCGATGATGGCTCCATAGTCGAGGGACGGCCATGGGCCATTCTTTGCCAGCCATAAGTCTTGGACTAAGAGCCAGACTATCTTACGGGCAGGTGCGTCGCACTCTGTCAGGATATGGTCCATGTTGTCGGGGGCATCCCGGCATACTGTGCAGGGTGCGCAGTCTGAGTAGCCAGGGATTCGCTCCCAGTGGTCCCCAATACGGTACGCGCTGTGGTATATCTTGTAGGTGAACTGTCGTACCAACGGTCGTATGCTCTTGTTGCGGCAGGCAAGCCACAGTTGTGCTTCCGTCTCGTCAGTGCCTAGTGCAGCCTGTAGAGCATCCAGAGCTCGGGAAACATTCTGGGCTGTCTTGGTGCGTGGCTCTGTGTCCTGGGTTCCTCTCTCGCGGATGGCTCGGTAGGCCAGGGTCTGGGTGAGGCATGCCAGTTTCATGCCTTTGGGGTCAAAAGCTGGGGATACATTGAGGTCTAGCTCATCAGGTTCAGTTTTGTTGCTCCTTGTTTTGCCAGGTCATTTGCGGCTGCCCCGTTGGGTGTTCGGTTGTGACCCCCCACCCAAGAGAAGGACGTGGCAGCAGACCAAAGTCGAAGTTGGTAGGCTGCCGCCTGGAATAGGCTACGGTTTGAGACCCCAACCCAGCCATTGTCTTCCCAGTGGTTTAGGTTCTTGGTGAGCCCATTTATCACATGGAGTCATTCTCTGGCAAATGTGACAGGCGTGAAGGGTGGTATCAGCTAGAGTGCAGCTACAATGGCTGCTATCTCCCCTGCCTGGGTGGACTGGGCTGGTCCTCCGAGGCGTATGGAGCAGTTGTAAGGGCTTTCGGGGCTGATGAATATACCGCTGCCTGAATATCATCACTTTTGCAATCCAGTATATTTCAAGTTCATGGGAGAAACATTTGGCTCTATGCATCTGTGACAATTTAAATCTGCCTGCGATATGTCTCGACTGACCAGGTATTGACGATCCGACAGGCCGTCGATTCTCGACAGCAACTTTGTGGCACCGCCACCCTCTCCAGCAAATCGACATGGCTTCTTGATCTGGGTGATCTGGCAACCTATCAGAGCTACTAGTATCGCCGAAGCCCGCTTATCGCGCACGTGGCCATGGTGTATGTTCCCTCCCTACCATGCGGCATCAGCAACCTTCTCAAGTCGCGTGCGTTTCATTCGAGTTTGTTCGTAGCTGAGCTCCGAATTCATCCCTTTCGACCTTCAAGCAGTGCTATCAACGGAACACGATACCTGTTACGGTTAGTGAACCAGTCACCATGCGGTGAACAAACAGAGCCTGCTTGTGCCTGAGCGAGAATAAGCTTCGGATGCCTAACATCACCACCGATAGCGCATTCTCCATCATAGATGGATCACGGGCCGCTCCGCTCCCGCTTTATTTACCGTACAGAACCTCGATAGCCTCCTTGAGGGTCTCCTGGACTCCCGCTTTCTTCTCCCCGCGGCCAGTGCTTCAGCGAACATGGAGAACACCAAAGTTCTCGAGAAGACGCACGCCGGGGGTATCGACGAGGTAGCCTCGGTGGATGTGAAGGAAGCGGCGGATGTCGAGAAAGTCTCCGACTTTGAGAAGGAGGAATTTCTCGTCGAAGATTACGCTCGCGACGTAGCGGTCAAAGTAAGTACGGCGTTCGTACAGTATTGCCTCTCGACTGACCTTTCCCTATAGGTTCTCACCACTCAGGATGACCCCACCCAGCCGGCCTTCACATTCCGTTTCCTGTTCATCGGACTCGGTCTGAGCGCATTCGGTAGTGTACTGGCGCAAATATACTAGTAAGCGTTCCATAGGCGACCTCAGGGTCATTTGGATTGAGACCGCGTCGATTAGCTTCAAACCTCAGACTGTCCTTGTGGCCAAATTGTTCTTGCTGCTGATATCGTACTTCCTCGGCGAGATGATGGCAATGCTAATCCCGAGGAAAGGATCTTTCCTCTACCTCAATCCGGGGCCATTTAACAGTGAGCAGGGTGATTTTCCGCCTTGCTCTAGTGACTGATAACAATGCGTCCGCCGGCAGTCAAAGAGGTCTGACACTCGGATATTTTTATTATATGCTCATCTAATACTCATCTCGATGCAGCACACTGCTATCATAATCATGTAAGCACTCACTTAGTGCTTGTTGACGTCGCTCCAACCCCTATAGGTGCTCTACGGCATCTGTCTCCGCCACAGCTTCGGAAATCATTGCTGTCGAAGACCTGTATTATAATAAAAAGTTGAACCCTGCGTTGGCGATATTCATGCTGTTCGCGACGCAGCTGCTTGGATACGGATTTGCGGGGTAAGCGTTCTTGGTAAATGTCACTCATCAGGATATCTGACGGCACATGTAGTGTACTGCGGGATTTCCTCGTTTTCCCAACGGCGGTAGGCTTGCACTCGATTGCACTTGGATAGAGAACTTACGTTACCTCGCCGCAAGACGTGGTGGCCTACTAGTATCACATCGGCTAATGTCAGTGTCAATGATCGCAGCCCGTTGCGGTGAGGAGGGCTCCTCACGAAACCTGCACAGGTCCTGCAAGCACTGCACTTTGATCGGACTCTGGCCAGCAAGCGTGTCAGGATGTTTTGGACTGTCTTTGGGTAGGTCAGGGTCCCCCAGGGGTAGGCGTGATTCTCATGCAGCCTCCGCAGTTGCATCGCTCTATGGGAGATCGTTCCGCAGTACATGTTCCCGGTGCTCTCGTACGTCCGAAGTTGAGAAGAGGAATGGGCGACGATTCTAATTGCGTTTAGGGGTTTCTCCATCATCTGCCTCATCGCGAACGGTCGAGGCCAGGTGGTGCGGAACGTCTTCGGGGGCGCGTCCAATAATGAAGGTGGGTATATTTTCCCTTGATATTTCGTGCGTCGGTACATGTCCTTCGAATCAGGCACTGGTTTGCTGGCGGCTTGTTTCGATTGGAACTACATTGGAAGTGACGTAAGTTCATTTCGCTGTCACCCAACTAAGCCGAAGTTGACATGTCCTCCCCCGTAGTGTCTGTGGGTACCCTTGCAGACGCAGCTCAATCAGGATGTAGGCCTACTGCTCACATGTGAGTGACGCGACAAACATGTGATAACTATCTTACGTCTGGAACCCCTTAGACGTCTTCATGCTCTCCTTTTACTACGGTCAGTGCTAATGGAGACTGGCATGCTCTACCCGCTTAATTATATTCATCGCAGGAAATGTATGGAAAGCCAAGGTCCGTACCCCTGCCGCTGCGACCCCACACTCGTCCTCATTTTGTCCCGCAGAATTTCCCCTTCATGAGTCAGGCGCTGTTCTACGAGAATGGTACACAGTACGATCAAACACTGATTCTGACCAACAACGAGTTGTACGTGCGGCCAAACAGGATGAGTGGACGTAAATATGACGGAAACCCCGATAGTGATCCGGTCAAATATGCCGAGCAAGGACCGGCATACTTCTCTGCATCCAACGTAAGCATGTTACTCTGACCGCTCGGCTATTACAGTATGTTGTCTGACGATCACGCAGGCTTGGTTTCTGCTCGTGTCCAACCTCGCCATTGGAGCTTGTGTGCGTAAGGTCAATTCTTCAGGTGACACCATTCTGATGACATCGCATTCTGTGTAGCTCGTCCACGTACGTCTGTCATATGATATGATGGATCTGTGATTTGGCTCCTCTAACCCGCAAGAGGCAGGTTTACCTGTGGCATTGGGACCGTATTGTTGGGGCGTTCAAATTTACGGGCTTCCGCGGATCGAACAACATCGATGATCCTCACCACAACGTGATGAAGAAGTACAAAACTGTGCCCCAATGGTGGTTTATACTGCTCTTCGTTGCAGCCTTTGCTACCGCACAGGTATAATGCTAAGGTGGCTTTGGGCTTACTTGTTCTAAACTTCGTTTCAGGCCACGAACTACAAGGGCGACAGCGGCCTCCCTTGGTGGGCTTTGATTGTCCTGCTCATCATGTCATTCATCTTGACTGTCATCTACGGGTAAATACAATCTTCTCGTTGCAATCACGTGGAGCGCATGCTGAATACCAGTCCTAGATACCTATCCTCAATCACTGGATTCTCATTGTCATGGTTCGGTACCGGCTTCTTCCAGGTGGGTCCGTTCTCTCGGCGTAACGACGGTTCTTACGTATCCGTGACAGATGATTGTTGCGTTCATGTTGCCCGGGAAGCCCGTGGCAAACATGTAAGTTCTGCTGCTACACCGAGCGCCTATCAAATTCATTATATCTGTGAAGGTATGGAACGGTATATGGACAGCACACAATGAACCAGGTACGACTTTCATCTAAGAGGAGAGAGCACGATATTCACCCGATATCGCCGATGTAGGCACTCAACTTGATGTCTGACTTCAAGCTCGGACAATATACGAAGGTGCCACCTAGGTGAGTACACAGAAGCCGCCTCTGATTGCTATGATCGTGCTCACGTCCGTATATAACGCAGGGGTACGTGTACTTGAACTGCGCATGTAAGGCGGACCCAATTGACGATCCTAACCATCTCTCTAGTGACGTTCTTCGCTCAAGTCTTCGGATCGATTGTCGGCAGCGTGCTGAACTACGTCATGTTAATCAGTGTGTCCTCTCTACATTTGCTGGAATGCGATTGATAGGCGGTCCACCGCAGATATCATCGACAGTAAGAGCTTACCTTCGGAAATGAAACACTTGGACGCTCACGTGAGGTGACAGATAACAGACCTGCTCTACTGAGTATTGCTGGGACACGTCTCTGGAGCGGTCAGAACCCTCAATCGTATAACAGCAAGTACGTTGAACTCGTACGTCAGAGAAACTTAGCTTAACGAACACTTTTCTATAGTGCCATCAGCTGGGGAGCACTCGGTAAGCACACGTTCACAAGCGATTATCGTTACAATTGGGAACATCCGATGTCTACAGGGCCCCAAATGTTCGGGCGTGGCGGAACATATGTCATGGTACCCATAGCTCTAGCCATCGGCTTGTTCCTCCCGGTTCCCTTCTGGCTACTCCACAAGAAGTTCCCAAAGTCTGGGTTCAACAATGTCATAATGCCCATCATTGTTCAAGTAAGCAGCTGTCCATTGTATATGCAAGTGAGATGAACCAATGAACTATGTCGTAGTACTCCGCATGGTTGACCGTCGGCGTCAACTCATCGATCCTCTTCGCCATCGTCATCGGCATAATTTCGCAATAGTACGTACCAGGCCATGATGATGCTGCCAGGCTCTCTGACCCACCCGGATCTCGGTGTGAAGTTTCGTAAGGAACAGGTACCCACGGTGGTTCAGTAAAGTAGGTCTTTCGCAACCTCCCTTCGGCGTAGTGTCGTTAATCCGCTATTACACTCCAAATTTTAGTACAAGTAAGCCATAGATTCTCCCGTGCTCGTTTCATCTTTGCTCAATCGCTCTCTCTGCGATAGCTACATTCTTTCGGGCGCTCTGGTTAGTTCGTTCCGTCGGTCACAGTGCTGATAGAGCTCTGACTCGTTGTTTTCCAGGACGGGGGTACCCAAGGTTTGTCACGTGCGGTGACATTACTTCTTCCTTCGTGGTGCTGACGGCTTTCGATGGCAGTGATGATATTCATCCTGGTAAGATCTGCCTAATCCACGGCGCATGAGGGCTCACCCCGGTCAATTGATAGTCATTCGCGGTCTTCGGAGCCGCAGGGACCGCGCACGATTTCCCCACATGGGTACGTGGAGTCTCATGTCCAGTGGGATGATGTAAACATGTTTAATATAACTACATTCCTTTAGTGGGGCAACCCATCGCTTGACCAAGGTACGTGATGCCATCTAAACATTTCACTTGATTGCGCGATACTGAATTGGCGACCTCCGTATCAGGATTATCTGCGGACAGGTGTGCAGCACCACCAAGTTAAGCTCTCCATTCTCCACGGTTTGGCAATGCAGGACTGTGTTGTGTCAGGGTAAATGGCAAATTATGCGTCACATACGGTGGGTTATTGCAGAGGAAGGCGGGCAGGCCAGTGTATTCCAGTAGACTAATGAGAAAACGACCCCGGATGACGAGTTCCACTTCAACGCAAAATTTCAGAGCATGCGGCCTGTGGATTTTCTGTATGTGCCAGTCGCATGGGATCTACAACTATCTGCCCCGTTTTCTAGGGAACGACGAGCTTGTGCGGAGGACTAGAGGAATCTTCCAGGACATTTCATCCTTCCCGGGAGGTTAGGGTTTTCTTCGCTGCTTCTTAGGGATAAAGGCGGTTCTGAAGCTGGCGGTGTGATGTGGAACAGAGGAATGCACTCGACTGTCTCGACGTCACATCTCTCTGTCTTCCTTTGTGCCATCACTTTCCTCCTTCCACCCGAGCCTTACGCGTGCAACCGCCTTCTCTCCAACATTCTGCATCATGAGCGAACGTGATAGGTATACCACAACCCTAAGGCCTTGCCGTATCAAAGCAGAGTCTTGACGCGATCAGCGCCCCAGCTAATATCGAAGCCTCACTTCAAGTTCGTCGGGTTAGACTTCGAATGTAATCGACTCTGCGAATAATTCAATTGGTTCACCATGCGCTGATACATGAGAACTCGTGATAAGTCGTCTAACTAGGCTGGCACTGCGGTGGAATACATGAGCCATGCCTACACCGACAAGTAAAAAATGTTGAAGTATGGAGAACTCCGAGGTAGCAAGGCCTCGAGCCTTTTAAGCAGTAGGACCTATCAATGATGTGACGCGAAGCGGCTAACCCGACTGCTCAGCAGCGTGGAGCACCAGGACCATCAATCCCATGATCCATCCCTCGATTAAAGGATGCAGCAGAGCAGATCATTTCTTCTGCGGGAAAGCGACGACGACCTAGATATGCTAGGCAGACTTACTGAAATTCATACATCAGGAGTGAACATGCTTCAGACACAATGAGCATCTATCCCGGCAAGTCCGAGACTGGGCGACTGGCCGATACTAATACATCCCGGCGTCATAGAGGATATCGAAGGGGCGAACGGCGACTGGATAGCATCTGGAACTCCAATATAAGCGTAGCGCGTGACATAGTTGTTCGCAAGGGCGGCAGGTGGAAGGCACCATCTTCAACCCAAAGACCCGAGTATCAGTAGGGGTCCCTCGCCCACGACTTGTGCAAACCGGCGAATGCCCTTGCGAGAGCCTGTCGAAAATTCGCCAGTCGCGAGGATGCTACGGAAGGTACGCCTCGGCGCAGCAGCAGACATCAACACCACATTTTATACCAAGACCAAGACCGAGACCCAGTGTGAGTAATTCCACGACGCAGACGGGGCAATCGGGTCCCAACCTATGTCGGATGGGAATACAGGAGCGCCAGAATACGAAACCGCACCAGTGTAGGTATCACTCGGCACGAACGGGCCGAGATGCTCACATATATCGAGTCTGAACAACCAATAGACATAGGGACGGGAAGCCACGATTACACAGGTTCAAAAGCCCGGCAAATTAAGTGTCGAGCTTGATGGACAACTGAGAATGCGATTGCTAGTCAGCTGCATCGTCATCCTAGCGCCAGAGGAATCGATTCTCAGCAGTGCCCAAGCGCCCGCTTAAATTCTTCATTGATGATAAGACCCTTGTGAACTGGGAACCGAGAACCGAGAACGGGAAATGAAGCTCCAAGCGGCGATGTAGCCTGTTTCCATTCTGAGCCGCTTTGTATGGTATCCTCGTGCTGAAGCCTTGTCCGCCACGAAGAAGAAGGTCACGAAGAGGTAGAAGAATACAGGGCGATCGCGAGATCCGTTGGTCTGGCTCTTCCGAGGGAAACTGTGGCGAGGCCGTAGCGGTGAGAGCCTGGACTCAGAATATACTTTGGGCCACGTACGAGAGCGGGTCGTCATGGGGTGACGGAGTAGCCACTATACTACTGCTCCTCAGCTGGAGAGTAGCTAGCCCATGACCCACCCAGTGTGGCTTTCCCAGCCATCGGTTCATGATCACCTCGCAGCCTGCTGAATGAGACGAGAAAGTATCCGCATGAACAAGGACCGCAGTAAGGAAGTTTAATATTTATAAGGACCCGTGGCGCAAGTCTAGACACTTCATAGAGTATGTGCCTCCGTGGTAGTGGCTTCGGGTTCCGTAAGGGGGATAGTGAATGAGGCATGCGGGACAATAAGGACCAGGGCCCGAAGCTCAAGTTAATCTTAGATACATGGCCGGAAAGGAGGATCGTAGCGGCGGGATGAGAGATATGATCAGTAATGTTAGAGGTGCAGATGGCTCACCGCCGGATAGAGCTCGGTGATTAGAGATCCGGTGTGTCTTCGATTAGAGGGATCTACGGAGATGGACAAGGCTTCTCCACCAAGCTGATACTAATCTCAGTGGGAAAAGGCCTGGACTTGGGAGCGGAAGGAAGCCACTAAAGACGCAGGAGACATCCGAGGGCTCGAGCTAGCGCGGTTCTTACTCTTGCTCTCCGGAACGTTGGCGCGCACCATAGGACATTGAGCCATCTTGCTTTCACAGCACCAGCACAAGCACACCGATGCACGTAAAAACTTTCTCGCACTATGACGCTGCTTTTTCAGGTGCTGTGAAAGAATGGGATGGAACTGTATTGCATCCAGTCAAAGCGAGCCTTGGATTAAATAGCAGTGACCAGCAACGAGGGCAGAGGTCATATGAGCGAGCCACGAACAGAGCCTTAACGACATCGGACAGATCGTGTGGCCATCACGGTAGTAGCTACGTCATAGGGGGGCATCTAGGGTCTGAGGGTGAACCGTACCTATGAATGGCCTTTATAGGTGGAGGGTACTATAAGAGTAAGTGGTGCAGGACGAAGAGGAATAATGTTACTTGAACCGTTGTTTCCAGTATATATATTGAGCTACAAAGATGAACGTGAGATGGGCTCCAGAGCAGCAGGCTTGTGCCAAATGCTGAGTTATCGGGGATATACATGATGAATGGGTGGGTTCACCTAGGTGGAGGGAGTTCCAGAAGGATCAAGCCGGCATATTTCTCAGTCCATGTCTGGCCGTGCGTAGCCAGGGTTTGACGACATCAGGTCCCGAGCGCCCCAGCTGACTTGTGCTTCAGCCCTCTGATCCTGTGCACAACAAAAGCGTCACAAGAATAAATAATTCAAGCTCTATAGCAGGGCAGCTTCGAGGAAGGGATAGAAAGCGTTAAGAAACCAATGCTTCGTCCGAGGCAGAGGCAGCCACATTCGGGCAAGTGTGGCGGAGTTGCCGAAAAGCGCACCTAAAGCGGAAATGCACTTCCGGCGAGTGCCAGCGGTTGCACCAAAGCCTCGAGGCAGTCCTTTGGTCATCTGTTTACAACGCGGACAGCATACCCTAATTCCTTATATACCGCTAGCTGCTTTCTTATCGATACGACGAATTCTTCTTAGAGGGACTCTTCTGTCCATTCTCCATAAAAAAGGCTGCTCTGGCTGTGCTGCTAGACTCGGTTTGCTTCCGCGTCGATCAACGATCAACAAACGGCTTGTTACCCTTATAGGCCTGCACAATTAGTTTTCTAGCCGTGCGGCGTAGCTCTGGTTATCTGTCCTAGACTCGGTTATAAAGGCAGGCCAGGTTCCAACCAAGGGACGCCTCGTTTTTTGTTCATCAGCCCCCCGCCGCTGCGCTGGCATCTAGGTCGGCAGGTCCTGCGCCGTCTCGCTCTGATATATCATAGGATATATTACTCCTGGCTGTCCGACTACTACCCGTTTCCGTCCCCAGCCGAGCCAACATACTCATCCGGCTCGTACTCTGACTCGACCGACACACTAGCACCGACGGTAATCGGGATATAGCATAGGTTATATTATTCCTGGCTGTTCGCCTACTACCCCTCGTCATCCCCAGTCGAGACAACGTTCGCGCGACTATCCTGCGTACTATTTAAACCCTCTCTCACCTCCGGCCACATCAGCTATGACAGAGTACGACTACTCGCCCGAGGCCTACCAGCGCGCCATGGCGACGCACAACCGGGTCAGCAATTGGGTCGTCTCGCAGACCTACTCTCGCCCGCAGTACAATAACCCCTTCCAGCTCACGCGGTCCGAAGCCGCCGAGCGCGCCGCCTCGCCCCAGTATACCTCCACGCCGTCCGATTTCCCAGGCTCGCCAGGGCTTTACGCGATGGAGCTCGAGCGGCGGCGCGGGCGGGACCGCAGCGTATCCATGAGCGCGGCGGGGCACAACCATCATCGCAGAAGTGCGTCTACAAACACCCCGGGGTACCCGCCCACCAGCCAGCGCGCCACAGCAGGTTACCGCCCGCCCCCGACGCGCTCGCAGACGTACTCACTCTCGCAGACGCTGCGCCCGCAGTCGTCGTCGCAGTCGACCTCGCGCACGACCTCGCCGCATCGCTCTAACTCGCTGTCACAGTCGCACTCCTCGTCGCGCACGCGCAGCCCGGCCAAGCCGCCGTCCGGGACTTATTACGCGCCGCAGCCGGCTTACCCGTACCAGCCGCACTCGCAGCCGGTGGTGTATACTTCACCGCAGACGGGGAGGTATCCGCAACAGTCAGGGACGGCATATTATATCAAGGGCGGACAGGTGCAGCCGTACCTATATGGGGGGAATAATAAGGTCGTGCAAGTACCGCCTGGGCAGCAGGCGTATGTATACCCGGGGGGCGATGTCCGCATTGTTGTAAGTTGTTTTCTTTCGTCGTCGATGGCATGTTACTGATGAACGCGTGCAGCCTAGCAAGCACGCTACGCCAAATACCCTTAAGAAGAAAACCGGGCAGCCCTTCCTCAAGCGCCTCTTCACAGGTTGGTCGACCGGGAGTATGAACTCGCGCGACCGCCGCCGCCGGATGAGTTACTAGCCTGCCGTCAAGCTTCCGCCGCCTGAACCTGCATTCGGATGGAGCCAGGCCCGTGATGTTCGATACATTCACGGATGCTAGGCCAGCCCTGATCCGATATTGTGCATCTCCGGACTCCATTGCATCACATCGCATCGCATCTGTACATGTGTACATACATATACATCTGGCACGTTCCCCATTTCTCTTTACCCTTCTCGTCGACCACCTACATTCGCTTATTATCTAATACCCTGCCAGACTTTGCGTCCCTTCCTCTTACAGTGTATTCATTGCCGTTCCGTTATCGTTGCTGGCCGCGTTGTACAGATAAAATTCTTTATTACCTTACGATCCTCCCTGTATATAATAGAGCGTATAAACGTACGAACATAGATAGACGACTTGTTACGAGTTTGCAAGTATTGGCGCATGACTGGACGAATTACATTGTTTGGAGAGTCGATTACATTGCGATGCTAACCCTACGAACTTGAAGCGAGGCTTCGATATTAGCTGGGGCGCTGATCACGTCAAGACTCATGCTTTGATACGGCAAGACATTAGGGTTGTGGTATACTCTCAGGTTCGCTTATGATGCCGGATAGTCGTTAAAAGGCGGTTGCACGCGCGATCCTCGAGTGGAAGGAGGAAACTAATGGCATAATTGTGGACAGAGAGATGTGATGTCGAGTGCACTGTACATTCATCTCTGTTCCACGAGCTTCAGAATCCCCAAGAAGCAGCGTCGGAAACCCTACCCTCCAGAGTAGCCTACTCTAGAGGTGTGTCATCAGATCTCCAAGTGATACGGGAGAGGACGACGATGCTATGTCAATGTTCTCCTAGCCCTCGGAACCCTTTGAATATGCACCTCGCTTCCTGATGGCGTATTACGCGTCATCGAGCACAACCTCGATTTACAAGCAGACAGTCCAAAATCATGAGAACTATTACAAGAAACATGTCAAGAAAGAGTATGATACGATATCGAAAGGATACAGCTGGTGCTCTTCTGCGCAAAGAGAGTTCAGTGAGATCACCGAACACAAACAGGAAGCTTGCTCACGAGACTGCTAACTCTTGACCCATACCTGACCGCCAAGCGCGAGCTCTGATAGTACAATTTATACTACAGCTACAGTTGAGTCGTGCCTCCGTCTTCAAAGAGCCCCGCAGACTGCATGAGGGAAATGAACTGTGGATCCATTCCCAACGACGATCCGGGTTGTCCCATAGGTGCTTCCTGAGTAGCAAGACCGGGAAAGAAGCCAACAAAGTCGTCTTCCATCGAATAGGACGAGGGGCCATCCCCTGCTCCAGCTGGGAGACTAGTGAAGGACGGGACGTCGGCAAGTGGGCTGGGATGTTCAAGATGTTCAACAGGAACAGGCACAGACGGATATTGTGCAGGCAGATCCAAGAAGTCCGGGAAATGCGCTTCGAAAGAGGTTTGCGTCCAGTCCATGGACATGCTCTCGGCGCCAAAATTGAATGCGCCAGTCCCATTAGTCCCGAGATAGTCCACCAGGCTCTGATGAACTGCCATCGACTCGTCAAGTGCCGTAGCGGCGTCCTTCATGTCATCGTGGGATACAGGAGGTGACCCTGTGGAACCGCTCGTGGGCGTGGACGTGTTAGACGATGCAGACTTAACTCGGGAGCATTCCGTCCAGTACTTTGAGAGGAACTTGCTCGGAAGAACCTTGGTTTGCCCGCCGAATAGGGCAAGCTCCTCGCTGCCGTCCGTGGAAGAGGCCGCGAACACGGACAGCACGCCGTCGACACCCGCCCGATCGGCCGTTCGGGACTGAAAGAATGCATGCTGTGCCTTGCTTCGAAGTCTCCGGAGGAAAATCTAATAATATTACGATGAGTAGAAGAAACAGATGTGGATAAACCATGCTCACAAGCCCACGCTGTGCACGGATATTGATGGCCGCTCCTTTCTCGAATAAATCGACGACCAGATTGAGTTCTCCCAGCGCGTTGAGAGCCATGTGCGACTTCGGCATCCGCACAACTACAAGGCCCATGATGACCTACATATAGATACGTCAAAGCTGATAACATAGAGAGGAAGCGAGACATGGTACCGCAGCGGTGAAGGGGTGCTGCCAGAACCCACCCGCGCGGAGGAACATATCCGGAACGCGTTCAAAGTAGTGCAGATCGCGCTTTATCATGAGCGAGGCGGAGTGGTACGCCGCGAGGAAAGACGGCGCGTAGGGGCTGCGAAACGGGTTGCCTGGGTGCTCCAGGAGCGCCTGGTGTCGTCGACGTTAAGCAAGCGATTATATGGCACACGACAAATCTTCACCTGGGCGAAGTACGGTCGATGAATGACAAACATCGCTATACCAAGCAACCCAATGTCAACATATGGTATGTGTCAGAAGCACGTAGGCTACAGAGATGCAGAGAGGGAGACGCACGAAAAAGCCGGTACTGCGCGATGAGCCATGTCCGAATGGAGGCGGAACGATCGTGGTACTCCTCGTGGTCCGGTGTTACAAAGAAATTGAGGCCTTTGGGGAATGCCTTCTGACGAATTTTGCGGTCGAAATCCAACACAGTTTCATACTTCATCGGCTGTGCGGCGGAGAGGGCCTCGATGATTGGACCGAGAATATCCTTGGCGACGGAGTATTTCCAAGCATAAACTAATGAGTGCATAAGGTCAGTTCATCATGAACGGTGCCGGGGAATAGGTCGAGGGAGAAGTAATGGAACTTACAGCTCGGAACGTGCTCTCCACCGTCCGCTAGCGTGGCCTCCTCGTCAAGGGGGAAGGCGCAGTCGACGAAAGAAAGCGAGATCGTTGGCGGACGGCCAAGAGCAAGACTCTGTATAGATACATATGATGAGTAATGAGAAAGTGCTGGCGAAACCGGGATGTACCAGGAGGACATCCGTGGTATATATCTCCCAGAAAATATAGCGGCGCCGCTGGATAGTCCGACCGTCTAAGCCCCATCGTGCGCAGTCGCGATCTAAAGTGATTTATTGTCATGATTTGTCAGTAACCTACTAGAGACGACTTACGCAACCCGATCTGTAGAGGAGTATGAGCGCCACGACTACCTTTGTACCAAAGGCACTCACGCTTAGCGCCATTCTCATAGAGAAAGCCGTGAAACTCCAGCTAGTTTCCGACGTGGGTTTCCGCCCGGAAAGTGAGTGGTAGCTCGAAACGAGGGCGAGCGCTTGCACTGTTTCGATCGCCGGGCTTTCTGTCACACTCTTCACGCTTACTGAGTTCCTCGCTAATAAGAAGTATCGGTGAGCCTCCTCCGCGAAAGGCGGGAGCGTTAGGTCCGTTAGTGCACCCAGTGCGAAGATTAGATATAATACACCGAATTTATGGGCCATTTTGCGGGCTAGCTCCCCTGGTTCATCCGAATGCGAGGAAAGGGAGCGATAAATGGGCGTGAGGATCTCGTCCACGAGGTCCGACCGCTTGATCGGCCGGAAGTGGGCAGAGGAATGCGCATAGTAGGTCTCGATGAGCGACCAGGCCCGTGGTAGCGGCGGGAGGGATGATTCAAGGAGCGTGAGGCCTTCCGCAGGGTTGTCTCGAGTTATGCCGGGTATGGAGGGGAGGAAGGGGATAGCTTCCATCGGCCCGGGCCCATCGAAGAAGGAGTCCAGGGTGGAGTCGAGCTACGAGAATGAGCATAGGAGAGAGATAGTAGAGCAGGACTTACATGGAGAAGGGACTTGCATTGCGGCGATTGTTCAGGTGTCATCTGTACGTGGTATATAGTAGACTTACCTCGGACCCCGCAGATTGCCCAAAATACTTGGCCTCCCCATGCTCCCCAATTGTCAGCGTCCCCATTGCATTGATCATGTTGGTAATTCTCTCATCCTTTTTCTCCTTGCCTTCCGTATCATCGGTATGCTCCTTGTCTTTTCCGTCATCTTCCGGCCAATGCTTGATGCGCAAGAGCTCGCGAGTAAGCAGTGGATGCCGATCTTTGGATACGTCGGCCTGCATGATACCGAGCGCGTCCTCGAGCTGCCGGATGCGCTGTGACATTTGAGTAATCTTGCCGTGTAAGGCTCCAGTATCGGCTAGAATCAGCCTGTGTATGAGATTCTCAGGTGGCGACAAGGTATAGCTAGAGCTAGGTCAACTTACCTGGACCCCTGGCCTCCGGAAAGGACTCCTACACAGCCAATGCATTAGATCGTTTTTTGCGCATACTGTACGTGGCTGATGCAGCGTACCGTGCGGGCAGATGTTGGCACATCCTCTCCGAGTACACGTCCCACACGGAATTTGCTTGTCACACTTCATCTTCAGCCTTCCATTTGCACCCCATCCACATCAGAGTGTACGTTGCATTTGACGCTTAGTTCACCCACCGCCGGCACTCAGCGCACGATATCTCCCCTCTCGACCGTTTCGCCTCATTGTTCCTTCTCCGTCTCGGCTTTGGCGCAATAGGCTTGGAGGGTGTCGGTGATTTTGATTGGTTTGTGTCAGAGTTTGGCGTCTGCTGAGAAGTTCCTGGATCCATCGGATTTGCAGGAAATCTAGGACGTAGAGTTGCCACGATTAGTCGGCCTGTCTTACTGGTCGGTGTGGACCCAGAACACCCCTCCAAAGTCGAGGCAAGCTGAGGTTCGCCGTTCGTCCGTATGTAAGTACTGCCTTCATTACGACGGGTCAGTGTGCTGCGGAGTTGAAGCCGAAATCTTTGCTACCTCCAATGGTCTCGGAGAGAATGTGTTATTAAATTATTTTTGATATCCGTCGCAGGACTTAGTATATTGCGGGTATTGCTGACACAATAAACATACATACATGTATTTTTGCTTACAGTGCTTCCTGATGGTGTGCTTTACACAGAAGTCGGCAATTTGCGAAATGTTGATTGTCCCAGCGAAGCAAACCTATGTAAATGTACATAGTTGGACCATATCGGAGAGGGGAATCCAAGACCCCGAGGCACCAAAATCAGACCATCTGGACTTATTTTAATCCCTGGGACGTCCCTGGCACCATGTCCGACAACTCCGACTTCTGTATACGTGACTTTCTGAAGCGATGCTGTGACTGCTCAACTTGGAAACTCTCCGACCTCACAAGAACAAGAAAAGGATAGCTGTAGCTCGTGCGACGTCAGTCTACATCAAGCTTTAGAAGAAGCTTCCCAGTCATTGCTCAGCTTGGAACTGTAACACTGTCGCGCCCTACGAGTCCAAAGAGACCAACTAACGTCCCCGAACAAGCAGCAATCCCCTGTGTTTACCGGACATTTTGGCATTGTTTGGCAGGAAATTATTGGCCTCTGCGAGCCAGATACGATTCAGATTTAACGCTATACCTTCGTCGTGCGATCGTGTTTGCCCCAGGTTTCGATAGGACTACGTCCTGGACAATTCGTGCCGACTCTACACGACGGATTCTACTCGAGTGCATCGAGCCTTCTAAATCCATTGGTAGAGCCTCACGCAGGAGTTGTCTCGGACGCTGTCATCTGTCGGCGTCTAACTGCTGTAAACAACAAGCTCGGACGTACTGCCTGGTCTGTTCTTGTTCCATTCCCGGTGAGATCTCCCATGGACAGCAAGGCATGGTAGCTGTAGAGCGGGCAACCTCAAACATCTCTCCTCGCCGTCATTAGCATAGCTCAGCGCTTCGTGCTCGCTTGTTGCACCCTCACGATCGTGCCAATCGGCTGGCCCACGATGCCGCACATGCTCAACGACGAGTTCGACGACCTACCCCCGCTCGTGGATGCGTCTAATCCGCATGCCTTCCCCGGGGCACATCCTCCGCAGCCGTCGCCTTTGAATCACGGTGGGCACATACCCCCGACACCGAACAGCGCGTTTGCGCAGTTTCCGACGCAGTTCCCCGAAGCGCCGACGTATGAGCCAGACACGGCTGGCTGGAATCAAGGTCAATCCGGCTCACCGTGGCCTGGGTCGAATCCCCTAGCAGGTCCCCAAGGCTGGCCCGGCACGGGTACTCCACAAGGCTGGGATGCTGCCGCCTCGCAAGGATGGGTGGGGTTGGGCTCACCACAACAGCCGCAACAACTGCTCAGTGCGTCCCTTTTCTCTGTCCTTACCTTGATCATTCGAACTCACGATACCCAGGTCCCAGCGTGTCGTGGCCCGCGTACTGGCAACCCCGTTCACCCCAGCAGGTCCCCCCACCGCACGGTCCCTTCAGCCCATACGCACCCCCAGGCCAAGCTCCGTACTCCTATGGCATGTCCCCTCTCGTGCTTTCCCCCCTGCCTCCCGCCGGTGCGTTCCTCTCTCCGCCCCTCACACCTCCCTCTTCGCGCCCCTCGACATCCCTCTCCCTCATGCCCGCACACACGGGGCGAATGAGCCCTGGCGCGCCCGCATGGGCCCTGGAGCGGTCCGCGTCGGACGACGTGTCCATCGCGCGCTCGCGCTCGCACTCGAGGAGGAAAGTGAAGAGCGGGGACCTGATTACGGGCCGCCCGCCGGCGTCGTGGCGCGCCGATTTCCGGATAACAAAGACGGGCGGGCTGGGCTCGCTGTTCCGGCGGAAGAGCATATCCGGCGGGCAAGGTACGCCTCCGCCGCCCCCGTTCTCCTGATCCTACTGAGATACTCGCACAACAGACCTGGGCGACATCACAGGGATCGCGCTGCACCCGTCCATCCAGTTCTACCCGCGCGACCCGCCGCTGACGTGGGACGTGCGCCTGCCGCCGAGCGCGTCGCTGCAGCTGCACTACCTGAACCGGCGGCTGAGCACGTTCGATTTGGCGCAGTACGCGACGAACCCGCCCGTGCCGCTCATGCACCTCGTGCACGCGCACACGCCGTGGATCATAACCGTCACGCCCGCGCAGCCCGCGTGTCCCGCGGTGACGCTGCACGATCTGTTTGTGGGACTGTTCGAGGACATGCATCGGCCGATTTCGAAGGCTGATTGGTGGAACGACGTGCTGGGGGATGAGGCGAGGGGGAGGATTAATAAGGCGTTTGATGAGCGCTGTATGGGGGATGGGGAGGAGCGCTCGAAGGGAGTGAGAAGGGTGGACTTCTTGGGCGAGAGGTATGTTCTTGAGGGACTTGTACCCGGTAAGAGGGGTGTGTGGGAGCTAAAGACGAGGAGTTTGGACGAGCGGTAGTTGCGCAGAATGGGCGTTTGGAAGTTCAGGTTCTTTGTGTTTTGTTCTGCATCGGGTGTTGTATCGTTACTGATTGCTTTGTTGTATTGCTGTCACGCTGAGCTGTAGCTATAAGTTTATATCGGGTTAATTGTGATGCCGATGTTAGCGTCCTGTTTGCCTTCGGTCGGTTGTGAGGCGCGGATCGGATCTTGACTTGTACTGACTGTGCACCGTATTTCTGCCGTTGCAAAGGATCATTGCGGTTCAGTCCATATGTCCGCGAAATTTGGTACGTGTGGCATCAACTTCGAGGCATCCGTATTGGCACTGATTGTAGCATTGGACATTAGTTCAATGGGGCATCAGCCTAGCTGAGACGCCAATATCGCTGCCGATACCTGCAACAGGACTTTACATATGAGGGCGTGAAGTACTGAAAATCGAATGTACATATCGCCATACTGAGGTCGTCTCTGAATAGGTGATCATCAATGTCGATATCGGTGCGAGGAATTGTCCATCATCAGCAGCCTTCGCACATCTCCGGTAATGGTTGTATCTCGAGCCGCAAACGCGTCGCAAGAAGCAGGCATATCGTCCAAAGTACGTGTGCGCTTCTTTTCTCAGATCGCGCGGTGGTTTATGCTGTTCTTGTCTTCAGTGAACATTTATTCACGTTGCAGGGAAGCTCGTTATGTAGTAGGCCGCAACTAGGTCTCCGTCGCACACGGCGGCGGCCTAAATGACGAGAACTGGATCCGCAGAGAACGGACACCAGCCTGACGAGGTGCGTCAGAGTGAACCCTCATGCGGACTGATTTTCTCGGGTGTGAGCTCATTGTAGAGGGTAACGATTCTTTTCTAGCTTCAGCAAAATGATCCATTGCACAACCTGACCTTCCTCCATAACTCGAATATCTCTACACCCGACGGCAAAAATTGTTTCCGTTTAAGCAAGTTCTACCTCGAGCTCAGAGATAGCCTCTTCCGTTTACCTGCCCTAATGAATACGCTGGCATAACTAGCCTGTCGCATGCTCGAGATAAAGAGCGGCAGTGGTCTTGGGACCGCGCACTGTTGGCTGCGTAACAAAAGCGTCCTGGTCAAGATCGATGGCGATTCGTTGATGTTAAACAGCATCTGCCACTCGGCCTATTGTCCGAATCCGCCGCCTTGACCACGCCCGTGAGTAAAGATCTTCACAGGGCGAGCTGCTTCGGCCGAGTGGGACCTTCCATTGACTGATTTATATCCAGATTCAGCGCAGTATCACGAACCTTGTAAGGCTGTAATCAAAGAGCCAGGCCTTGTGTGATTTCGACGCGATTGTCCTATTGTCCTTTCTTGTGAGTTTGCTCACATCTTACTGTGGGAATGTAAAGTGGCAGCCTGACCGATGTATTGTTTTGTACCGGTACGTATACTCGAGCACGGACGTACTGGGAATATTTGTCTGGTCAAACGGCACCGCTGTCGTGCTGGGGGACGAACGTACACGCGATCTTCAGACCAAGCCGCCCACTGCTTCACGACGTGTCGTTTAGAGAGCGTCCAACTCTTTTCTCTGACTCAGCCTTCGAGTTCCGGAGATATATAGACCAAAGCAACTTGCCAGAAGTTCTCAGGAAGCGCACTTCGTGACGTCCTGTGCTTCATCCATATAAACCGGTGTCAGCTGCCTTGGGAGGCGTTGATGTGACGAGCGGCTCTGATCTTGGCTGTACATGCACAGCATCACCAGCGCCTATCGCTGCCTTATGAGCAGAAGGGATGAGGCGTGAATTCTGTTCTCCCTTCACTCTGCACGTCATGTCCTTAGATGTTGCAGCCTGCAGCAAGTCAGAGCCAGACAAAGCGCATTCATGTTTACCCACCTTCGAACTCAATGCCTTGCCTCGCAGTCTGACTCCATCTTTTGGTCTTTCGAAGTCTTTTCTAGCTGCCATACAGCGTGCTATCATTGAAAAGCAATGGAGCGGGTTGCATTCTCATATGGACAATGACATCAGGTATCGTGTGGTTCTGCGTGATAATAATCCTTGCAGTCATTGACAGAGTGGCATAGTGGATCATACGCTCAAGAGAAGTCCATAGAGGAGCGGACGCTAGTTGAGACGTTCGAAAGGTGCCGCGAAGACGATATCGTCAGGCAATGGGGACGGCAACGCGTAGAGGAATCCTTGGATTACCTGCTCAACGTTCGTGCCTTATCTGTTCTCGATTCAGACTGAGCAACTGTATTAGTTTCTAGAGGACAGGACCCGAGAGACAACGGCCTCGGACAGGAATCTACGGAGGAGGGCTCTTCGTAGCTTGCTCCGGTTTACTCGAGAGATGTCTCTCTTTCCGCCTTCCCTCTTTATCTCTGGAGTGAGGATGGGAACATTCGCCTCCTTCGGTGGTGGATTTGCAGATGTCCATCAGGGGGAGTGGAAGGGGTTGGCCGTCGCCGTGAAGCGCTTACGCGTGTTCGATGACGACCCCGAAGAGAAACGCGAACGTATCAGAAAGGTGGGTTTAGTTTAGTGCTGCACTCTTCAACTAATCGAAGGACGTACTCAGGCTTTATTCCGGGAAGCTCTGATATGGCGCACGTTGAAGCATCGGAATATCCTCCCTCTGCTCGGAGTTGACATGACGACAGGATCAGCTCCATTCTTGATGATTTCTCCATGGATGGCAAATGGGAACATCGTCCAATACGTTACTGCGAGCTTTGACCCGACGATGTCGGCCGATGCTATGGTATGAAGCGGCTGACACGCGTCTTTACACGCTCATGACCGTGACATTCAGTTACGGGAAGTCGCAGCTGGACTTGAATATCTCCACTCCCAAGGGCTCGTACACGGCGATATCCGTGGGGTTTGTATAGTTTCTGATAGAGTTTCACTAGAGGCTGACGGGGACGTAGACAAATGTCCTCGTCGACCAGGATCTCCGTCCACGTATCTCAGATTTTGGTCTTGCTCACTTATGCGACATGACGCAAACTAGCAATGGGGGCGGGTCAGTCCGATGGATGGCGCCTGAATTACATGATCCGAGAGCCTTCGGATTGGAACATTCGGTTAGATCTCGTCAGTCAGATGTGTTCGCGTTCGGAATGCTTTGCATTGAGGTTCGATAATCCGCTTTTCTAGATTCTCCCGAAGGAACCGCACGCTGAGCTGACTATGACTTATTTAAGGTTGCCACTGGCCAGCCTCCTTTTTCTGATTTAAGGACAGATGGAGCAGCCTTTCTGGCGATTATACGAGGGGAGCGCCCGAATCGGCCAGAGGGAGAAAGATCCATGTCAGAGATGTTATGGGGATGGGCATCCAGCTGCTGGACTCACCAGCCCAGTGCTCGACCCTCGATCAACGAATTAATGGAAGACACTTGTTGTGCCGGGTAAGTGAAACACCAGTCAACGTAATGCCATATATCCAATTTGGATCCAGAACCAGCACGTCACTTGCCACTTCGCCGAGAGGAAAACCGGCCAGGCGGCACGTACAGCCGTCAAATGTGTCTACATCCTCTAGACATCCTTTGATCCGCCCAGCATCGTCGCACAGAATACCTGAAACTGTCTCAGGACGAGTACAAGAAAGAATCAAACGCTTTGGATTATTGACCGTCTCAGGAGAGGTAGGGAGCCTTCACGGCCTGGTCCAGGGCCCATCCCGGAAGCAAACCTTTCAAGATGGAACACAGGCTGATGGACCGCCTGCCCAACCTGACGATGTGTTTGCCAAGCATGCATATGCAAATCTAGAGTGGGATATGGATTTAGATGGAACATCCGATCAGCTCCAGTCGTATAATAGCCACCCCGCTGACAGCGATCAGTTGGGTTACCGCATAGTTCGCGTTCCGTCGAAGAGATCCTGAGCCACGAACTTTCCTGCGGCACGGCCTGACATTACACGGGCTCACTTCCCAGCGACTCATACCACAGGCAAAACGGACAGGCGTCCGATTTCTCCCTACGGGTAGAGATGTATAATGCTCACACTCTGCTCTTTCGCGCACATAAAAACTATGTCGAGGATGACACCACCTCCAAATATCATGTATCAGTATGCTTCTGATCAACGGACAATCTATGTCTCAATACCGATGTTGAGTCTCCAAGATCATCATCGCTCAGGACCAATCCAAGACATTACTTTCGCCAAATGCTAAGTCGCGCTCGCGTCGAATTTCGCGGCCATCGCACATGTAGGGGCCTGGACCCCTTTCGCAAAGGCATACCTGAAAATATCGGACTCTTTGAGATCATCCCAGGAGTGTACGAGTTCCGTGTTCCTGAGCGACGCAAGCACTTCTCTACCTCCCCGCTCGCGGCACTCGGTGTTATATTCAGACACCGCATCCGCGAGTGACTTGATACCGCAGGCGTATTCTTTCAGTCTTGCCACCACAGTCCACGCGTCGTTAACAGCGTGGTTCAACCCTTGGCCCCGATCTACACCGCATCAGACACGGATAAACTGTAAGGATATAGCTCTAAGGGAAATCCTGTACGAACTTACGATAGGTCATGGAGTGGGCGGCGTCTCCAGCCAGAGTCATACGCCCGCCGGCGTTATCCCAAGGAATCGGGACCCAATACGCGGGCTTGACATGCCATACTACAGTATCATCAGGAAGATGCAACCAAGCACTGCGGAACGGCTCAGAGCACTGGCTGGCGATGTCATTGACTATCTGGCGGCAAGTAGTCGCGTCGTAGTTGGTAATACGCCCGGAGGGCACTTTCCGGCTGACCTGGGAGATGAATCGCCAAGTCGTGGGGTCGGCAGGATCCGGTACGTCTTGTGCTGTACGAAAGGAACATCATTAACTATCAACAATCGTATTATCCAGGGAAATTGGCAGTCGCTCACTGGACAACATCCGTCGGGATGAACACCCGAGACGTACATCGGATGGAATTGGCGGAACTTCACGGCGTCTTCTGCAGGATAACTCGCATTCACCATGAAGCCTTCGTACGGTATCGATGTGGGCATTGCTTTCTCTGGGCCCACGAGTATCCTCCGGACAATTGATCTGACACCGTCTGCGCCTATCAAGGTGCAACCTATAACTTCCGTGTTATCATCGAAATACGCAGTGACGGCATTGCCATCGTTTGAGAGTCTGGCGTCGACAAGGTACTTATTATACTGGCAGAATAAAACTATGTGAGAAAGCCATAGCTGTGACGATAGCAATGATGCGCTAAGAACGAACCCGGACGTCGATACCTTGAGCACAGAGCATCCGCAACTTATCTCGAGATACTCGATAATTAAGGCCCAACGGAAGTGAAGTGATTTTTTCCCCGGTCTGCGCATGCATCATGGGCAGCTCGTCTTCCTCAGGCGTGTCGTTAAACGGATCCGTTTGGGTCGATTTGAACTTCGACAAGAGATCACCAGTCAGAAGTTCTGCGAAGAGAGGATATCCCCAATGGAGCGACATGCTCCATTCCCGTGCATAGGAACGACCTCCGGGAGGTTCCTGCTCAACGATGACGAATGGGACAAAGGCCTGGAAAACTGCATAGTTGAGTAATTTCTGGTTGTAATGGATATGCATGGGCACCAAGAGCCAGCGTACCTTGCGAAGTCCCTGGGCTATGAGGAGACCGGTCACACCTGGCACGTCACGATTGAAAAGCAAGGCGACAGGTCATCGTCTGAGCACGAACCTGCTCCGACGATGATGACTGGGAGACGTTCATGGGGAATCATTCTTTGGAAGAAGGATCGCAAGCGAGGGATAGACGGTAGAGGCCAAGGTGGGCAACAACAGACACTGCCGTAGGAACGCTGTCCCTTATGTAGCCTCCGGGGTGCCCATATGAGAATCCGCATTACCTCGAAACGCGGTGTTGGAACACTAAGAAGAGCCTGAGTAAACCCAGTTCGTTGCGAGTCGGGCCAGAACCCGGTCCTGTTTACTTGCTGGAAACTCCGAAATCTTGAGTTCGTAGGGAGACAGCGAGCTTCCATCTAAACATCTGGATTTCGTGATGCAGGGCAGAGTCGCATCGCCGGATGTCGTACCTTAACCCTCACATGATTGGCATCAGTAGAATTCATAGCATGACTAGAGCAGATATGATTGCAAAAAAGAGGAGATACCAGACTCTCCCTAACCTGCAGCTGTCATTGACACCTCAGAGGCTCATATGGCTCTTCTGTCTATAGTTGATGGGACACTTAAAGAGCTCAAATAGAGATAAGCAATATGAAGCAACTGCAACATACTGAGACTCAGATAACTATAAATTATCATAATGCAGAATTCCATGGCATACCCAAGAATTGAATACAAATCTAAACAGTTCCCTGCATGGCCTACTAACACCCTCCTGCCATATCCTCCTCTCCTACATGGCCTAAAACCCTTCTCCCCTGTGTGGGCTAAAACTCTTCTCCCCTGCATGAGCTGACCTCCCCTGTGTGGGCTGACTCTCCCCTGCATAGCCTGAACTTCTTCTTCATGGCTCATGACACATGAGTCTATCATAGCACCATATATAAGGAATAACAAGTATTGCTGGAATTAATCACCACAACACCACTGTGACAGAAATATCTGGACAGACTGCTCAATCCCTTTGGAAAAAATCATCAACTTGATCTCAGGTAAATAAGCTCCCCCTGAAGTATGTAGGGAAGCTGCCTACATGCCACATTTGTGTATCTGTCCCTCAGGACCTATTTCACTTTGTGCTTGCATCTCCAGAGCATCATTACTGAAGCACATTACGGCAATATAATACTGTACATGGTAGAATAAGAAAAATGTAGCACATCAGCAAAAGTGGAATATCATGAGATTGTGAGTCATAACACCAGCACCCAAGACTATGGGGCTCTGTCTTTTCAGACATGGCTGCGTCCTGTCCTTAATTCCTCGGCATAGACAACATCGGGGTCCCTCCCGCGCACTTCCGGGAGCAACAGTGTAGCAACTGAGAAAGAAGGCATCAGCTGAGTTGATAATGGCAAAGGCTTCGGAAGCACTAACAGGCTCCTGCAATGCAGCAGCCAAAGAATACTGCATGGAGGACGGGACACAATCAGTCTGGGTCACAACGGGACAGGTAGGGAAGGGACTTACTCCAGAGAACAGCCGGGGTACCAATGTCTTCTGCAAGAGAGTTGAAGGCGAGCGCTGAGATAATGGCACCCGCCTTCCCCGACGCGGCGGAGATGCCATGCGCCGAGGCGCGGAAACGGGTAGGGAAGACCTCAGCGGGATAGCACTGAAGATGAAACGTGAAGGTGAAAACACTAGCACTGGACATTCAGACTTACATATGTTGTTCTGGCAAACAAGGCAGGTATCAATGATATCAGTATTGCGGACAGGCATAGACACTTGGGGATACGTACGTGTTTGCTCCGAAGTTGAAGAAGAACTGTGCATCGTCAGTACACGCCATACATTGATTAAAGGAGAGGGCATGCACCTGTAGGAATGCGAAACATACGATAAAAGCCGCGGTACTCAACGTGTGGAACATCCCCGCCATGATGCCAACTAGTCCATGCTCTAGTCAGTATACGTGACCGGGAAGGGAAACGTCGGTGCGCACGGAATAGGGCTGCGAGGAGGAAACCTTGGATCTGTATCCACTTCCGTCCGAGTATCTCGATGGTGAAGACAGTCGCATAGTATCCTGCGCCGATCTCAGCAGGTCAAAATAGTACTCAACAATAAAGCGTCGGCCAGACACGTACCGGGTACAAAGCCTAACGCGGTTATGATGAGGTTACCAATGCCGATCTTAAAGAGACGTTCCCAGTCTGATCCGGAGCTGCCGTCGAAACCAATTTGCTGGAGCACAACATTCTGGTTGAGGTTGATGCCGTAGAACCTGCGAGAGCGCAGATCAGTGCATGCAAGCGGCGTAGGGGACAAGGACGGGACGTACGCGATATCGAGCAGGAACCAGCATAGCGAAGTCCCGACTAAGATGCGGGTGTGCCTCCACTGACCGAAGTACCGAAAGAACTCTCGAAAAAGATGAGTGAGCATCTATGAGCAGACTAAGCAAGAGCGCAACGGCGCACCTAGCCAATGGTCCTTCTTCTCCGCCGCGAGACTCCTTTCTCTCTCCCGCGCATCGTGCCCGTTCTCCAGATCCTCCCCGGACGACGCGGATCGGGTGGTGTGAATGACACCGACGGCGGCGCCCTTCACTCCCTGCTTGTCGTTCAGGCGGTCGTCGCCGGTCTCCTCGAGCTCTTTGAACTTCTCTTCGTCGACTGTGTCACTTTTCGCGGCTTCGAAACGCTTGGCTTCGGGGAGGGTCAGTCGCTGGTAGAGGGTGCCGAACGCCGGGATCAACGAAAGACCGATGATAATACGCCAGACTGCATTCCGCGCGCAGCGAGAATAATGAACGAAACATGATCAGAAACAAGTCATCGCGAGCGACAAATGGAGAGCTCACCTCCGTCGACTTTTGAGACTTCTCCTTTTGTATCCATGACATCCTTGTAACACGCAAGAACTATGATCGTGGCCAGACTGCCAACAAGACTTCCCCATCCCTAACGCAGTTACTCAGCGGCCGTTGTGACTTCATAGGAGAAGTAACATACCTGAGCAGAGAAGATGTAAGCTAGCATCGTTCCACGCTTTCGCAGACGCGCTCGGTCAGTTGAGACAGAGGCGGACATGGGGTAATCGCCCCCCACGCCGATTCCGAGCACGATCCGCCACACACCGAGCCAGATGAGGGCGCCAGACGGGGAGAGGTCATCAGTCGGGTCAGATATACAGAATATAGTCGCGAAAATAATGACCATCAGCTCTTTCCCGTCTGAGGATGGATGGCCGGTCAGCGGAGATGAATTAGTGTGATGCAAAGTGCACGTACAAACTGCTTTTCTTCCATAATAATCGGCGGCGAACCCGAACGTGAACTGCCCGATCACGCTGCCAATATTTGCGCCGGCCTTGACGAAGCCTTGCAATCCTGCGGGAAGAGCATGGCCGCCGTACAGGCGGAATTGAAGCATGGTTGCAACGGGCTAATGGAGAAGGTTAGGCTCGCGGCGGTACAGCTGTGAAGAGGAACCGTACGTTGATAATGAACAGATCGTAGGCTGCGATGCGAGTGGTCAGTATAGGCTAGAACTACACGCCAGGTGGTTTCTTACCGTCTAGAAAGAACCCAACCTTCACGAGGGAAACGATTCATGTTAACGACGTGTAGATCCGCGCACGGCAGGAATACGTACACCCGCAATACCGAGAAGCTTGAGCTCAGTACGAGTCAAGATCCATGGTGGACGGCCCTCTCCAGACCGTTCGTACGCTGACAATCCTGACCTCCGACTGTGCTGATTTGTCGCTGGTGGCAGCGTCGAGTCGGACGCCGTATGGGCAGGTTCCTGCGGGGCAGACATCGCTTGAAGTTCCGTACACCGAGAGACGTAGCTCGAAGTTCTGAAGCTATCTTTTGCGAAGCTTCCATCCGGAAGGACGACATTATTATATCAGTATGTTCAACGCACGTTCGTCGAGTACTGCGCGCCACATGAGCGTCTGGATAACTGTGCTCCACCCAGATGACCTAAAATCAGCTCGGTACGGGTATCTGGCTTCTCAGAGCCGCCACCGGGATCCATCTGGGCCTTGGATAACTGCCATACTTGTTGTATTTGAAGGGTATAGAACAGTGTTCGTGTCATATAAGATACCGCGGCGAAGTCGATACTACATTGTAGCCCCACTGACGCAGCGATACTAGACAGACTTGGATCGTCAAACGGACGAATCTGGGCTACTGTCACAGCGACGTCGAGCACGCGAGGGGCACAGCCACGAGTCCACGACAGAACGTCACCTACGCCGATGTGGCTTGTGGCTGTCAGTGAGATATGTTTCATTTCAGTACACGAGAGGCTACATAGAATAAAGGCTGCTTCTATTCTATCATACATGGAAACGGGATAAACAAGAACATTCCAAACGGCACGACTCCACAGCAATCAATCACAGAGCAATCAGTACAGAGCGGGGGGATATCATATAATAGAGCGAGATCAAGGACCAGCTGTCGGGTACTGGTAGAGTAGTCATAGGAGATACAGAAGTAGGGTGTGCAAAGCGATACAAGATATCGTCCATCGAAGTCGCGAACATTCGTGAGCGAGGGAAGAAAAAAGAGCGTCCGCCAGCGCACAGTCCGGAAAGCTGGGATGCGGAATGAGACAAAATGAGCTGCTTGGTGAGGCAGAGAGGTGATGGAGGTCCTAGTGGCCAGCGGCCCTGGTCAACTGCGTAAGTCCGGCAAAGAGAACATGAGAGCCGAGGAAATCGACTCTCTTTATCCCCGCCTGACGTGCGCCCTCGTCGCCGCCGGTCCGAGCGTTAAACGAAGCAGCAGCGACCTCGGGAGCACCCTTCGCGTGCTTCTCCCACCCAGACCGGCCGACGAAGGCGTGCAGCGCATGTTCGATTTTTGTAGTACGTCGAGAACTGTCACACAACGAAGGGGTTCGCGACTTTTGTTCGGGCTATCCGAAGGCGTGGTTAAGCCCGCTTCTGAGTGACAATGACATGTCAGAGGCACAATACAGCAAACAGAATAGCCTTAACTTACGAGACAAAGTAGGCGGTAAGGGTGCCAGACCAAGGTAAGGAGCACCGGGTGCAGAACCACGTGAGATGGCGGTAGTGCTGGTAGCAGGTGATGAAGACGAGTCAAAGGACCAACAGACGGGGTAGGCGACGGCTGCTGCGAAGAGGTGTGGCTTTTGGCGGAGGCGTGATACCGCAGCCTAGCGCGGGGGTTCGGGTTGAGTCGGACAGCGCGATCTCTTCGAGCTTGTTGAACACGGAACTCTCGGTGCCGCCATACCAGAACTTCCGACCAAACAGAGCTTGCCGATGAGTATTCTTCCCTTTGGTCTGGGCAGAGATACGCTCCGCGAGGGCTTGTGCCTGCTCCGGCAGCATTCCCTCATTCGTCTGCATAAGAAGCAGCACCGCGTGCCGCATGCCAGCCCCGTAGATCCGCGAGTAATCGAACACTTTCGCCTGATCGCGCGAGATCCCCAAGACGCTCGCGGTCTTGGAATGCAGATCGCCAGTGCCCATAGTGACCATCTGCGGCAAGATCATGCCCCATTTTTTCGGTCCCTCATCTTCCCAAGCGGCTGCCGACATTCACATTTTCGCCGACCTTGTGCGGGAGCTTTTCAAAGACAAACCCGCCGCCCTCGCTAATCCCTTTGAGATGCTCGTCGTTGGGCTGGTAAAAGTTGAGCTCGGAGGCGCGGGGGACGCGGAACGTCCAGCCGGGCTCCCGCGAGTTGAAGAGCGGGCAGCCAAGCCACGAAAGGCGGAGCAAGCGCAACGCGATGCGGGTGCGCACCGAGAGGTCGATCGTGCCCGGGCGCAAGTCTCTCTTTGGCTTGGTCAAGCCCCAGTACAACGCAGGCCAGTAGACTGGGGTAGGCTTTGCAGCCGGGACCTTCTTGACCTTCTTGGAGGGGCTTCGGTTGACCAGAAGAGTCTCCCTGCCTGAAGTCTACGGCCTTCCACTCGAGCTGGGATAACCACGGGTCCTCGGACGCGGTAGATGCTTACGTCCCGCGAGATCGCCTCAGAACCTGCGCCTTCACTTTCCCCGTCCTCTCACACAACGAGATCGCCAGGGCCAGCCGATCATCCGCAGAGTCCAGTTTTCGGGGCACGCCAAACGCGCGCGCGCCGTGATCCCTGTTGAGCGATGTCAGGACCTTTTTCGAAAACCCCGTGGTCAGGCGGGCCTGATCGCCGTCGGCCACATGGTGCCATCCGATAGTTTTGTCTCGGCGCAGTGGGTGGCCGTCGGAGGGTACTTTCAGGAGGAGGGGGAGGGTGCTGTTGATGACGGACGAGGACAGGGACCCTCCTTCAGGATCCGGCGGTACCAAGCGGGCACTTTCGTAGAAACGTCCTGCCCAGGAGCACGCGGCTGCGCACTATCCTCACCGCCCACATTCGGCACGGAGTCCGAAATCTACGAATCGTCAGCGAGATGCAGGAGACTTGTTGAACACGGACGCTCACCTCCGGCGGAAAACGCCTCTCGACTTGCCCGCAACATTTGGCGTCCAGTCCAGCTGGCTCAGCCAGACGTCGTCTTTCCAGCGCTCGCCGTCCGCGAGCGTCTTGGTCTCCTACGCGAGCTGCACGAGCCGGCTCTTGACCTGGTGATCCTCGAGCTCCTTGTACTTGCGCTCGGCGCTTTCAGGGTACTCTTTCCAGGACTCGTTGACCGTGAGGAAGCTCGAGCGTATAGGAGAATACCTGCAAAGAAAACTGGGTGTAGACAGCGCGCCAGGGACTCGGTGAGCACCTTTGAGAAGACCGCGTGCGTGACAGCGACGTCGTTGGCGCAATACGCAATACGCCAGGTGGTCGTGGACGTACTCCAAACTCTCCCACGTCGTGGGCGTCATAAAGTCGTTGCGGACCTCCTTGTCCATCTCGATCCCGCAATGGAGATGCGCGACGTCCGCGAACGCGTTCGCCGAGGTGAGGACCTCCCAGCGCTTACCAGAGGTCCCGAGCTCCGCATCCCCTCGCCCTCGTCGCCCATCAGCAAATGCGAGAGGCCGCCGTTACCGTCTTTCACGAGATCTCGTCGCGCAGGCGGCGCGCCTCCGCATGGGACTTGCGGTACTTCATCCACGCGGGGCACTGGTGGCTCGAGCTGCCCGTCACGGCGGGAGGGACGGGAGAACGGAGCCCTGGGCGGGGTCGAGGGCGAGGTGTTCGCGCGCGATGCGGACGTAGGCAGGGTCCGGGGTGGGGAAAGATGCCTTTTTTGAAGATCTGGCAGTGCAGCTCGCGCGAAAGCATCTGCACGCCGAGCTCGCTGCGGGGGACTGCGACATCGGGCGTCATTAGCGTCGGTAGACAGATAGAGATAAATGGGCTGCGCACCGTGCTGGACCGGCGTGCTCGCTTTGTGATTTTTTATCGACAACCTTTTGCTCCCGCCTAGTCTCCTCTCTTGGTTTTGAGCGGGCCCGGGCATATCTCGGTGAAGCTGCATTGCTCGGAGCCTGTTTTTGCTGCAAGGAAAGTCGGGGGCGCAGGAGCGGAAGGGCCGAGACGAAGATCAATAGTTTGCGTTGACTCCGTTCAACACTCCAAGGTTAGCATTCGAGCCGACTCGCGGAATACACGGCAGCGCGAGTCGAGTTTGGTTTTCGAGTCCAAGGCGACGCAGAGCGTGAGAATATCTCGAGGCTGCTCTCCTCGTCCAAGTCCACCTCCCAAGTCCCCGCTCGCCATGCAACGATTCAGCGGCGGCATATCCGCCTCGGAACGGCAGCAGCAGGCTCAGCGCTCCTTCGCCGAAGTCTCCTCTGAAATCTCCCAAATACAAATATCCAACCTCCTGTCCCAGCTCGCCCACTTCCGCAGGCCCTCGCCCACTTCGCCTCCACCCACCGCGACAAGATCGCCAAGGACCCCTCCTTCCGGCACGCCTTCCAACAAATGTGCACGTCTATTGGCGTCAACCCGCTTGCGGGCCCGCGCAGGGGCGGCTGGTGGGCCGAGCTCACCGGCATCGACGACTGGCAGCACGAGCTCGGCGTGCAGATCGTCGACTGCGTCAGCACGCGCGAGCGCAACGGCGGCCTCATCGACCTCGCCGAACTCATCCGCCTGGTGAGCAGGCTGTGCGGGCCCGGCGGGAAGGTCACATAGGAGGACGTCGCGAGGAGCATAAGACTCTCGAGCCGCTCGGCGCGGGCTACCAGGTCGTCCGACGTCGACGTCGGCGGGGGAAGGAAGATGGTAAGGAGCGTCGTCAAGGAGCTGGACGACGACAAGATAGTTGTGATCGCCGTTGCAGAGGACCGGTCGAGGTGGACGGGCTTGTGGAGAAGAGGGGACGGGCGGTCGAGCGGGCCAGGGCGGCATTGGAGCATATGCTGCTCCGAGAAGGTTTGTGCTGGCTGGATGAACAGGACGAGAGCTGCCCGCAAGCATACTGGGTCCCTTCAGCGATGCAATGGGACGAGTGAGGTGAGTCGCGCTCGTGTCTGCATTGGTTTATCCTCATACCATTGCAGCTTCAGGATCACCACAAATATACGCCATGGGACCCCGCCTAGCTGTTAATTTATCGGCTATAGGTGGGCTTCGCCTTTCATTCCCTCGCAGTTCGCCTTGAAGCTGCCTGCCGCTCAGTCCTAGCCGTGTACTCACTCCCATGAGCTTCGCTGCCAACCCCCGACGAACGGTCCCCTGCCCCGCACTGCCCGCATCAGTCCTTTCCACCTTGCACGACCAGACTCCCGCACCGACCTTCCTCGAGGCCTCTCCCTCGACTTCGGCACCTTGTACTCTATGAAGACACGAGCCCGTTATCCCATGCGCCATCGCTCGCATTCCGCTCTGCGACTACATATATTGACCGTGCGCCCTGCCGCGCGACCATCAACCCCGACATCTCGACGCTGCGGTCCCATCGCCGCCCCGTGCTGGTGCACGAGCTTCTCCAGCCTATCTATTGGTCTGCGCGTCTCCGCCGAGACCAAGACCGTTCAGGTAATCATGCCGATGAATAAATGGAATACTGGTGTTGACGTAAACGTGTTTTCCTGGAGTCTCGATTCTGGTCACTTTATTTGGTGTCCCAGAGTTGGTACACCGAGTCCGCGTGCGTGTCGGATGGGGTGTACGATATGATACCGTGTTGTGCGCTACTATTCAAGGGAGAGAAGCCCAGCGTATATGGGAACAAGTGTAATTTGATCTTTTCCTACGCATGATTGTCGCCTCTCTGCCTCTGCGTTCCATCTGACTGACTCCGCCGTATATCTAGCCCAGCATGATTTGCCAGTCCCGCGCTCTCGCGCCCTCATTCGCCGACCTTTAGCGTCTTGTACGCTGGTGATCTCGATGTGACGCTCCTCTACGAGCCATGGGCGTCATTGCGCCCTTCGTCGCACTTGTCGGTTCAAGAACGTGTTGTCGACGGCGTCTTGCGAGTTCATCTTCAACGACAGATCTGATTATCGCGCACGGCAGTGTCCGCCTCATTTCGAGGCTTCCGCCGTTTTGGATCTAGCGCTCGCAGGCAACTTCAATTGTATGACTCTGATATCGTTCGGGCTGTGGAGCTGCGAGCGGGCTGTAGCGCCTTGGGCCAGCGCAGTGTCCGTCGCAGCCGTCCTTCACTTTGCGACAGTGACTCTGGGCAGAGCCCTGTGCCACGAAATCAACGCGGTCGCCCGGCAGAGTCGTTCGTGAATACCGCATGTTGTCGTCTCGGCTATATCATCCCTCCCGTGAGTTATACCAGTCGACGGCTGGGATGCTTATCAACTGAATCACAGTATCTGCCCAAGCGAGTGCTACACCGTCATACTATGCATATCACTCTTACCTCGACAACGTCCGTGATGCGGCTTCTGGAGAAACCAGTAATATAATATCCTACGACCTCCATGAACACCAGGGCTCTCGCATTGCTTTTAATGCTGATGGATCTTCATACGCAGGTGCTCAGGCTCCAGATGCACCCTGGGCTTTACACTAGGTGCCTGTCCCGCCTTGATGGTGATCACTCGTATCGGTTTCGATTCTTCTCTTCAAATTGGTAATTCTCGGCAATATTCTCTCCGTCTCCATTCTGGTTTACGTGACCCATCGTCTTGTACACCTCCACCGGGCTTGTATCGGGCGGCCTCTGCACACTCGATAGAGGAGGGAGCAGGGGCCTCGCGGTCAGAGTAGAAGTTTCAAGCTATATAGGCTGGATCTCAGATCCGACGCGTGTCCTGCGCAGAGGAGAGCAAGCGAGAACGGAGCAGTTAGACGCACGATGATATAGTCGAGTATCCGAAAGCCATCAGCTCAGCCTTGCGAGACCCGCTGACGAGCTACTGCACTCTTCCTGAAGACTCACCATGATTTCTATTTTCTCGTAGCACCATCCGCTTTCCAAGCACCCAACTATTCCGCCAGCAGCATGCACCCACAAGCCTGTCGCTCACCACCAGAAGGGGCCTTTCACGTTGTCGGGCTAGGTACCTAAAACGTCGAGCTCTGGGTCGATGTCTTGAGGACGTTCCGGATTACTGGGCCGACCGGGAGTGGTGCATGTCATAGAGCAGGCCCCATCATGATCGGTACGATATACTAGCGCATCCATAGCCCAGTGAACGAGATTCCAATCGACAGAGAACTGGCTCGAGAAGGGAAAGCCGGGTCAGGGTAGCTTTTGTCGAATAAATAAGACGCATCGTGGCGTCAATCATCCATGAGGAGACGTAGCAAGTCGACGCGGTGAGATTGGGAGGATACGGAATGAGTATCCTCCACACAAGCGTGGGAATCTCGAAGAACTAGTGAAACCAGCGACGAGTGTTGGAGGAGTCGGACCAAAGTCGGACGTGGGCTTGTTGCGCTCGTATCGAACAGGAGTCCTGGCAGATATATTTCAGTAAGGTCATGACATCCATCTTGACAAAAGTCTTGCGTTGTGCATTAAAGACATTGCTCAGGTCATTGGCTTCCGTCTGGCCTCCTGGATGGCGTAGTGGTTTTGATAGGGAACTCGAGCGTAATAGGGACAAGGTCTGGTATCCGGCGAAGCGATGGACGCGACAGCGAACGCATGACGCACCCGTCAACCGGTCGAGCCACAATCTCGGCACGTTGTCTTGAAGACTTTCGGTATGGTGGTGGACTGTTCCTTCCACAGAAGCAAGCGGAGACAATGTGATAATCAAGTCGACTGCAAGTGCACATTCTCAAGAGCTAGAGGTCTTGTGGCGACACTGACGCGTGGTACGCTCCTGTCAACTGCCCGAGCCACATTCTCCCAAGCTGCGTTCAAGCTTAAAGCTTGAAGCTTGAAGTCCTGCGGTCCAGTGTTATATTGTCTTTCCAACAGAAGCAAGCGTAGCAATTACGAGAGAAAGGACCATCTGTCACTTCCAGCGGTGAGTGAGTCCCGTGGCCGAGGTTGACCATACCGGGAACAAGGCCGTCGTGTGGCAGTAGATCATGTCTGCCGGTACATCTTGATGTCGGGTGCACTTCCAGCGGAGAGAAAAATTTCCATGCCTCGAGCCTCTTGGAGCACAAGGGCGCGGTGTGGTGGCAGAACGTGTAGGTCGTTGTGGCTGGAGGTCGGGAATTCCCGCCTCTTTGGTAGGTCTCTGCCCAATTGCGAAACCTGCATCAGCTCACCCTGCCTTGGATTTCTTTGTCCGCATTCCAACCAAGGTAATTTCTGGGCTGGGCCACGCTCGATTACATCGCTTTCCGATGATCCCGCGGTAAAAGCTTGCAGGAATATTGCGTACTCGTGCGCTTGTAGACAGGTAGGCTGAGGTGTGTGGGGCAACTTCCGCCCCACTGGATGCCCATAGAATGGTTTGCACTAGTCCGCTCGACTGTGATAACACACTTACCCATCGTGCAGACGGCTACGGGGATCATCGATCCCTGTCGCCACATTCCTCGAAGATCACCCTCGAGGCCTTGCGATGTCGGTAATTGTTGCAGCAGAAGAAGCAAGAGGAGCTGCTGAGTGACGAATGAGGGCTCCCAGCAGGACAGGAGGAGTGTAGCATCCGAGGTAGTGTCGATAACGATGAGGCATCTCACACGGTGAATGTAGATGCTATGATCTCTGTCTCCATCAAAAAACGCAGCCGTGTGCTCATGGGTCCATACCGCACGACGGACTCGTCCTGCGCGTCACTCTCAGATCAATCTTGTCGCATGACCTCCTGGTCCTGGTGGTGCTCACTTGCAGTCGACTTACCTCTCTGGCTTCTGTGAAAGGTACTATCCAATACCGCACCGAAGGATTTGATTGAAGTCTGCTCGACGCAAATGTGGCTCAGACGTGTTGACGGATGCGTCAGTCGCGTTGCCCGACCTCAAAGTCTGGTACGTATCAACTTACGGTAGAGCTCCGTATCACCAACCACTATTCCATGCGAAAGGGCGTGCGTTGCTACATGTTCAACCGGTCCAGCCACATTTTCGGCACGTGGAAATTTCATGTTGAGCGGTATGTTCACGAAGCTGTTGAATGCGAACCAGTCGGCCAGCCTCCAGAGAGTAGGTGTCGCGCTCTGGGGTAGTGCGGTCCCCGTCAACCATATCGAGAACAAGGTTGCGTTTGGCATGTTGTGGCAGTAAGTCAATGTGGCTGGTACATCTGGACACCGCGGGCACTGCCACCGGAGAGAAATCTTTCGCATGCCTCGAGGTAGCATTGTGGACCATATCGAGCACAAGAGCGGCTGTGGTAGTCAACCTTGCGTGGCTGGAAGCCGGAAGTTTCTGTCTGTGTGGTAGGTTTCAAAATTCCCTTTCCTGGTGATTTCTGGTCGATTGTGTTGCCCACAGTTCACGCATCAGCACGCACTTCCTGGGCGCCCACACCTCCTCCCTTTGTCCATGATCCATCCACGGTAATTACTGGGCTCAGCCGCCGTTCGATTGCCTGGCTTCCTGGCGACCCTGCGGCAAAGAAGCCTGTCACGCTGAACCACGTTACGAACAATGGACAGCCTGTCTATAAATTGGACCACCCGTTCGTGGTCCCCCACCATCGGGACACCCTCTCTCCCGCCTTCCTCTGTATATTCTTCCTACTTTCCTGGTGACATCTTGTCTTCTCATAATCATGCCACGGGCTTCTTCTGGTCAGAGTCCTAGGAAGCGGGTCCATCCTGTGGGACAAGCACTCGGTCCTGAACATGACATTACCCGGGCTCTCTTGCGCGAGGGAGTAACGTGCGACCAGATCGATCTCATGAATGCCACTCGTCAGTGCATCCTTGGCCCATGCGCCCTTGAGCCCTGGGGCAAGCCGCGAGCTCCCGTAGCATTGCGGGTACACCTCGTATCTCATCTCAGCGACCAGTGCCCGTTGTGTGTTTCCTCTCCCAATCATTCCTCCTGGTTGATCTGACCTTTGCGTAGTGAGTATCAATGTACCAAATGTCCATATCGGTCTCGATACAAGGGTGATGTTAGAGTGCACGAAGAGTCTCAGTAAGTCGAGTGCAGTGCATCAGACTATCAACATCACGAACCCACTGATGTCTATGAGCAGCTCCCGGCCGGGGTTCCGTCCGCGCTTACGTCGTACACGAGAAGCTTGTCCTAGCACGTTCTTTGCCGACTTCAACTTGACCAGGCACGGGGAGTTGGATTACTCGAATATCCATCACCCGAGCCCTGCCACACTTGCGCATTCCAGCCCTCCTTCGCAGGTGCTGCCAGAGGACCGGATTTCTATCGTGCCTGGTTTCTCTGAGGCAACTCCCGCTGTCGTATGGACACCGTCCATGGATAGAAGAAGTCTCCCAAGCGACCCACAGACACCAGTGATATCCCCTGGGGATACTCAGGACCACCTGGAAAACGATTGTGGGCTGTATCTGCCTGATGACTTGCCATCGGCGAGGTTCAATAACCTCTTGGGTTCGTTGCCTGCACTCGAGAATGACAACACCAGGGGTCACCTCCATAGTTGTGACTCACTGGGGCAGGATGCCACAATTACGGGGCCGGACCGCAGTATCTTGTCCGGCCTGCAGGGCAGCTTCCAAAGTCACCTTTATGATCTATCTGAGGAGGATACCCCATTCTCTGTTCAGTATGGACCCCGCTCTTACCGTCCGGATGCCCAAGGTGGGTCTCCTGTCGAGCCAGGTACGGTTCTATCCTTGGAGAACCTCGATCCCTGGGGTGCCTTCTATGACCCT